AACAGGGCTTATGCCAACATACCCTGTGCCGGGCAGACTCGTTGATCTTCGGGACTTCTCTGACTCGTCGCCCAAGGCGCGTCTGATCGACACGGTCGACATTTCAGGGCATGGGGTGACGAGAGAACGCGGTTTGTCCTCCACCCTGAGCTACTGCTGGGGCACAAAAGACTTCTACAAAGTCGTCAGCACCAACATAGCATCCGCTCGGGCGGAGAGGATTCTCTCCCCTAGAATCCTCCACTTCACTTCGGAGCAGCTGTTCTGGGAGTGCAGAGAGCAACTGTTTGCCGAGGACGGAACGGTCTCGTGGGCCACACAACCAGAAACTCTCTGTGCCCACGTGCGACTAACGGAGACGTACGGGCTGTGGGTCAGAGACTGGCATGGGGTTAGGATCTGGTGTGATACCGCTGTGAAGAACTTCTCGTCGCGGACCTTAACCTACGCCACGGATAAGCCGCCGGCTCTTTCAGGCCTTGCGCGGCTGTACCGCAATGCAATACGGCGTCCCTACGTGGCGGGGATTGGCTTTATCACCTCGGTTATGGGCTGAGCTGGGCTCTTGTCACGCCGCTAATATCAAAAGCTGAGGGCCGTAGTAGCAGTCGAGCTAACTCCTTCTACTGGGTCTCAGTCGGCGGCCGGTCAAGCACCACGGAATGTTTATGAATTCGCCAGAACATTTCCCACCCAAGCTCCAAGGCTGGGACCGGCCGCTCAGGAACGAGAAAGATCGTTACGGCGAAGTGGGAGCGTGTTCCTTGACTTTTGAGGGTTTTCTCAAACACGCTAGGCTCTTCTAGTATAGAGGATTATGCATGTGCTATAACGAAGAAACAGCCGTAAAACGAGTAGCGATTCGATGATTAGATAGTTGCTCTCTAGGGGGAGACTCTATATGTTCCATCAAGTTACTGAGTAATGGTGTGCCGAAGCTGAGCCGAGGGTGAAGCGAGCCTGATTTTAGGCTGACCATGCTTGGACAGGATCCACTTATTTTTTAGTCCGAGACTACCCAAGCAAGCGGTTGCCAAAATAAAAGGCACACACCACCTGCGAATACCTAGCCCACTATAGTAAATTACTAACAATTACAAGTCACCTCCACGTACTAACACCCAGTCATCCGACCCTTACCTACTAACACATTCGTACTACTATAGAATCAACCTATCGTCTCCTGACTAATTTTCTTCCAACCCTCCAGGGCTAGCTATTGCAAATCTGAGGCAAGGCGATAATTGGCACGAATATGCTGCTTCACAGCACGCCAGCAGTTTTCGATTGGCGATAAATCTAATGAATCAGGTGTGCTAAAGTAATGCTTCAATCTATACTACTCCTTCCACTCCTTCACGACATTGGATTTGCGTATGTTTCTTCCTCCGTATCCCGAATCCCCGTCCTCTTCCAATATAAAAGTATCCCTTCTCGAAAGCCAAGTAGCAATAACCTTCTCTAGAACCTCATCGCGATACACTTACAAGCTCATTTTGCCATTCGTATTCGTCGGGACCTCGTAAAAATGAAGTTCAGATTTGAAATCTGTTGCACGCGATCGAAGTTGACAGCGCATTGAATTGTCTGCTCAATAGGTCTAAAAGTACAGAAAAGAACGCTTCCTTATACTCGTGGAGAGAAGGCAAGGGAGGCGTTGTAATCAGCCCGAAAGAGGGCATTCCGAATGAAATGAGGACATTCCGAGTCAAGAATGAAGGAAGCTCAGAGGCATGTCAACCAGGGCCTGTCCAATTCCATGAAAAGTGGGTCAATTCCAGACGACAAAATCCCATCCAATTACTACCCAAGCATAAAAGCGCCGGATCTCGCCTGCTGGTATTTCTTTGCGATGATGAATATAATCGGGACAATATCGCTCGCCAGGTTTTCTAGTAATTCGAATCTTTCCTTTATGCAAGATTTGCCAGCCCCTACGAGAACTGATACCGAAATGTCGGAAAATATCTGCCTTATAGAATGGAATCTTGCAGTCGTGTAAAAAGCCGACTGTGCCAGTTATTTGGGCCTTCTTAGGAGTAGGATGGTGCAGATCGCCAACAGCCATTGTGGTGAGTGGTGTGTGGTTTAGTGTGGTGTGATGGAAAGTGGTAGAATTGTCAAGGCTCCTGTTATTAGTGGGTGACCTGCATGGGCTAGTTTCGGGGTGCCTTTTATTTTGGCAACCGCTTGCTAAGTAACTAGGTAGTCAGTCCAGCTGGCACTTCAGGCGTGGTCCATCCTATGCGTTAATTTTAATTCTGCCCTGTGCAATCATTTCGTCTCTCTTCCTTTCGTCTTTCTCTTGTCTTCCTCCTAGCTAAGAGGGTGCATGAGTTGCAATCGGCATAAAATCCTACGGAATACTCCCGAGGTGCTGTCCGCGGGTGCCCAGAGCGCGTGTCAGACGTGCATGATGCCTACCTGCCTAGGTGCCTGGTGGTACTGGTTCTATCCCGAATCCCGTATTTCTTCAATCTTTTGTCTTTTTATCTCAGATCCATCGTTCCCCATTCAGTGTTCCTCAATACAATACCGCGCCGCCTCATTGCTCGTGGGAGGTTCTATTTCAGCTCAGCCAGGGCAGCCGAGCCCAAATCAATCGGCGCAATGACCAACGGTCAGGTTCGGCCGACAGGCTGTTCAACGACGCCTACTTTGCGCGGGCTAGGGCTGAGCCTCCCGCCTGGGACACATAGCCTCAGTTCGGCCGGCTCCTTCCGAGCTCCGCCTGCGCATCTGGCTGCTCTCGCTCCGCCGCAACCGCATGATCGAGTCGAACATCCGCTCTGCCGACGGCGAGAACAACAGCACCTACCCGGGCGGCGCCCCGTCCCCATCCCCGTCCTCGTCTCTGTACTATCGCGACTGCAACCACCTGGGCAGGACCATCCGGGGCCGCTGGCGGGCAACCTGCGGCCGCTCGAGGCCGGGTGGAGGGCGCTCGGGGCCGGGTTTGGGGTCACGCACACCCGGTGCGACTTCCGCTTCTACATCTGCCCGACGGCCGACTGGGGCACGACGCAGTGGGGTGAGAGGTGCCGCGCCGCCCCGTGCCGGCGCCGGCACCTGGCATCGAGTGGTCGCGCGCCGAGCTAGCCGCGCACCTGCCCGAGGAGGGCGATGACTGGATGCGGGGACTCAAGACCGTGAACAAGCTGTTCTCCAAGCCGTTGGATGTTGTCCCGCGCTACGGCGCCGTCGTTGACGAAGAGACCTCCTGCCGCATGGAGGATGCGCCCAGCCTCGCGCTGGACATGTGGCTGTTCCCGCCCGAGGTGTTAGGGGAGGGGGTTGAGGAACAGAAGAGACCGAGAACGAACGGTTCTATATAGAGTCATTTGACATTTACCAGGCGAGGGAGAGAAAAAGGGAAACGGCCTAGATTTCTGGCAAGACGACCGTGGAAACCATTTGCAGCCGGGCCAGTCAATCAAAAATGATGAAGAATGACGTAAATCGTAGACAATTTACTCGGTAATAGTGTGTAATAAACAACACGAGACAACCTAAACCTAGTCTGGCCCACCAAATTCACCTCAGCTGTGGCTCCTGCAGCGCCACATGAGCCGACGAAGCCCTGACACGGACACCACGCGAGGCACAAGTGCTTTCCTCCAAATAGACGGGCAAATAAAACCCTGCACTTGAAAATGTAAGCCGACGTCGATGACGTCCTTCAAATGCTATGCTACTCGGCTGCCACGCCACGTTCGGACTCGCGCGCGCATGTGGAGAAATCTCACCTCGAGTTCTCCGCGCCGGATGCAACCGACGCGGACTCGTGTGCAACAGTAGCAACGAGAGTCCGATCACGTAGCACAGAATGATAGTAACAGCCGCGCCAGGACAAGGATACCGTAAAAGCATAATACGACGACGTGCCATGTGTCTTGCAGAGTCTATACACGTCGTTTGAAAAGTCGCGCAGCCAACCACCATTCCGACTCCTGAAAATCCAGCAGCTGGGCGATCGACAATGCGCGGTTGAATTTGATGCGCTCGCGCTGCAGCCCGTTTTGGGCTGCCAAGCTTGCTCCTATTGCCTTGGCAGGTGCCCAGCTAATTTTCCGGAGAGAGCCGCAGCAGATCGCCTGGATCGCCAGGCGGCAGTGTGCTGGTGAGTGGAGTGAGCGGGGTGAGTGGGGCCTTGACCTTGACGTGTTTTTATTAGCGGCGGCATCAAGTGGAGTGCGCTAGTGTTCGGCCCTTTGCAGCACCAAGAGAGCGCCACAGTTTCGATTAAATTGGCGGCTGCCAGCTCCCAGCGCAGCGAACAAGCATCGCAAGGGAATCCAACAAAACAAAGCTCGACCAATTGCCCAGAGCCTGGCAATTTTGCATGTTGCTCGTGTTACGAGATCAAAAGCTGGGCCATCCTGGGCCGTCCTGGGCCATCACTTCAGCCTCTTTTGTGTGTGTGTGTGTGTGTGTGCAGCGCACGGCAAGCGCCACACAGCTCAATTTCACCGCTGCGGGCTTTGGATGGCTGGCTGGTGTGCTGAGTGAGAGTCTTCCCGCATTGAGCGTCAGCGCACGTCGCCAGAGGCCTTGGCGGGACACTTTGGCGCGCATGGGCGAGGTGGATTTGGTTTGGAACCGGTCAGCGAGAGATGCAAACTCCCGGATCGCCCGCAAGTACGTACAAAACCCGGAAATCCCACCGAATAGCCCGCTGCGGCCACGAGGGGAGAGCTGACTTATATACCCAGATTCGGTGTCAACAAGCCGCCAACCCAAAAAAAAAAAAGCAGTGAGGAAAATATCAATCACACCCCGTGGATGGACCGGCTGGACGCCAGCTGCCGATCCCAGCCAGTGTCTAGCAGCGGCCTAACCCACAACGGGCCCCGACATGGGGCGTAGCATTCGATAAACATGCATTAAATCGACCTTGTTCCAAACCGGCCTAGGCCGCCCCCACCGACCGCCTGCCATCCACGCGCGGAGTTGGACAGGAACGGGCGTGTGGATCCGATTTAAAATTTGCGACATCGTCGCCAGCTGGCCATTGGCCCCCTCAACGCCCTGCTCGCCTCTCGCTCATCGCTCAGGGGCGGGTCAGCCGCAATAATGTGGATCTGGACGGGGCACCGTGTTAGCCTGATGGAGACAATAACGCTGGCTGGGCCCAACAGCCTGGGGACGGGCGAGAAAGGGGGGCGGCGGTATAAGACCCAGGTCCCCGGGAATTCCGGCCTGGGTCTGTCTTGCTCTCTTCCGTTTGGTACGGGCCGAGGAGTTGGAACCGTCGTCACTCATTTTTGTTGTTGTTTGTGGTTTCTGCTGGACGTTTCTGTCCCTGCCAGTCGCTCACCGGTGTCGTTTATCGCACCAGCCACTCATTCCCGATCACTGATCACTGATCACATAATATCACGCCTTCACAATGGCACCCACGCTCTTTGCTCTGGCGGCGGCCCTCGTGCCGGCCGCCGCGGTGCTGGCGCTCGCGCCGGCGCTGCCCTCTGACGTCTACAGCAACAAGATGGTCCAGCTCGACGGCCTCATCCGGTACCCCGTGGTGGCCCTCGAGGGCGGCTCCCTCGTCGGCAAGCACACCAAGAACCGCAAGAGGCAGACGACCATCGACAGCTTCGCCGGCCAGTCGGGCACCCTGTACACCATCAGCCTGGTCCTTGGCACGCCCGGCCAGTCGGTGCCCGTGCAGTTCGACACGGGCTCGTCCGAGCTCTGGGTCAACCCGACGTGCTCCCAGTCGACCGACCCGGCCTACTGCGCCGTCCAGCCGCGCTTCACCTTCTCGACCTCGCTGGTCGACTACGGCGTGCAGGGCTCCGTCACGTACGGCACCGGCTACGCGAATTTCGAGTACGTCGGCGACTTTGTGCGCATCGGCCCCGCCACCATCAACCAGCAGATCTTCGGCGCCGCCTACAGCACCGCGCATGCCGTCGTCGGCATCATGGGCGCCGGCCCCGACCTGTTCGGCTGGGCCAGCCCGTACCCCTTCGTCATCGACTCGCTGGCCACGCAGGGCATCACCAACAGCCGCGCCTTCAGCATGGACCTGCGCGGCTTCGACACGGACCGCGGCTCCGTCATCTTTGGGGGCATCGACACCAAGAAGTACATCGGGAGCCTGGAAAAGCTGCCCATCGTCCCCGCGGCGCAGTCGCCCGACGGCTTGACGCGCTTCTACGTTTACCTCAACGCCATCTCGGTGACGCAGGCCGACGGCACCGTCGTCAGCGTCTACACGACGCCGTCGGGCGGCAACGGGCTGGCCGTGCTGCTCGACAGCGGCTACACGCTCAGCGCGCTGCCGACGGCCATCTTCAACAAGCTCGTCGCGGCGTTCCCGTCGGCCGTGTACGTGCCCAGCGCCGACCTGTACACGGTCGACTGCAAGGACCCTGGCGAGGGCGGCTCTATCGAGTTCACCTTCGCTGGCAAGACCATCAGCGTGCGATACTACGACTTCATCTGGCACTACCCCGGCCTCGTCAACGTGTGCGTGCTGGGCGCCTTCGAGGACAGCTTTGCCGTGCTCGGCGACACCTTCCTGCGCGCCGCCTATGTCGTCTACGATTGGGACAACCGCAATATCCACCTCGCGCAGGCCGAGGACTGCGGCACCGACCTAGTTGCCATTGGCAAGGGCGCCGCCGCCGTGCCGTCAATCGTGGGTGGCTGCGGGGCTCCCACGTCGTCGGCACCGCCGTCGTCCTCGACCGCCCCGCCGTCCTCGTCTGCCCCGCCGTCGAGCTCGGTGCCAGTTTCCAGCTCTGCTCCCGTCTCGAGCTCGGCCCCGCCGTCTAGCTCTGTGCCGGTTTCCAGCTCCGCGCCACCCTCGAGCTCGGCCCCGCCGTCTAGCTCTGTGCCAGTCTCCAGCTCCGCGCCACCCTCGAGCTCGCTGCCAGCCTCCAGCTCCGCGCCCGCGTCGTCTTCTGCCCCTGCTTCGAGCTCGGCCCCCGCTTCAAGCTCAGCGCCAGTTTCCAGCTCGGCACCGCCCTCGAGCTCTGTGCCTGCTTCCAGCTCGGCACCGCCCTCGAGCTCAGCGCCTGCTTCCAGCTCCGCGCCTCCCTCGAGCTCCCTGCCAGCTTCCAGCTCTGCGCCCGCGTCGTCTTCTGCCCCTGCTTCAAGCTCGGCCCCTGTCTCAAGCTCGGCCCCTGTCTCAAGCTCTGCACCAGTTTCCAGCTCGGCCCCGGTATCCAGCTCGGCTCCCGCATCCAGCTCTGTGCCGCCATCCGGTCCGGCCCCTGCATCCAGCTCCGTGCCGCCATCCGGCTCAGCGCCAGCCTCCAGCTCCGCCCCCGTCTCCGGCTCTGCCCCACCGTCAGGCTCCATCCCATCCTCGTCTTCCCCCTCGTCACCGCCCGCCTCCATCACCTCGGCGCCAGTCTACTCCAGCACCGTCAGCAGCGGCCCAATCACCTCGGCCCCTACCTCCTCCACCCCCCTCTCGCTCAGCACGTACACGTACACGACCTTCACCACGTACACAGTCACCTCCTGCCCGCCCGAGAAGGCCACCGCCTGCCCCCTCCACGGCGCCGTCGTGACGTCCGTCATCACCATCACGACCGCCATCTGCCCACAGACGACCGGCACGTACTCGCTGCCGCAGAAGTGGACGTCGGGCGGGACCACCGGCACGGCCTTTGTGCCCGTCACCGTCGCGCCCGTCGCGCCGCAGCCCACGCCGTGCCCTGTGCCAGGCGCGACCGCCGGGCCGTCGGTCCCGGCTTCCGTTCTGCCACGGCCGCCGGCGCTCACCACGGGCGTCGCGGTGAAGCTCGCGCCTACAGCGCTGGGTGCGGCCCCGACCACCTTCGCGTACTACCCGCCGGCGGCCTCGCACGCGCCCGGCGCCGCGTGGAACGCGAATGGCACGGCGACGAATGTGCAGACGGCGGCTGCGGCCACGTCGAGTGTCGTGACGGCTGCGGCTGCGCGTGGTGTGGCGTCGGTTGCGGGAGCGGTAGGGGCGCTGGTTGTCGCGGGTGTTTTGGCGGTTTTGTAGAGAGAGAGTTAGCTGATGTGTTTATAATTCTGGATTTGAGGAAGAGGGGGTGGTTTGGTTTAGGTTAGCGGTTGTAGTAAATTCTAATGACACGAGATCATATGTTGGTTAATTTTTTTCTTTCTCCGAAAGTAAACCCGTACTCTAATTTGTTACGTCTTGTCTGTTAACGTACCTATGCTGCTTCGCAAGCAAGCAAGGCTGCAAGAGTTGTTGATATGGCATGTTACTCGTTTCAAAATCTTGTGTCGGGAATCAGATCGACCGACGACATGTGCTTGTGGGAGACGAGTTGGACATGATCTCTTAACCACGGGCTGGTCTCCCCGGTAAAGAAAAAGGCGGTCATGGGCCGACTTTGTTTCAAGTTTCTTGAAGCTGATTGATATTTGATAAGTCCTGAACTTGCACCAAACAACACTTCCGTCTATTGTTTTTGGTAACTTGTTTTGGTAACTTGTTTTGGTAACTTGTTTTCCTAATTACCTTTCTTCTATTTTTGCTCGACCATTGATGGTTCATGACCATGTCAGTCATATAGGAAGCTATGACTACTGAGGCCCACTGCCAACAAACTCGGCGGCGCAGCTTGGAGAGAACCTTGGAACCTAAGCTTGTGTAACCAATAGTGGTGGCTACCGCTGCGTCATCTTCCTCCGGTGCCGCGCCACAGCTAACGACATGACCTAAAATTGGAAGCCTTGGGCCACCCGCATCCCCAGAGCCGGCGAAGGGGATATAGCCTGGAAGTAAGGTCTGCTTGTGCCGCCAACGGCGTCTTGACAAGCCGTTCTGAGCTAGCTGCTCCCAACATGGTGTTCAATCATTCCGCATTTAGCTCCCAACGCCACGATCCCCACGTCCAGTTAGTTGCCTGTCCCCTTGGCGCAATGCATGAGGCACGGCCATGTATCTCGGCCGCCACCCCCGGCTGCTTGCGTGCCGTTATCAATTTAAACTCCCAGCTCTCCGCCAACTGTCCACGAAGCATCGTTGCAGTATCGAACCTCCGCAGCAATAGCAGACAACCCACACACGAGCGTGTCAAATCGCCGATCGGCAGCAATCACAATGAACAAGCCGCTGGCAACACCCAATAATGACAGCAACCCGGTGAAAGGAGGGCGCCGGCCGCCCGCGCCGTACCCACGTCGCGCTAGCATCGCGGCCCGCGGCCCACGGCATCGTGGCGACCTACGAGCTGGGCGCCATCGTCTACTTTGCGCGGCTTGCGTCAGGGCGAATCGGGAGTGGAATGGCTAATGAGCTGGTGACGGCTAGAGTTGTGCACCTTGTCGCCGCCAATCTCGGCTGCGTTGGTTGTTGCAGAGACTTGGGAAGGCGGAGGCAGACGCGCATTGCACGCAGGCGAGCTGCTCTGCGAGCTGGCGGCGATGATGTCTAAGATAGGTCGACAAGGGCCGAGAATGCTGTCGATTTTGAGTTGGACGGCTCGACAGGGGCAGACAAAAAGAATGATGTCGATTTTGGATTAGCGAGGCGTTGGGCTCACATGGAAGGAATCGAGTTGGCTCTGGTTTAATCAACGGACGGGATCACGGGATCATCAGATCGTGGTCACGAGGGCAAGACAGGGGTGGTGTGCAAGGGCCGACGGAGGCTACCGTGGACACGGGACAAAACAGGGACGAAAAGAGGACGAAAAACACACAATACTAGGCTCTCCCAACTACTTAGCTTGGCATATGCACGACGCGGGTCCCAACATGCAAGGGATGGTTCTTACTGGAGTGTGGGAGCCAGCCTCGAGAGCCTGTTAAGGCAGGAGCCCTGCCAAGGTGCCAAGACCGAAACGCATGTGGGGCCAACCCCACCTCTCTGGCATTACTGTGCAAGCGGTTGACAAAAAAAGACGGACTCATTACTTTAAGGTACATCCCTGGAGGCCAGATTTGCATATAAATCTAGGTATCTCTATGTAGTGGCTGTTACCACCCTATCATGCGACCTTCGCCCTCTAACACATCTTGCATCCGCCTTACCATGGAATCTACGTACTCATTGATTTTCGCTCGACTCAGTCGCCTCCATGCTTCAACTGCCAGGCCCTGTTTCAACTGCCAGGCCCATCATATTCGCATCAATTCGAAGATTGGCTCGGATATACTGCTTTACAGCCCTCCCTCAATTCGAAGATTGGCGATAAATCTGGAGAGCTAGGGGTATTGAAGTAATGCTTCAATCCGTGGTCTTGCTTCCACTGCTTCACGATATTCCCACGCTTCGAATTTCCACCTCCCTGCCCTGAATCTCCGTCTTCTTCCAGCACGAAAGCATCGCCACGGAGAAGCCAAGGACTAACAATCTTCTCCAGAATCTCGTCGCGATAGGTCTGTAAGCTCATCTTTCTACTGGTATTTGTTGGGACTTTGTAAAAATGCATCTCGGACTTGAAATTCCATCCGACGGCCGCCCAGACGTGATATCTTCGGATTTCGGTTCCCGCCGCTGGTTCAGGCTCATGGTGGTGAATAAAATCTGGACAATAACGCTCCCCTGGCTTCCTAATAATCCGAATCGTCCCTTCGGACTTCGGAAAAGAGTCCAAAATGGTATTCAACTGACCACCGGATATCGTACCAGTCCTCTGGACGAGGACAATATTGGAGCGCGAGCTTGGCGGCCTAGATGCGGCGGTTGGCACTTAATGGAGAAACAAATCCTTTTTCGCAGGCGATGCATTTTGGATGCCTCCGGTCCTTGGCAATGCGTAGGATGTCCCAGCCCTGGGTTTTACTGCGGATGCCGATCTCTTTGAAAAGATCAGTGTGGAAGTACTGGGCGTGGTGGTCGAGGAATGCAGCTGTTCCAATGAGGTGCGCCTTCACTGACGTTGGGTAATGCGGTGCCATGATGGCAGTGATGGTGGTGATGGACTGGCGGTGTGGTGCCAACAGCGGTGGTGTGAGTCGGATGCCATCGAATGTTGTAGTGTCTGCTGTAAAATTAGTAGTGTCTGCTAGTGTAAAGCCACCCGCACAGACCAATCCCTCTTTGCAGTTCGCGTTATTTTGCCAACCGCTTGCCTGCCCCGTGAGGTGTCTATTCTAATTGCTTGTCTTGTTGCCTTCCATCCCTTTCCATGCATCATTAGGTAGGTAGCTTCGCTGCTGCGGCGATTGGTAGTCGTCATTGATCTTGGTCGAGTGGCCGTGAAGTCTCCCTCGCAAAACCAAAACCTGGGTTCCAAGTGACACCTCAGGCAATTGCCTGAGGACGTGCCGATTACCCCACTTTGTTCGTTTCGCTAATCTTTCCTCTCTCTCCTGCGGAAGGAACCTTTTGCTCTCAACTCTAGCTCCGCCCCAGACTCATTAAGAACCTGCTTTTATTCTCTTCCTCTTATGTCCATGCCCCTACGTGCACATTTGGCACCAAGTGTTCCCACCAAATTCCTCAGAGGTTCGTCTCTCCAGCTTACCGACGCCAGCTTCCCCGCTGATGCTGACTGTCTGTTTGCTGAATAGCACCTGCACACATATCGAACGCGATGTCGTGTGGACTCCCTCCCCGCACGCCAACTGCGGCCGCCCTCCAATCTCTTCGGGACGAGCTGAGAGGCAACATCATCCGAAACGTCAATGGCCTCTTTGCCGAGAAGTTCGAGGGGAAGTCCTAGTCCGTAGTGGTGCAGAACAAATTGCAAGACACGTAGTCAGCAAAGATCATCAGCAAGCTGTCTGCCGGTGTCCCTGACATGGCTCGCTTCGACTCGTTGTCGGAATGGCTTGCCCAGTTCCAGACCCTATTCTTCGCGGCCGACCAAGCCAGCCTCCACTTCCAGAGCCAGCCGTTCGGCAACACGGGTGGCACGCCTGGGGCTGCCATCTCCCTCGAACCATCCGATGCCCAGTCCATTGCAGGCAGCACCCGGGTGTTTGGTGAATTTCATCACGACAATACTCCCTTGGCTGATGACGATGACGACATCCTACGCTTCTGTGAGCATGCACACCAAGTGTTGAAGACCCAGTCGGCTCGATGCTTCGTGCACGGGTTCCTAGTCCGCGGGACTGCGCTGGAGCTCTGGGTTTTCGATCGCTCGGGGGCCTACAGCAGCGAGAGGCTCGACCTGGCTCAGAGACCCGACCTGCTGGTGCGGATTCTGGCCGGCTATGCCTTGATGAGTGACGAGGAAGCTGGGTTCAATACTTTTGTGAAGCATCATCCACCTGAATCCGACAGCTACGTCACATTCCGCCAGCGCGACAAGTTCTACCTTCGACCAGAGCCGATTGCAACGGCCGACTACATAGTTGGGCTGCGGAAGACTACATAGTTGGGCTGGGAACGACTACATAGTTGGGCTGGGAACAACCTGCTATGCCGCCTCGGTATCGACAGTTGGGGAGCCAGACACTGTCGTCAAGTTTTCCTGGCGAGAGGATAAAGAGCCCACGGAAGTCCGCCTACTGGAGCGGGCACACGAGCGCAACGCCTGGGGCGTAGTTCAGCTCGTAGGCTATCAGGACCTGGTGAGCATTGCCGACCTTCGCCAGGGACTGCAATTTCCTCAAACCTTTGTCACCCGAACTTTCTCGTGCGTCGCAACCACCCCTCTAGGCCGTCCGATCCGACAGTACACGTCCATTACGGAGCTCTTGGAGGTCTTGCGCGACCTTGTTAAGGCGCTTCCATCTCTCTACGTGGATGCGAGGATCCTCCATCGCGACGTCGCCATCAAGAATCTGATCATCACCCCGCAGTATAGCGCAGACGGCCCCAAGGGTGTCTTGATTGACTTTAACTACGCGCTGGATCTCGACAACGCCCGTCCTATTGAGCCAATGGTTGGGTCAGATGGATTCATGGCCATTGGCATCCTCAGAGGACAACGACATACATATCGGCACGACCTAGAGTCCCTGTTCTACGTGTTTCTATGGATCGCTATTGCGAACGACCGCGTGCGCGACGAGGCGAATGACATACTGAAAGGCATGCCAAAGGCATCGCGGCTTTGGAAATGGTGCACCATGGACTTCGGTGCTGTTGGACGGGATAAGGCTGCCGACATGAGCCCTGAGGGCTTTGAGGGAATTCTCGGCGAATTTTCCTCTGACTTCGCTCCTCTCCAAGGTCTGGCCAAGGAGCTGCACGCGCTGATCTTCCCTGTGCGTGATGGGGAAATCTTCACGGTTACTGAGACGGACCAAGTGGCTGTTCAGAAACTATATGACGGGATGGCGGATGCTTTCGACCGGAGTGCCCTAGCACTCCTGAGTTAGGGGCGTCTAAGCTACCAAGGTGCTTTCAAGGGCGCCGCTGGTGGCAGCTAGATTACCAATACTGCAAGGCTCTGGTATACGGAGACTCATAGCTCTCACTGTGCTAAAAAATATCTTTGCTTTTTCCAACTGCGCAGGAAAATTATTGCTGACTTAAGCATCAGGAATTTAGATGTAATAATTTTCCCGAGAGCGAGGCGTCCTGGCTTTGGTAAGGATTAACCCTATAAACTTTGCCTTAATTGCCCAGGCTTGAGCTTTACGCAGTAGGGGGCGAACTCGAATAACGAGGGAGCCTGGAGAGCAAGACCCACGGGTAGATGGGGGTGTCCAGAGACCCCGAAATCAAAGGCTCTGCTCGAGATGGGGACGCGGATTGGGCTTAGCGACAGAAAAAGTGTGGGACACGAACCACACAGCCAAAATATCAAATACAGTGAGCGAAAAAGAGCACAGCCAATGGTCATGACTCTTGTGAGATGTGACCATGCACGCCATCGCTTTGCCGAGTATTCTGCCGCCGGAATGGAAGAATCAGACTCCCCAATAAGCCCAAAGGTGGTGTGTTGATGCAACTGAAAAGTGCAAATGATCATGTCAAGAAGACGGACCCAAACAGTCGCTTCCTAAGCTTCTAATATGGCGGGAGTAGTCAAGAACGCTTACCCTCCAGCGTTGCTGTATAACCAACTCCCCTTCATCCACGATATAGAATATGTCGCCGAGACCTACGCAGAAGACCTCGCCCACCTGAGAAAGCTTTTGGACGTGCATAACATGCCGGCGAGCGTCAATATCAAGTTGATGCATATCCACTTCCATCTGAGAGAAGGTGAGATCTTGGCTGTGCACGAGTTGGACGCGCCGCCCTACGGGAAGATTCCCTTCCTAGAGCCCATGGCGCCCGACACGGCAGGCCAGGTCTACTACGGCTGCAACTACGTTGTGGATGGCTCGGGCCATCTCCAGGCGTTTGAGTACACAACAATCGAGGGAGGGCCAGACCTGGCGGCGCATGCGGCCTTTGTCGCCGAGCTTTGCGCCGTCGTTGTACAGCGCGGCCTGCAGCACAAGTTTGGGCTCGCCATCAACTCGGGCGCGGCCTCCCGTGGTTCGTGGATGGAGCTGGACTTTCCGGAGAAGCGCGCGACGTTTCTATTGCCAAGCCACGTGCCCCTACCGCAGAGTGACCGTGTGGTCTTGAGGACGACGATAACCAAGTTCCCGAGCCTTAAGAACGAGAAGGACGGCAATAAGGACTTGCCAACACACATCCACGCCGAGCATACCTGGGGGAAAAGGAGAAAAACTGATGCTGACGACGAAGAGCCTGTTGATGGCGTCACAACCAAAAATGGACTGTACCTGACGGGATCCCTCTGGAACCCGGCACTGCCTTCTACACGGTGGTATCGGCTATCTCGGCCGCCGCGTAGGAGTGAGATGGATGTAAGTACCACTCAAGCCTGTGTGGGCACGTTTCCAGAACGAAGCTGTTTAGCACCAACTTCAAGTTACTTATAATAGTCTAACTATTCTATTTCCTGTTCTTTATAAGGTAGTTTACCCTTAGTTCTGCTGAAGCTGCTGCGAAACAGCCTCAAGACTGGTTCTTACTAATCCCTCTCTCTCTTCTTCTGTGACGGCCCGCCTTACGCAGTAGGGATGTCAATGGTTGAAGGCAGTAACGAATGTGGATTTAAAGCTAAAGAAGAGAAAGGAATCTATCGCCAGGTCCGCGCAGGGCGCGGAGAAATAGGTAGTGGTGCTCAGTGCGCACAGGCCACACCCTAAGCACAATGCAGCCAATAGAATCAATTCTGTCACATGAGCCCTGTGGCGACCGTGACATCTTCCTTCAAGCTTCTCTTTCTTTCCTAATACTGATAAAATGTAGCTTCTTACTGGTTTTTACATGTTTAATCCGAGGCTGATACTGAGCGTCTGTCACTTATTGCGCCATATTGCTATTGGGTTTTTAACATCTTAAGTTGGGCGGGGTCATCCTACTCCTGTGCCGGGGTAGATATTGTTATTTCGCTACCTGCCAAAACCATATTTGCCACCATCAAGCGCTAAGGCCTCTACAATAAACAAGGGTCTTTTGGGCCAAAAATAGTAATTTATTGTAAAGCCCTCGTGGGCTCCAGGGACTGGTCGATCGGATAATCCTCGGATTCTTTAAGTCGTGGAATACCGAGCGCAGCGAGCAGGCCGCCGGAGGCACCGTTCAGCGACCCCTTCCTGACTTGCCAGGTAGCTTATTTTATAGCCTCTGCCTTGAGGACGTAACCGCGCCGTCTCTCGCAAATCGGGTTTGGCTTGGGGATGATAATTATTTCTCGGGCACTCTTACTGACGCACGCCGCGTTATGGGCGATATAGCCTCGGCTCTCCCCTATCACACAACGAAATCAAGCCCGGCAATATTCCCTCCAGCTCTGCCCGTGGCGCTGTACTTATCGACCTCGGGCTAACCAGCGATGGAATCCATACTTCCACAATAGCAATGCACACAGGCGCCCTCCAGCAGGTCATCTTCAGTGCAAAGGCCGTGGCCGCGTTCTGAGGCCGTGTCGAAGATCCCGGGCGCGCGTTCTGGCGGGTTGCTAAATAGCCGGCTGTGGCACTATGGAAGCGCACAAGTTGCCCTGGCGGCCCTCCACATGCGGTTTCCGCAGCGGGGTCTCTGTCGGATTGGCAAGCACGGACTGGTGGCCTTTTTCCCTCTTCCTTACATTAACCAATACACACACTGCGAATATCTCATTCTTGACTGGTTTTACATGATTTGGCTTCTGACAGTAGTTGACCATAGCCAACCCTATAATTTCTGGGGTGTCCTAGCCCAGGGAAATGATATATTCAAAGAATTAGAATACGAAATGAAGCAGTTAGCTGGATTTAGCGGCTTTTTTTGGTCCAGGGATGCCAGCCAGTGCTAGATTTTGGTACGTTTAAGAGCGGAGCTTGCCAAGTTAAATTAGCTAGCTCAAGCAAATCGAGCCATTTACTGCGCACATTGACAATTTCCGAAGCCAGCTCAATTCAAATATAGCTTCAGATTTGAGTTATTTGAGCTGTGCCAACGCTGCTCAAGGGCATTTAATCTGGATTCATCTGTAGGCTAACTAATCCAATATTGAACATACACTGTAACTCCCATCTCTGTAACTCCCACCTCCCTGTTTTCGCTTCTTGAATTGGAGATGTGGGGTTTCGTACCATGTTATTAAATAGGTAGAAGACACTCAACTTGGCCACCTATTACCGTTTTGCATACCTCTTCCTAATAGCTCTTAGGTCTAGCACTCTTTTAGGTACGGTACCGTACCTAGTACCTACCGAGGTATTTAGGGTATGACAGTTTAATCATCCTCATCATCCTCGTCGTCATCCTCATCATCAGCCTCATCATCATCCTCATCGTCCTCATCATCCTCGTCCTCATCGTCCTCAAAATCCTCGTCCTCATCGTCTTCATCATCGTCGTTGTCCTCGCAAGCTTGGTGATAGCCCTCGTAATGGTTAAAGTCTACCTCATAAACTCGGTAATCCTAAGACTCGTCAGCGCTAGTGTCATCACCTTCCTCCTCTCTCGACCCATCAGCTTCACTATGGCTTCCCTCCTCCTCTCCCGACCCACCAGATTCAATATGGCTTCCCTCCTCCTCTCCCAACCCACCAGATTCACTATGGCTTCCCTCCTCCTCTCCCGACCCATCAGATTCACTCTGGCTTCCCTCCTCCTCGTCCTCGCCGCTCTCGCCAGAGGTAGACGAATCTTCTAGCTCTTGTTGGATGATTACAAGTACCTCCTCGTCCTCGCCGCTCTCGTCAGAGGGAGGCAAATCTTCTAGCTCTCGTTGCATGGTTACAAGTACCTCCTCGTCCTCACCGCTCTCGTCAGAGGGAGGCAAATCTTTTGGCTCTTGCTGGATGGTTACAGGTACCTCCTCCTGCTTGCCACCGCCCAGCGCCAGAGCGGCGGGGACTGTGTAGTGCTGCTGCTGCTGCTGCTGGGGCGGCCCTAGGGTTGGTCCATTATGACTGGCCCCCTGGTGGAACACGCCGGTGCTAGGGCCTGCGTTCCGCTGCGGCGGTGGCGGCTGGATTCTTGTTGGAATGGCGGGTGATCCACGGCGGCCCTGGAATGGTGGCATGCCGGGCGTGATGGCTGCGTACTGCTGGTACCACAATGGTGGCGGAAACGGTGGTGGTGGAAACGGTGGTGGTGGAAACGGTGGTGGTGCGATCGCCGTCGCCACCGCCACCGCCGTGCTGCCGCCCGGCAGAGCTTTCTGGGCCTTGCTTGTACTCAGAGGCAGTGATTCATAGTAACGCCAAGGGTTTGCAGGCACTGGTGCTTTTGGAGCTGGGGTGGACATCTTGGCGATGGCCGGGTTGGTTGTGGCTTGTGGCGCCTGTTTATCGGCGAGTTAGCGCATACACCAAGAGTAGGCCGAGTGGGATCTTTTCTTACGCCTATTGGTTTTCGCTTGACTAGGCTTTGTTGTGCTTGCCCGTATCGTCCGCCCCCGAGAGCTTGACCGTCGGCCCCAGATGCAGGACGGCGGAATGCTCCTGAGCGGTTCAAGCTAGGCGTGCTCCTCCTGAAGGCTGCTTCTATACTGGCTGCCTGGCTCCGTGTGTAAGTAGGTATGATATGAAGCACAGTCTCAGTCTGCCGAGACTAGTGGGAGCAGCTTTGTCGGTCTCTGGGTTTTTCTCAGCGTTTGTGTGTGCTGGAATGTAGGCGTGTTTAGGTCACAACTGCCCGCCCCGACCTCTATACCACGCCACGACTCTGGCGTTGCAGTCATGTACTCAAGTACAGGAGATTTCGACATGAACTATTTTTAGAAAACAACCCAAAGCCCCCTCAACGCGCACGCCGGCAAAAGGTTGCGGCCTTGGGCCGAGAAGGCTGAGGCGGCTGGTTCTACCCCCCTACATAATCCTAGACTCCTACATACGTCCTACATACGAACAGACGGTCATGGCCATGGCTATCGCCGTCCTATTGGTTGCAGACGCGGTACCGAGTGCACACCATCAGCAGACTCGCCGAATCGAGGCTGGACATGCACAGGCCAGGCCTGAAGTATCTTGAGACATGGCGCAACAGCTGCCTTCTCTAGCTGTTGTACTCATCCCACCTAACGGCCGCGTCACCTCTGGCGCCTGGGGTAGTAGAGAAAGGGCCGAGTGCTACGACGCGGAACCAATCGCCACGGACACTTTGACGCCAATCTTTCGACCTTGCAGGAGTCGGCTGCTTCTCGCGTCCTGCATGCCTCCTCTCGGAGCAAGTCCCCCGTCGTAGCCTCCTTGCAGTCCGTGGAGGATGCAGCGCGCAGGAGTCACAGGGAGCAAACGCTACACATCTTGGGTTACATGTGGTCTACGTGGCAGCAGGGTTCACTTCGCTGTAACCATACCGAGGCTTTCCGCCCTGATGGCGATGGCGCTTTTCTAGCTAAAGCAACTATTTTGGGAAAGACGCCCTAGTGTTAACTTGCGGCCCTAGTGCTAACTTGTGGATCATCTCAGAGCTGGGAACTCCTGGTCCTATCGTGAACTCCTGGTCCTAGCGTGAACTCCTGGTCCTGGCGTGAACTCCTGGTCCTGGCGTGAACTCCTGGTCCTGGCGTGAACTCCTGGTCCTGGCGTGAATATCGAGACGGGGACCGCAAACATATTAGGACTTCCAACAGCAAATAAATTCGAAAAGACATCTACATCTGCGTTATCCGCCAATAATCGCTGTACTTTCTGTGGTTCCAAATCCACCCTTTCAAGTCGGAAAACTAGTCGATCTAGACAAAGTGTGACAATACTAGTACAGATGAGATGAGGAAAGTCCTGAAGGAAAGAAAACAAAGGCGGAGAAAAGGCTAATTTAACCCGCTACGTCTCTGTCGTGCTCGTGGGTCCGTCTATCCCCGGCCAGTTTAGGTTCCTGGCCATATTTCTCAATCTCCCAGACACGCCCGGGCGTTTGTTGCGCTCCTCCTTGCCGCATGCGCAGGTCGGACGCCAAGTGCTCCGACACATAGGCTGCATTGTGGCGCGTCACCACCGTGTCGGGGTGGTTTGGTCCCAGCAGGCGGCTCTGCCTGGTGAGCACGTGCTGCATGATGGGCCACCCCTCGTCTACGCGCCCCTGAGCGCACCTTGCCTGCGCCAGACTACCCATGATGCGCAGCGTGATGAAGTGGCCGCCGCCCAGGCGCCGTTCCGACGCCTGCCAGGCACCTTGGTAGCCTTTCTCGGCTTGCTGGTAGTTGCCCTGCCTGGCCTGCTCAAGGGCGAGATTGAAGTTTTCCTTTTCCACTAGGCCTAAGTCCAGGTCTAGCGGGCTCTCGCTCTCGTCCGTCCTGCTGCTGCTGCCGCTACCGCCTCCTCCGCTACCGCCTCCTGGGCTGGCCAGAACCAGGACAGAAGAATTGTGCGGGGACGGGGTTTCTCCAACCTCCTTAGTTGCGGCATGGGCCCTGGTAGTCTCGCCGAGAGCATGCTGGGCTTTTTCCGCCTCGTCCTCGAGGCCAAGGTGGTGCAGGTTCTGCAGGCAGGCTTCGAACCGCAGGATGGCAGCCTGGTGCTGGCCCTGGTGGGCCATATGCGTGGCCACCTTGAAGAGTAGACGGGCATGGTCTCGCCTGGCCTCGGCTGCGACTGCGGCAGCGTCCTGGGCGACGCGACGCCGAGTTCCAGGACGGCCAGAGCACACGGAGTCAGGGCGCCGCACTTGTCGTGCTCCTCCTCGGAAGCTTCGGCGGCAGGATAAGCAGTGCTATCAGCGAGAGGGCCCTGACCTCGCAAGCCACCGTCTCGTCGCGCCCCACCATGTACGCCCGGGCGCACTGGCGAACCAGGTCCGTGACGAAGACGGCTGTGCGGTTGACGTAGGGCTCCACCATGCCGTACCGCACTAGGATCTGGATGTGTCTTTCGACGTCCCTGTCGGCAACCGCCTCGGCGAGGAAGGAAGTGCTGAGGCTCTGCACGTCCAAGATGCTTATCAGCAGCAACAGGCGCGACGTATCCGGGTGCCGGGCAGCGAGGTCGTTCCAGAGCAGCTGCCAAGCCCGCCGCACCCCGGCCTCTTCCTTGATGGTGATGGCCTGGTTCGACAAGTTCTTCGGCTTGGGCAGCGACCGGAACGCCTCTAGGTAACGGCTCAGAGGCATCATCTTCTCGACCGTGCTGCGGTAGGCGTAGGCAAGCGTTAGGGCGACGGGCGAGGACCCCAGTTCCCTTGCCACGCGGGCCGCCGACCTCAGCTTGGCCGCGTCTTGGATGGCCGACTCGGACCCCAGCAGAAGCTTGGCGGCATCCCTGTCGTCGATGGCGGGCAGGTCGACGACGCTGTGCTCTTTCTGCTGGACCAGCCGGTTGGCCACGGTCCTCGAGCGGGTCGTGGCCAAAATCTTGCCGATGTGGGAGGTCTTTGGGATGAAGTCCAAGAGCGATTCGCCCGTGTGCGGCCCGTTGGTAGCTCTCAGATGGTCCAGCCCTTCGTTCAAGCCGTCCAGGACCACCAGCCAACGGCCGCCAGACTCGCGTTTCAGGTGGCAGCGCACCGTTTCGAGCACGCCCTTGCCTGCGTCCAAACTCAGGTGGGAGGCGTTCGCAATGAGCATATAGGATTGCTCAAACTGCTCTGCGCTCGCGGCGTTGACCCAGCAGACCCTGGAGCTGGGGTAGTCCTTGGTGAACTTGTGTGCGTATTTAATAGCAACGTGCGTCTTCCTGCATGTTTCGCGTCAGTAACCTGGTAGTCGGTCCGGGCCCTCGGGAGCGTAGGTAGGGTATCATGGACTTACCCGATCCCGGGACTACCGCATAGTACTACCGTCTCCGTCTTGCCATGTTTGTCCGTAATTTGCTGCAGTATGCCGCAGCGGCCTATGAAGTTGGGCTCCTCCTTGAAGGGAAGCAACGTCAGCAGGGCAAATGAGTGCTCCGAGGCTGACGTTGACTTGGTCGACGGAGTTTCTGCACGTGTTAGTCAGAGTGCACGTGAGAAGGGGCACGCGTGAAAAGGGGGCACAGGTGGGAAGAGGGCACACTGCAAATGACGGAGAGAGAGCAAAATGATCAAAGCCGCCCCTATATTTTACTGCCGGGCCTGGAAACGCATGGGGGGAGGTGTGTTGTGTCTTTCAATATAGCTGGGGAACCTGCTTACCCCCTCTTCGACCCTCTAGGATGTCCTTAGACTCTTCAACCATTTTCTTGATCTTGGAGCTGACGGATTGGTAATGCGAGTCCTCGCTGTCTTCGAACTTGTCCATTTCAAAGTGTCCCAGAGCCAGTCTGACCTTGGGATGCCCGCTCAGAGTGCCCGACATTCGTCGACGGCATATGCCTAGGTAACGATTAGGTACAGAATCACCGCCAGCTGGGCTTGTAGGCTATAGTTATTCTCATGTGGGGGGGGGGGGTTCTTTTTTTTTTTCACTCACCTCGTCGGTCTCGAAACCGGCTATGGCCCCAAATTTTGTTTGTCTCTCTTCGAAGAAGCAGTAGACCCTGGGCGGGGCCGGGCGAGTGCTGATCTCGCGGCAAAAATCGTGTACGACGCCGATAAGCATATCATCATTCTCGGCTAGACAGTTGCCTAGGTTGCTTTCTGTGCTTTCTGTGCGAGGGCGATTTGCTCATACATTTGTTTCAGGCTCTCTTCCGACGAGAATCCCTTGTAAGGAGTGCCGAGTGACAAAAAATGGGAATCTCTCTCTAACAGAGACCTCGGCGGCAAAAGGCATCATTTGTAATAACGTATTTTATAAGCGAATGCCCCATATAAGCGAATGCCCCACGCCCCACTACTCTACCACAATTATCTACAACTATTCCACCACAACACTAGGAAATGACAATAATTGAACTAGGAATAGATAAACCAGACAATTCTCCAGCCTCCTGACAGGTTCTTGCATTATGGCCAGGCTTTCCACACACACCACAGCACCGAGCCTTCGTACGAGCCCCCCTTGCACTACCACCACTTTGCCTTGTTTCCTGGGCTAACTGCTCACCCACGGCCTTCTGATCTAGTAGATCCTGTGCCTGTTGTACAGTAAGAGACCCTCCAAGCCGTAGACGTGTTTTTTTAGCCCTCCGTCGCTTACTAAGCTCCTCATTGGCCTTTCGTAATGCCGAGACCTCTGTACGTAACAGGGCCACCTCATGCATCATAGCCATTGTACCTTTAGCCAATTGGTCCACAGCAGTCAGCATAGGTGTCGGAGAGCTGCCTTGGTGGTTAGATATCCGGCCTTTAATAAGCTCCTTCTGTGAGGTAGCCTCTTGGGCGTTTTGTGGAGTCTGAGATAGCCAAGGTAGTGCGGTGTTTGGTGGTGAGGCTGGCGGAGTTGGAGTTCGAAGCCGAACAGTCATCTTAGAAAGTACCCTGCCTGGATCATGCGGTATAAGGCCAGCTCCAGCAAATGCTCCTTGGATGTTTTGGTCGATAAAGGCGATGAAAAATGCCTCTTTGAATGCATAGAGAAAATCTACCTTGGTGATATGTGTGATGTACATCCGCATTAACCCCTCAATTTGATCGCCGTAGGCCTTCTTCAATGGCCCAAAACAACCAACATCTAATGGCTGGACTAGATGTGAGGAATGCGGAGGCATAAGTTAGGTGGGGGAGTAAGCGAACGCCACTGATCCAGAACATTCTAGATAAGCGAGGAACACAACCAACCCTCTTATATAAAAAGCCCATAACTCAACCAATTCTTTTCCAATTCTCTTCATCTTCAATTCGTTTTATTCTTCTCTTGACAATGGTTTCATATACAGAAGAAGACCTCCGCAAGGCTTGCGAGGAAGCCGTCAGAACACATCGATTACGCAAAGTCGCGCGAAAATGGAATGTTCCACCCTCCACCCTTTATGGCCGTCTACATGGCTCCCTACCTCGAAATGTTGCTCATCAAGATGAGCAAAGGCTTACACAGACCTAAGAGGATCGTTTAGTCGAATGGATTCTTCTTCAACAAGATTTAGGATTGCCCCCTACACATGCACAGATCAGGGAGCTTGCACGCCGTATTCTAGCTGAAAGGGGGGACTCCTTACCACTTGGAAAGGGGTGGTGCCGTGCCTTTCTTAACCGCAATCGAATTTTGAAGACTCAGAGGGCCAAGAGAGTCGATTCGGTCCGCGTCAACTGCGCTACAGAGTCAACAATTCGACCTTGGTTCAACCATTTCCAAACACCAGCTATCAAGGCGATTAAGCCAGAGAATCGCTGGAACAAGGACGAATCTGGTATTATGGAAGGCAGAGGAACCAACGGCCTTGTCATTGGAAGCCGTGCCTTTAAGGCGCTTCAAAAAAAAACAGCCTGGAACCCGCACTTGGACCACTTTTGTCGAATGCATCTCAGCAGCTGGCCGTTGCCTTCCTCCTTTGGTCATTTTTAAGGGGAAAAGCGTTCAACAACAATGGTTTCCTTTGGATATGAAGCCATTTCAGGATTGGTTCTTTACAGCAACTGAGAAAGGATGGACTACCGATGAGACAAGCCTCAAATGGTTAAAAAATGTGTTCATTCCTCTCACCAAGCCAGCAAACTCCTCTGAGAAACGACTCCTTATTATTGATGGCCATGGCAGCCACACAACTGCCGATTATATGTGGGAGGCATACACAAACAATATTCACATTATTTATCTGCCTCCCCATACTTCCCATGTCCTCCAACCCCTAGATTTGGCCATATTTGGCCCCCTAAAACGACTTTATCGCAGACGGCTTGAGGACCTTCTTGCTAACGCCTTTGACGACTCTTCTGTAGCCGGAAAACGTGCGTTTCTGGAATGCTACCAGATTTCACGCACAGAGGCAATTACTAAGAGTAATGCTAAGTCAGGATGGAAGGCATCAGGCCTTTGGCCCTTGAATGTCAACAAACCGCTAAGAAGCCCACTCCTCCTCAAGAATTCTAATACTTCACGCCCCTTAAGAACTACTATAGTTACCCCAGAGGTTCGCACACTCCGTATGCCAATCCTGGAGGATTATGGAGACGATCGGGTGCAGTGGAGGACTCCTAGAAAGGCACGTGATTACGTTGAGCAGGCAAAGAAGTTCGCACGCATCATCAAAGCAATGCCAGCGGATAAGCTCTTCCTCAGAAAGATTGGTAAGGCTTTGGATGAACAGGCCTTTGAACTGGCTATTAGGAAGCGAAAGATTGAAGGTCTAGAACACACTCTCGAATCAATAAGAGCCAGAAAGAAGAAGAAGGTTGAAGAAGATCCAAATACCACCTTTGCGAATATTCAGACTATTCGTGAGGCCCAGAGAGCTGTAGGGCGTGCAGCAGAGGTTTTAGAAGATGCGGAAGAAGCGGATGATTCAGAGGATATCAAAGATTGTATTGAAGTTTTGTAAATAAAAAGATCACCCTTTCTTTTGTTGGAGGGTTAGTTGGGACTCCTGCTTATACAGAATGTTCTAAATCAGTAGTGTTCGCTTACCCCCCCACCTAACTTTACAGAGTGTAATAATGTTATGCTTCTTGCAGTAGTTCTCGAAATCGTCGGAGTGGTGGCTTTCGTGGCCGTCAAGGATTAAGAGCCGGTATCTCCCCTTTGTACGAGATGTTGTATGGAGATCGAAGTGTTTGATAAAATCTAGGCCTTTCGTATTTGTAGTCCAGCCGTTGTCGGTTACTCCGATGTACCAGGTCTCCGGAAGGCCACATTCATACCAGCCTTTCTGGTGGTATTTTCCTTTTAAGAGGATGAATGGTGGGATAGCCCAGCCTTGAGCATTTACTGCTTGGATAAATGTAGCCCACTCACGATTACCAGGTTGGACTTTTTTAGCCTTCCCATAGCCATCAGAGGTAGTAACAACCATCCCAGTAGTAATCATACCCATCATAAAGCCAGTCTCATCGAAATTGTACATATCGTCGTCAAGGATGCCGCACTTGGCCTTGGTGTTATGTACTAGGGCAAACCACTCGCGAATAATCTCTGGATCTTCGCATTTAGCCCTCTGGTAGTCGTATCTACGCGAAAAACGCGTCCGGAGCTCTAGTTGGCGTTTGACGAAGTTGTGAGCCCAGAGCTTACCGACAGGGGGCGCGTCGCGTTCGCGTAACAATCGGTTGGCCATATCTTCCACAAAACGAAGCCCAGGAGGAAATGCGCGTGTGCAAAGCTCGCTTATATACTGAACAATCGTACTCTCCTCTAGATCCGTAAGTTTCCGTGAGTTGGCTGGAATATCGCGTCGTGAAGGCTGGCCGGCGCGTCGGCGCCTAAGAGTCTTAGGATCGACTTGATAGATCTTAGCAGCGCCTCGAATAGTAAGATCTGTATCTTTTTCGAGAGCCTCAATGGCCAAGATTAGCCTGGCTTCTTTTGACGGCGACCGCATTTCGAGTGGTGGAAAAAAGCGGTGTTGTAGGTGGAGGTGCTGATTTGTATGGGGCGTGGGGCATTCGCTTATATGGTGCATTCGCTTATAAAATACGTTAGGTGCCGCTGTGCTAGCTAGACAAAACAGCTACCTGTGCGCCTAGGAATCTAGTCAACTGTGCATATATATGCTGCTGTAGGCTGTAGTGGCTGTAGGCTACCTCAGCACATCATTCTCGTCGATTCGTCTACCTAGCACATCATTTTCATCGATTCGTCTACCCAGTACATCATTCTCGTCGATTCGTCAACCTCAGATGTTGTTCTAGAGTCTATGACGAGCCCCAGCGATAATGAACCTTTGTTCCGCCAGGTTCCTCTTTGCAGCGGCTTTGAAAATTTGGAAAGTCCGCCGTCGTTCTCATCTTCCCAATCGCCCCGGTTCCACAAACCCAGCCGTCAACAAATATCCACGCTCAGCCAGACGCTCAAATTCATGTCTGAACAGCCACAACCTCTCTTCGGACAGGCCGGCGGCGGCAGCGACCACAGTCCTCTCAACCTAGCCTATCACCCCTTGAAGATGATTATCTCGAAATGTATGGTGTACAATCGTGTCCTGGCGCGGGTCTTGAAGCACTACGAATACTCCCTCAGCATTGCGCAGTCGAGAAGAATCTTCCAGGAAGACATCATCGACCCCAGAAATGGCGCCAACGCGTCATGCAGACCCAACACAAGCTCAACTCAACCAAAGAATACATCTCCCACTACTGCGGTGGGCATCTTGTGGTCGGGGCGGCGGCAGCTGCCCAAAGTTTGGGTGTCTGTCATTGGAATCTCGTTAGCCGTCGCAGTTTACCGCGCTTACTCTCTCTCTTTCTCTCTCTCTCTCTCTCTCTCTCTCTCTCTCTCTCTCTCTCTCTCTCTCTCTCCCTCCCTCTCCCTCTCTCTCTCTGTCTCTCCCTCTCCCTCTCTCTCTCTGTCTCTCCTTTTCTTTTCTTTTCTCTTCCTTTTTCTTCCTTTGTAGGAGGTGGTAAAAGGGGTACCGTACCCTACCCCCCAGCAGACCACCCTTTTGAACAACAACAGCGTAGTCAATTGTGAAGCTATCGCAAGTAGTCATTTGATCTAGTTATGTAATTGCATATAGTTTAGGCTTAAAATGGATCTATTAGCCTATACTTTTTGGGCTACAACGTCCACAGCAGCCCTCTCGTTAAAACCCAAAATTGTTTAGCTTGGCATTATGTCTAACGGGAAACGGAAGTTGCGGGAAGCGCTGAAATTAAGGGTATCAGGGAGCCGAAAATAAGGTAAGCACTTTGAATACTAGAGCCAACCTAGGCAAGTTCCGTGATGTTGACCTCTGACAGTTCACCCAGCTCTTTCGGCACAACGTCGATAAGGTTGCGCCACACCTGCATGCGCATAGGTACGGGATTCACTGAACCTTGTTGACCAAAATGCATTTATTACGGCGCCCCCCTGCCAATTTTATCCATCTCGTCACCTACGAATCTCCAACAAGACCGCAACACCCATCACCTTTTATCGCGCCCCCTCCCAATATCCATGGGCCACCTTAGCTGTCGGCCATGGACCACCTTAGCTGTCGGCCATGGACCACTTTAGCTGTCGGCCAGATGGCGACCAAAAATATAACCTCGAGATGTTTATGGTGTCGCCGCTCAGTGACTTGGACAGATTCTCACCAATAACACCACAAAATGTCCCTTGGTATGTCAAGCTCTCGTTCGACTTTGTCGACGGGCCGGGATATATGCGAAAGGGGTTATGGTGGACCACACGAAATTTGGTCCATGAGCAATCTTCGTTTAGATGTGGCCCCAAAGAAGGGCATTACCAGTTCACTCGGCTTTGGCGCATTCGCGAGTTTCCCAACAAACCTGCCGCAAAGTCCGTCTGGACTGGGACTATCTCTTTCATGGGACTACACTCAAGACACTATCAAGCTTTCGCCTACAGACATTGACGAGGCAGCATATCTTCGCCGCTATGACTGAAAACCCTTCCGGCGATATTTATCAGATGCTCGATCGTAACCTTCCCGGTTATTGCGTTAACTGCATATACGACGACGACCCGACGATCCCGTGGTGGATGTGGCCAATGGAATATTCCTATCGCCGAAGAGAGCTGGAGTCGCATGCTGATGCGGAAAAGGGCTGGGATGCTTATCGGCTTGGTCGTTATCTTCGCCATGTTCAACACTTATGTTTGCCCAGTTATTTGATATGGAGGGGGGAAGGGTAACATTTAGGCGTCACTGATAAAGGGAGTTGTGTCTTGGTCATTACTTCAGTCCATTCACATCTAGATATTCATAATATAATCAACGGATGCGGAATGGTGAGTCTATGAGGAACCCCGAATACCACCAGCAGAGCCCTTAGAGGTACACTTTATTCCCAAGGACTTATTTTCTTCGTGGCAAGACAATGTCAGTAAAGGACTTTGCTTTTAACACCCTGATTAGTCTCTAGTCAGAATACCACTAAATAGGATGCCAATAATTTACACAGGATTAAGCAACGTATAGGTTAGAAAAGTCGCGAAATTATCTCGAGGAAAAGAGAGCAATACCACAATGATTACTCCCCCTCAGACGCCCCCAAAACCAATACCCTCCCAGGCCCGAGAAGCGCTGTGTTGTAGCTGTACATAAACATAATACCTAGGTGGGCAACTAGGAGGTGGTGGTCAAGATATGCACTGCAACCCGCTGCGGGACCAGGATCGTGGCAGCAGGATCATGGCGTTGGGAGCTAAATGCACATGATTCGACCATTTGGGCCGAGCTGGCTCGGAAGTCACGTATCTATACCGTCTGCTAGCTCCGGGAATTTGGCAGCACCCGAAGGCTTTCCAATTTTCAGGCCATGTCGTTGGTTGTGGCGCAGCACCGGAGGGAAGATGACGCCGTCGTGGTCGAATAATTATTAATTAGCTGCTAACAACGGTTACACCGTTACACAAGCTGTCGAGGTTCTTTATAGGCAGCGCGACCGAGTTTGTTGGCAGCGCGACCGGGTTTGTTGGCAGCTGGGCCGCAGCAGCCATCGCTTCGTATATGCCAGTCACACAGACCCAGGTTTTGTTTGGTGCAATTCCAGTACACGTCAAACATCAGGAAACAAAGCGCTAGGGAGACCATGAAAAAAAAGGTCGGCAAGCTTGAACAATAAAGGCTCTGTAGGTCTTAAACGGGCTGATTACTATTGCCCCAGTAACACCTACTACTTGATAATTATCCTGCTGCAGCCCACCCGGGCACACAACAGATTCGGTCAAGTACCGTCGTCCGTCGTCCGTCGTCCGTCGTCCCCGCCACATCCACCATCCTTCGACACTCCAAGCACACCAACACAAAGGAAGCATTACACTTTGTCCCAACCTTATTCCCCAGAGCAACCCTAACCCACACACTCCACAACAAAGGGGGAATCGCAGTAGAATGGGCCCCATCCCCCGTCCCCACCTGTGGAGCGTTCCGTTTCCACCCAACACACAAGAAGGTTCCAAAAAACAAAAGATTTACCGAGCGAGCAATTTCTGCTCGGGGTGGAGTGGGACCAGTGAGGATCGAACTCACGACCTCAGGATGGCTCTGGCGTTTAACCAGATCATATGCGGAGATATGAGACCTGCGCGCTAACCAGCTGCGCCATGGTCCCTTGTTGTTTGATGCGTTGGTCGGGCGGAATTTCACCACTTGTTCCACGTTCACGGAGCACACTTTCCAACCTGCATTGTAATTAACCTTCACGTTCTACGCAATGTCAGTTGAGATAAATTATTGAACGAATTATTGGCTTTTTTATTTTTTTTATTTGTCAATCTAGGCATTGCCGACGTGCCGTGCACTCGGCTCCTTCTATTACATTATATTATTTTCGTTGTTTTTGTGAGAATTGCTCGCTCCCACGCAATGCACCGTGGCTGACATAGTGCTTGCTACCCCTCCAATGGGATCTATCCGGACGGTCCCCGTAAGTACAATGTGATATACTTTCTCCTTATGGTATGATGGGCCTTGACTATGACTTCCACACCTTCTTCACCAAAGACACCAGCCAGCCAATGGCACGCGTCAGGAATCTCGGCCGTGGGAGACGCGACCAGAACCGGGGCTTGGAGGGCTCGACTGACTCGGTGCCTGCTTCGAGATCTCGCTCTTCGCCGTTCATTTGGTTCTGGGCGGTGAGGTCTTGAGGGCTGCTGGGATTGCCGTCATTCTCAAGTTGCGGTTCTTCAGGGGCTGGGCTAGCTTGCTCGTCGCCGTCGATTCGGTCCTGGGGAGTGACGTCTCGGAGGGCATTCGGATCGCAATCGGCCTCCGACCTCTCCTCTTCCTCGGGGACGAGGGCATTGGCGGTGCTGTGGTCCGCCATATTCTCCTCATCCTTGGAGACCGTTGTTGCCCGCTCGTCGACAAAACTCGAATCCTTCTCGTCGCGGCTGTGTTCGCTGCTGCTACCCCAATGGGCTTTCCGGCGGCTATCCAGCAATCCAAGACGAGTCCGGTGGTCCTCGAACCACTCGTGATTGAGGAGGTCACCTGTCGACGCCCGCTCCAGTGGATCCCATTTGAAGACTGTCATGAGAAAGTCTGCGAGCTTGTTGGCGGCTGACAGGCTCATCCGCGCCGAGACGAGCTCTCGAGGGTCGTGGTGTGTCTCGCACATCTCGTGATACGAGGGGTAGAATGGCGGTATCCGGCCGCTCACCGTGTAGTCCTCGACTCCTCCAGTCGCGTCCGTGGTTTGTTTGAGTCGGCGAAGGGGTACCTCGCCGACCATGCCCGCCACGAGCAAGCGGTCGGTATGTTTTGCGTCCATCATGTCCTTCTTCGTGCGCTCCATGTTTTGTGTGGTAATCGAGACGGGCAAGTCGTCGGGTATGTCGACTTTGTTTTTGGAAAGCGGGCCGAGCGATTCCTGGTATGCCTCTCTGTAGCGCCTAGGAAGTGGACCGATTTCCGTTTCCATGTTCCTCACCGCCTCAGATACCTCCCCATCTTCAGTAAAGGGTGGATATTCCGTGTGGATTTCGTAGATGGTGCAGGCGAGAGTCCAGATGTCGGCCTCGAATCCGTGCTCGACCTGCAGGAACATGTCCTCCGGCGCGGCGTAGTGAAACGGAATGCCAGTGTGTGTGGTGGGGCAGTTCTCGGCGTGATAGGCCATGCCGAAGTCGACCACCGCGACCTCGGGGAGGCAGAAACCGGAACTGATGTCCACCTCAACCTTGCCGACGAGATAATCGGGGACTCCCGGGTCTCGGTCGCCCTCGTCGCAATCAGCGATTACATCAACTGTCGTTTCGCGGTCTCCCATGCCTAGTTTCTCGCGGAGGTCCGCCTCGGTCATGTCGTCAATCTCGTCGCTGAGGCGGAGAAGAATATTCTCGGCGCGGAAGTCGCCGTGGCAGATGTCTGCGCTGTGGATAAAGTCCATGGCCTCGACCAGCTGGAAGCTGATGTCTTTCAGAAGGGCCCCGTTGTCTCGATACGTGTCCATCAGCACCCGCAGTGACGGGCCGAGCAGGGGCAGGACGTGGCAGAGGTGGTCGCCGTTGGGGCCCTTGATCCAGAAGTGGTCCAGGGGGAGGAAAACATGGTTTTCCTCGCGCTGTTCGCGTCCAATGCCCATCGAGGTAAAGTGGTCAAGCGCAATGATGTCGCGACAGTTATGTGACATGTGTGCCGACAGTATCTTGACGGCGCGCCACTTGTTTTCGGCCTGGTCACGGCACAGCCAAACAGTGCCACACCCGCCGTCGCCGAGCTTGTCCACCACACGGAATCTCCCACATTCTCCAAGGAGATCACCTATCACGACTGGGTGGAATCCTCCCTCGCGGTAGTCATTTACATCCTCGACTGCGGCGCGGGGCTGGTCATCGAGGTCGTAGTAATGTAAGTTTTGCCGTAAGGTGCGCTCTGAAGACTGCGCCGGCTGACTCGAGCGGGGGCTGTCCATTTTTGGGAGGGCTAGATCTGTGTGACAAAGGCAGCCAATTCGGGTACTCGGGGGCCTTTGAAGGGTGCCGTGAGTAATAGTTGTTGTTGTAAGTAAGTAGAGAACGGAATAATAATTCTTAGCGGAAATCTCGACTAGGTTTGCCATGGATTCTTTTGATGAGTCAAGTGGAGGGTCAATCAACCAAGCAAAATGTAGGGCAAACACTTTTAATACTAGTGCGACGTAAAAGTCAACGCCATTGTTCATGTTTGGGTTGCGTGCAAACAGTAGTCTTGTTTGTTTGCCTGGTAACAAAGGTAGATTGCTTACTGGTGCGTGCGGGGCTCCCAGTGCCTGACTGAGGCACACATCTGTGTAATACCATGATGCGCTCTCTGTGGCAAAGAGGAAGTGGAAGAGATGCCATACTTGACTTGATAATAGTTTCGCTATTCGATATCAGTGACTGTGATCAGCGAACTATAATAACGTGACTACGAGATTTGCTATCGTCACATGACTATCAATATTTCAAATATCTCCTTCCCTCTTACCCCTAGGCTCGTGCTCATCAAATACCAACGCTGTTCAGAAACAGAACCATAATCACTTTATCTTGTTGCTGAACAGCAAGGGGGTTCGCTCTCCAAACAGTCGGAGATGAATATATATAAAATTGACTTTGGGCATTCGAGTAACAATCGGCCGGACGGCTAAACGTCTTCATTTGAGCGCAAGCCGAAGGACTTGGATTATCAAGTGTGAGCCTCGCAGCACAAGTAATACGCCTACGCTTCCAACCAGTGCATCGAGACATATCCGGATCTCTCTTGACAAATCTCAAGCCATTTCGAAAGTAAAACATGGCAGACGACAACACACGACTCACAGGCCCAAAGGCGAGGACCTGGCGCGCCAAGCTGCCAGCTCAGAACCCCCAAGGGCCGCCGAGAACGATGCCTAATATCAAGTTCATTCCAGGAGTCACTAAGATAAAAGGCCCCGGAGCTCCCCCGCTCGACAGCGCGACCCGCAAGACATGCAAAATCATCCAGTCGACCGGCAAGGGAAACCTCGACGACCCTTACATCACCTGGTCGTCAAAGACGCCCCTCAACAACGATGTCACTAAGTCCTGTGAGGAAGCTGTCAGGCTCGTCACCAAAAAGTGCGGCATGACCTACGCTGTAATCAGAAAGGGACCTCACGACAAGATGTGCCAATACGATCAAGATGGCAGACGCCAGACGGTCGCTTTCAATAGTGGCGCCGTCAAGCCCACGCTTAAGCAATCTGACTGGCATGTCACGATTTCTATGGGGAAAACACTGAACGAATGCTATGTCCAAGGACATGTCTTCGTCGTCAACAAGGGGGGAGATGTGAAATGGTCCTTGATGGATGACCCAGCCACACAGCGATTCTACAAAGGAGATGGCGCCGAGGCCGAGGCTATCGAGCTTTGGCTTATGCCCCGAACGTTTCTTGCCACCGAGAAGGAGGCTGCCGCAAGGTAAATAACGCACCCTCGCTCCCCACAACAGAGCGATAGAACGACGGAGCGACGGAGAAACAGGGCAAGAGTGCAATAGTGCAACAGAGAGCAGTCAGCCTTACCCTACAACCGATTGTATCAACATCAGTACAAGTACATAGTACATTCATTACCCTTACCTTGGGTAGCGAATACAGCGTTGTCTTGTAATTAATTTCTCATTCCCAGTGACCTTTTGCCTAACATGATATGTCTATTGATGAACCCGTCCAAACAGCTTGACCGCCTGGGGAGGGGCATGTGTTGAGTTTCTAAATATATACTCAAGCAACCCCAGCCCTTACTAAAACTACCCAACGGCTTTATGAGGATACGAAAAGTAGACGTGCATTAGTTACCTCGAGTTACCTCGAGGACTTTTGTATCTTAAGTCAGTCTAGAAGTTACCTGAAGACATTCCCTCTTCTTTTCTCCTTGCTTTTGATGATCCTACTTGGTATCTAAAGCCCTCGTTTCCATGTTCTCAATATTGACTCCCCTTGTCCTTAATTCCCATTTAACATCGATGCGAGCTTGACTTGCTTGAGCACGGCATTGTATGATGTTGAGAGGATGTGTGTGGTTCAGGAGGATTTTACTGTCTGGGATTTTACGGTCTGGGATTTTACGGTCTGGGATTTTACGGTCTGGGATTTTACGGTCTGGGATTTTACTGTCTTTCATTTTCCTTTTCTTTCTGTATTATTCGTAACTCGTTAGCGTAAAAAGTAGAGAGCGAATTCTACGCATCTAGAGACGTGCATCTGATTGAGTGTATAAAGAATTTGGCATAGCCACTTGTATAAAAGCTCTTCGAAACTGGAATTAGGAAGTGTCTTCGTGGGCGATGTAACCCTGGAGACTTGGTTCTAGACCAAGAAGCTATTACTAGCAAGCGCCACGTCATGCCATCATGCATCCCATGCCATGCACTGCCCCCTGCAGCCCGCAGGAGGCCGCGGCTGAGGCCAAGCACTGCCTGCCCGATTGCGAGCTTTCAATGAGCACATCCACGAAACACCAAAAAAAAATTCCAACCCATTGGGACTACTCAGGGACCGTACATTGGCGGCAGTGGCAGCCAGCAGCAAAGATGCGGCTCATCGATACCAAGACGCTGGAGCTGAAGGAGTTCATGGGCAGCGCAATCCCGCGGTACGCCATCCTGTCGCACACGTGGGAGGAGGACGAGGTCGGGTTCCACGAGTTCACGCAGCTGGGGCGGGGCGAGCTGCGCAAGAAGAAGGGCTTCGCCAAGATCGACCACACGTGCCGGCTGGCGCGCGGGTCGGGCATCAGCTGGGCCTGGGTCGACACGTGCTGCATCGACAAGTCGAGCAGCGCCGAGCTCACCGAGGCCATCAACTCCATGTACCAGTGGTACGCCGACGCCATCGTCTGCTTCGCCTATCTCTCAGACCTGAAGCCGTCAGACCTGAAGACGGGCGGCGGCAGGAAGAAGGACCAGCAGCGGGCTGCCAAGGACGGCGGGTCCGTGACGTCGGGCGCCAACGGCGACGACGGTCTAACGTTTGAGCAGCGCGTGCAGAAGTACTCGCACTGCCGGTGGTTTACACGTGGTTGGACGCTGCAAGAACTGATCGCGCCGCGCCGGCTGGGTTTTTACGACACGGACTGGGGGTTTCAGGGAGAAAAGTCTGAAATGGCTCTGGAGCTGACAGCGATCACGGGGATCCGGAGAGACGTGCTCGAGAACAAGCTGGCTCCGTCGAGCGTGTCTGTGGCTCAGCGCATGTCATGGGCCTCGCGCCGGGAGACGACGCGGGCCGAAGACATGGCCTACTGTCTGCTCGGGCTCTTCGATGTCAACATGCCGCTGCTGTACGGCGAAGGCAGCAAGGCCTTTATCCGGCTCCAGGGCGAGATCATCAAGGAGATTTGCGACTTCAGCCTCTTCGCCTGGCGTCACCCCGAGCGAGAGAGCGGAGAGGAGGGCACCGGTGACAAAGCGCCAGCTCAGAGGCAGAAGCAGAGGCACTGGGGCATCCTGGCGCTCTCTCCCAAAGACTTCGCCGACAGCAGCGGAATCGAAACATTGGGCGACCTGATGTACAACAACGAGTGCGTCCCGACAAGCAAGGGTCTGCGCTTCGTGGCTCCCGTGAACTGCGGCCTGCTTGACGGAAAGGGGGAATTCGAAGGCACATACCTGATGAACCTGCGCTGCGAGGAGCGGGACGCACGTCTCCCCGTCGCCATCTGTCTCCGGAAACACGGCCGGGGCATCTATTCGCGCGTCAACCCTACCAAGCTGCCGAGGGTGAGAGATCGGGTCAAGACCAAGGAAGAGGTGTTTTACGTCACGGCAGCGGTTTCGCCGGCGCGGTCCGTAATGCTAGCCGCCAGCCACCGACACGCCATCAATCTCTCCAGGCTCGGCGAGAACCTGGGCATCCGGCTCGACAAGCTGGAGCCTGCCGACCATTGGGACCGGCAGCAGCTGCAGTTTCTGACCGAAGGCAACGGCTACATTCTCTACGAGGCAACGTTTTCGACTCTGCTCGACTTTCCCGCCAAGAGGGCCCGGCTCAGGATGCAGTTCTACTTCCAGCCAGACATGAACCTCTCCGTCACGCTCGGTGCCGTGTCGGAAAACGACGGCGATGATGCATACTTTCGAGCCGTCGAGGCATATTCCTACGAAGAGTCGGTCGAGGGGCAGCCAGTGCATTTTGTCATCCTCGAGCCTCCTCGGCGGAGAGGCGACAGGATGTTGGTCGCGCCATCGTCCGAGACGAGCAAATCCCCTCTGACATATAGACCTAGACCTAGAAGCAAGGGCGAAGAGTGGCTGAGTCCGCGGGCGTTGTGAACGGCGGCAGATGGGCGAGGCGGGTGCGTCACTGGCGCTAGGTCTCGCCGCAGTGTTCGGCGCTAGGGCCAGGGAATAAGGCTGGGAGATGGCGAGATGCGGTTGTCGAGGGCCTGTTTTGCTCATTAGCAAATGCAAATGCAAATGCAAATGCAAATGCAAATGCAAATGCAAATGCAAATGCAAATGCAAAAAACAAAAATATACTAAAAATGGGCAGAGATGGGTCTTAACTAGGTATGTTATGGCAAGCCTGACGATTGGGCGCCGATAAGCGTGATGATGCAGCCCACGGCGACGAAATGGAGTGCTGGCCAGGCACAAATCGTCCGTCGGGCTTCAGTGATTGATGCGGGAGGTGGAATCGAGCAACCTGGAATGGTGCGAGAGTTGAGGAGAACCAGGGTTAGGGTTCCGTTTCCCGGGCGGCGCCCCACCGACCCCACCGAGACACAAGGCCATCTCGCCATGTGATTACGTGCCGTGCATCGTGCTAGGGCCCTGGAGCCACTCGCCAAAACCTCTGGGCGACGCGAAAGCAGACAAGTCGCAGAAACTCGACAAAAACACATGGTGTAGACAGCAGCAATGTCGCCATGCCGAAACAAGGCAGCTTCATGCTGGTGCCCAACCCGGTGGTGGGCTTCCAGGGCCTCGTGTCCCGTGCAGCCGACAGCCCGCAGAGCAAGCCGCCCATGACGTCCAAGCAAGCCCAGAAACTGCACAAACTCGCAACGCGCCAGCCCCGCCTCTCCAAAGCCGAGCAGCGGCGCTTCGAACGCGACGAGCAGGAACGCATCCGCAACGAGTTCGACAAGGAGAAGCAGGCCTCCAAGGCCCGCGTCGCCCGCGACAAGAAAAAGGCAAAGGAGCAGCAGGCGGTTGAGCACAAGAGGAAGAATGGTCTGCCGCTGGTCGATGTTCGGCCCAGCCAGGACACCATCGCCAGGTTCGTCAGAGGCAACGGCCTGGGCAGAAAACGGGACTCGCTCGGCGCCGACGTGCGACTCGAAACTGTAACCGAGGAAGCCGAGATCGAGACGGAGCCGCTACTTCCTGCGAGGAAGAAATCAGCTTCGCCCCCGATTGCACGAGCGACAGCAATATCGACAGAGCCAGCCCCACCAGCTCCTGCGGGATACAAGACACCTTTGCCGGCGACTGCACGAGCGACTGTAAATGCAACAGAGCCAGTCCCACCAGCTCCTGCGGGATACAAATTACCTCCGCCGGCGGCTGCACGCGTGAGTGTCAATTCGACAGCAGCATGGACAGCATCAGCCACTCCGAGATCAATATCCACCTCGACAACAACTGCGGCCGCGACTGCAGCTACAACTCCCACATCCACGACAGCCGATACTTGCAGAATCGTTCGACAAGAACTCGGCAAGGCACGCAGCAAGAAGGCCGACCCCGTCACTCCCCAGCCGCCGGTATTCCGCAAGCCACCAATCCCAGTGCCCCGTGCTGTCGATGCACGCCCTGCGACCAGACAGCGGACACGGTACCAGAACAGAGAGTGGGAGATGGCACCCCCGACGAGCACACAGCTGTTTGTCATGGAACACATAGACGACCTCTTTCCCACCCCATCCCAGGGGGCCCGGGAACTGCAGGAAGAGTCTCCCAGAACCCCAGCGCCGCTGCCAAAGGCTGTCAAGCCGCAGCCGCCGGGCCAGGGCTGGGGACATAGCACTCGGGGGATGCAGGTCGCCGGCAGCCCCGGGGAAAAGGCCGACCCCGAGCCTGTCCTGTCGCAGGAGACAGACTATGGCGATTTCGACCTCGACGACACAGACCTCAAGCTATTGGAGGACCTGAGCGCGCATTTCGGGGATGACAAGTATCCTTAATTCCAATTTTATGCCCGTCGCTTCCCCGAAATTCCATTCCATATTGTCTCGTGGCTGGCCACGGTACGGTAGGCGACCACTGCAACCTACGGGAAGGTCGGCTTATCTTATCTCCACGTTAGCGGCCACTAAGAGCGCCGGAACATGGCCGCCGGTGCGCCAGGCTGCGCTGGACATGCACGCAATGCCCACCACCAGCACCAGCAGCTCGCCCGTCTTGGGCACCGCAACATTATGCGGCCACCCTGCAAACTAGCCCACACGGCAATTGACTGCAGAGGCAAGTGCACGCACGATGCGGTTGAACAAACCCAACTCGTGGAGCCGGGTCCGCGCAAGGCTACCAATCCCCAGGCCCTTGGGAGATGACTCTCTGCTTCTCGCCATGTGCCGAAGTCTACCTCACAATTGTCGCAGCCCGGCGCGTCGTTACCGGGCTTGGGTGTCAAGGCCGCCTGATTGGGCAGGAATGAGCTGCGACGTGTACAACAGAAGAGATAGCTGCAATTCTGGACGCTATCTACCTACCAGCAGGACGGGAGGACCCAAAGCTGTGGTGGCTTGGGCATTCAGCCCTGGCATGCGAGAAACCGGTTCCTGTCCGCATTTGTGTCTTCTGTGTGCTTGCTGTGTGCTGTGTGCTGTGCTGGTGCTGTGTGACACGGTGCTGCCTATGTCCCCCCAACCTGGAACTCGCATTGCGCGGGGTGACACACACCACACCCCCCCGGTCTCTAGGCACTGGAGGCCTGTTTGCCCGAGTACCTACATAGCCCCAGTCACATTCGGGGCGTCGAAGCCGCATTTCCCAACAAACGCCGGCTTTCTTATAGGCTCCCAGCCTTCCGTGCAGGCCGCGCAGGGTCCAGACCTGCGTGCTCTCCGCAGTTATATACACTCGCTGGCCATTTGCCCGGGTGTCTCGAGCCGTGCAACTTGGACCGACCGAGGATCACACGCACACACCATCGCAGCGGCCGTGCGCGACTTCGAGCCTGAAGATGAGCCGCCTCGATCGCCAGCAGTACGAGTACAGCTACGGCCGTGACTCGCCCAGCTGGGAGAGCCGCACGTACGGCGACGGCTTTATTTCGCCTGGGCGCCGCTCGGCAGCAGGCATGGCCTACGATGGCCCAGAGCGGATCAGGCCGAGGGATCTAGACAGGGCCAGGGTGACGGGCCGAGACCGAGACCGAGACCGAGAAACGAACCGGGATCGGGACCGGGATAGAGATGCCGAGTATGTGTTTGTGGACAAGGAAAAAGAGAACCTGAAGCAGCGCCTGAGCAGGACCAGCATGCCCCCTCTTGAGCCCGGCGCGGCAGCCCCCCGTCCCCCGTCATCAGCCGCCTCGCTCCCGGCCCGCCAGAACAGTGGTCGCACGCGGTCGCTCTCGCTGTCGCGCGTCTCCTCGCCCGACCAAGATCGCGACCGCGACCGCGACCGCGACCGCGAGTACTACGGCCACAGGCCCCGGGTCAAGTACTACCAGCACGAGCGGCTAAGCCTGTCCAGCCCTCGCGTCCCGCTAGCTGGAGCCGGATGGCCACTAGCGTCGTCGCGCCCGGCCTCCCGCTCTCCCGGCCCCATTGCCCGTCCGGGGCCAGACCGGGACAGATACGAGCGCGGCTTCCAGCTGGTCGAGCAGCGCCACAGCCAAAGCCGCAGCGCCGACCCGATGCTATCCATCTCGTCGGCCCTCCGCGACGACCCGCGCTTCGGCATGCAGCGCCTGTCGCTCGACGTCAACGGCCCCATGTCTCGAATGCCGATCAACCGGCGCGCCAGCTTCGACGCCGAGAGGGACGGGGGCTTGGTGAGGAGGAAAGCCCCGAGCATGAGCCCCGGGCGCGGCATCATGTCGCCGGCGTAAGTTCTTCTTTCCTCTGCAGGACACACCACCTCAAGCCAAGACTGGCAGCCCCTGCAAAAGTACCTGGAGGAACTAACACGCGGTACAGCCACCAAGTCTTCCGCCCCGCCGCCGTCCGGCCGCAGTACAACCAGGTGCACGCGCTGATCCTCACGTGGTCGTTCCACGACCTCAAGACGGCGCCGTACACGGCGCAGCCGGACCCGGACTACATCTCGCTCGAGGACGAGACGCGGCGGCTGCGCGACACGCTACGCAGTTACGGGTATCACGTGCACGAGTTCCTAATCCCCATGGTGCGCTCCGTCGAGCAGCTACAGTCGCGCCTACGCCAGTTCTGCCGCTACGCTGCCGACGACACCTTGCTGATGGTCTACTACCACGGCCACGGCAGCCTGGACGACGACAACGAGCTCGTGTTTAGCAGGTGCGTTCTTTTCCTTTTTCTGTTTCCTTTTTCCGTTTCCTTTTTCCTTTTTCCTTTTTCCTTTTCCGTCTTGCAGCGGTGGACATGTCAGCGCTGACCGCGATCCGCCCTCCAGCCACGAACACCCCGACGACCCCGACTGGTCTGCTGCGGCGGCCGCAGACCTTTACGAGGCGCTAATGACGGGCGACCCGTACGCTCACAGCCGGTCGGCGCAGGTGTCGCAGCTGCTCAAGAAATAGTACGTCCCCTCTCTTCTTCCCCCCCAGCCCCCCCATTACACCCACACACCGACACACACCTAACCCCCCCACGCAGCGAGCGCTACCGCCCCGTGGCCGAAGTGAAGTGGGACGACATCCGCACGGCCGTGCTCGGCGCGCCGTGCGACATGCTGCTGGTGCTCGACTGCTGCGCGGCGGGCGGCGCCAACCTCGGCCACGCCAGCTGGCAGCCGCCGCCGTCGGCCGAGGGCTACACCAAGCACCTGTTCGCGGCGTGCGGGTTCGAGTCGAGCACCAGCGACGACATGACGGCCGCGCTGTGCGACGTGCTCGACGAGTGGGTGCCGCCGTCGCCGACGCCGCCGGCCTCCCAACAGCTGGTGCAGCAGCAGCAGCAGCAGGACGGGCGGCAGCGCAGCCGCAGCCGCGACGCCCGCGCCGCGCCGTTCCTGACCACCAAGCGCCTGCACCAGATCGTGGAGGACCGCCTGCAGAAGGACTCGGCCGGCAGCCAGCCCATCTTCAAGCAGCTGCTGCCGCTCGACCCGGAGCAGTACATCACGCTGCCGAATCTGCTGGTTTTGCAGCAGCAGCGCCAGAGGGACAGGGAGGTTGAGTGGGCGCATGCTGTCGATGCGGCCAAGCGCAGGGGCTATATTCTTGCTTGAGAGGGGAGGGATGATGGATTGTGGGTGCATGGTTGGAGTAGAGAGATGAATGGGCTGGCAAGGTGTTGAGATGAGGGTTAGCAGCACGTAGAATCCTGTGTGTGTGTGTGTGTGTGTGTGTGTGTGTGCAGGCGTTGGTGGAGTTGGTTCAATGCAGCGGGCGTGAGCCTGTGAGCGAGTTTTGGCGGAATGACTGACGACTGGATGTCTGGCGTTGGCCGTGTTATCGGATCTGTTTTTTGCACTTCTTCCATGTCTACCCTGCTTGTATTTCGATGTTGCTGGTGCATTGGGTTGGTAGAGCCGTACTCTGGCCTTGCTCCTTTGTCAAATAGCTAAGCGTTGAGGTAATTTGTTGCCCGCAGACAACAGCCCTTGTGTCTGTCGTGTCAGTGTGGTGAAAAACTTTCAGGGCGAGCCGTAATTTATTAAGGCCCTTCAAATCTAAACATTTGGGAATTAGATCATTCGCCCCACTCCCAGAGCTGGACCCTAACCCTCTCCGGCAGGAAGACGTCGAGCGAGTGCGTCAACCGGCAGCATAGGGCTCGCTCGGCTCCAGCCACGCACACTTTACTTTATATCCACCGGGTCCTGCATCGACAAACACTCAAGACTCCACCGTCTCGGATATGAGAAACATCCAAATCCCTCGTGGCGCAATTGGCTAGCGCGTCAGACTGTTAATCTGGAGGCTGTTGGTTCGACCCCAACCGAGGGAGATTCCGCGTGTCTTGTTAGGCCAAGTACTCCCAGCCTGGCTTGTCCTTTTGTCTGTTTTTCTTTTTTATCCTTTTTGCTGTGTGGACAAATCACGGAATACGACAACTCCAGACGCCCTACCTCACCGTTTCCCCGGCCAAGATCTCTTCATCCTGCAGCCACACGACCTTGCAGCCCTTAACTGGGACTTTATGAGACAGTTTCCCCAGTTTCAGTTTTCGTTGGGGAGACTGGGTGCAGGGACAATCACGAGTCTATACCACGGCTTTGGACAAATGTGACCGCCACACGGCCCTGGAATACGACCCCGCGTGAGATACGGTTGACCCCCGTAACCCCCGAGGACCCACGCGAGCGGCCGCCGGTTGTCGAAGTGAAGGAGAAGCAGCTTGGATACAGGGCTAGGCATGGCCGCATGTGGGGTGCCGGCTACCAGGTTCCAGCAGAGCATGTCATCGGCTGGTGTGGCTCGCAGGAATTCGTCCGGCAGCTCAGCGACGCGCTCGATGACAATTGGGACTACGAGGAGAACGAACGGCATGGGGGCCTCGACTCCAATTGGGTCGGGCATGGGCTTCTTGCTTGCGAGTACCTTTGACGATAGATCCTATCCGCTGTCGCAATGAAGGAAACATGTTTCCACTCTTTAATCCAGAATCAATTTACAGTCGCGCAATTACCTACCTACCTTTCGGTCTACCTGGGCACACTCGAAACCACTCTTTAATCCAGAATCAATTTACAGTCGCGAATTACCTACCTACCTTTCGGTTTACCTAGGCACACTCGAAACTCTTATTTTGAAGCAAAGGGAAATACAAATTCTAGTCAATCCAGTCATTCCAGTCACTCTAATCTCAGGAGACGACATCGGACAACGCCGTCCTCCTCGAGTTCTCTGCCGTGGGAGCAATGCACCCTCGAATCACCACGTCTCGCCGATGTCCCCCTCCAGGAACGAAGAAGACGAGACGTGGGCAGCTCCAGTGGGCGTCAGCAGGGGGCTGTCGGGCGGGGACTCGCTGTGGCGGTCCGTGGGCGTCGGCTCGGGGCTGTCCGGCAGGGGTGGCAGGCCGTCTCCGTCTCCTGCGTCGTCGTCGTCGTCGTCGTCGTCGTCGTCGTCGTCGTCGTCATCCTCGTTGATAGGAGTATCGCCCGCGCCAAGCACAACCGCGCCAAGCACAACCGTGACGATGCTACCGTCGCTATTGTAGTTGCCGGCGAGTTCGCCATGGAGGCCGAGTCGGTCTTGGCCGAGCACAGCAGTGCCAGTGCTGCCGCCGTCGAGGAGAGGCTCGTCCTCGTCGTGACTGCTGGGGCTGTTGTTGCTGCTGTCGTCGACAGGGCCAACCTGGTCAGTCTCGGGGATATTGTTATCGCCGCCGCCGCTGTTATTCTCAACATAACCAACATCGCCCGGGCCAAGCACAATAGTGGCAACACTCTCGTCGCCGCTGCTATGGCCGTCCTCACCAGCACCAGTTTCAGTTTTGTCGTCGTCGCTGCTGCTGCTGCTAACAATATCAGAAACACGGCCATCATCGTAAATCCCAAGACCGTTGAGGACGCAGCTGTTGGCGCTGATGATCCTGTCCCAGAGAAACCCGTCACCGTAAAAGCTGAACGTCCCAACACCATCATCATCGTAATCCCTACCACCGCTGCCCCACCGCAGCTGAAACCGCATCAGCAGCCTCTGCAGCCACAGCGGCACCATTTCCGAGCACACCACCCACAGCCAGCACCACGTCACCGGCAGCAGCAGCCGCTTCTTCGTCTTTGACGCCGACGACGACCAGGCGTGCCCCGCTACCGCGCCGACGAGTGTTGTCAGCGATGACAGGTACGGGACGAGCTTGCGTGCGCCGCCGCCGAAGCCGCCGGGGAAGCCGCCAGGGAAGCCGCCAGGGAAGCCGCCAGGGAAGCCGCCGGGGAATGTCCATGTGGGCCTCTTTGCGTCTCTGGTGTTGCCGCTGCAGATGCAGACGCACGGCTCGACGCAGACGGTCGTTTTCAGCGGCCTAAAGGCGGTGGAGGTCTTGGTCGTCGCCGCCTTGGTCGTCGCGATCTTGGTCGTCGCCGTCTTGAAGCTGGAAGTGGGCGTGTCGCTGTCCGAGGGCTGGCGCTTGTTGGTAGAGCTAGAGCCCTTCGTCCTGGAAGCGGCCTTGGCCTTGTCTGGTGGCGTGCTGGCGCCGCTGCCGCTGCTGATGCTGTTGGTGTGGCCTTTGCTTGAGATCGCGTCCTTGCGTCCCCTGCCCCAGACATTTCCTTGAGTTCTTCCGGAGCTGCTGGAGCTGCTGCTCGCACTTGCGCAATCGCTTCGCATGTCGCTCTTGCCAGTCATCTCTGCTTGGGTGTTGGCTGGGGATTTAGCTGAAGAGGACGTGCGGTGTTGCCATTGGTTCTCTTTGCTCGAGTCCGGCAGCGGCGAGGACTTGTCGGCCCTGCGCCCCCAACCCCATCCGCTTCCTTTAGTTTTGCTGGAGCTGCTGCTGGAGCTGTCTCTCGTGCTTGGGTGGTCGCTTCGGACGTCGCTCTTATCGGTCATCTCTGCCCGAGTCGTAGCTGAGAATTCCGCCTCAGCCTCGGCTGAAGAGAACGTGGGATGCTGCCGTGAGTTCTCCCTGCTTGGGTCCGGCAGTGGGGAGGACTTGTGCTTGATCGAAGACGAGTGTGAGTTCGGTGCGGGCGAGCTGGAGGAACTAGACTCTACAGCTCTGTTACCGCCGGCAGACCGACGCGCAGAGCTGGAAGCTGTTCCTGAAGCGCTACCCCTGATACTGGAGACCGGTTTGTCATCCCCAAGGCGTACATCTTCGTCGGCCTCTACTTTCATTGATCTTCCTGCGAATTTACCAAATAGGCCTTTCCAGGCGGAGCCCCAAGACCTGGCGCTGGGGCTCACCTTGTTGTCCTCGTGGGACATTGAGGGGACCCTAGAAGGTGGAGAAGTGGCCGTTTTGGCCGTGGTGGCCGTGTGTCTGCTCTCCGGGCTCGCGACGGGTTTAGCCCCGCCGGCCATGCCGAAAGCAGAGAAGGTGGTCGTGAGTATCTTCTTGATGCTGCTTCCGTCTCCATTCGGTGGTGCTGATGTTGGCGGCTTGGCGCTTTGATGTGAAGTGTCTGAGCCCTCTGTCGGTCTCAAGCTGTTTCTGGAGTTGGAGCCCTTCTGTTGCGTGATGGGCTCTAGTTGACCGTCTGCCCTTGCGTCCGTCTTCGAAGTTCTAGGTTCAGTCTTTGGGGTTGACTTTTCCGTCGAGGACTCAGCATCCCCGATGCCCTTCAAACTTGTCCCAGACTGGCTTTTCGGAATGTCTTTAGGCTCGCTCTTTGAGGAAGCACGACGACGTTCTTTGGGCACTTCCCATCCCATTGAGTAGGAATTCCTGCCGATGGCCCGATATGAGCTAGAAAGTGGTTCACTGGAGGCCGTGGAGGCCGTGGACACCGTGGACGCCGTGGACGCCCTATACGCATACCCGAAGATGTTTCTGCGTTCTACCACGGGCACGGGCACGGGCTCGGCTTCTTTATCAACCTCGATCACTGGAGCTATCTTCGTCCACGTGGACTCCTTCGGCTCAGGTGGATGGCCCGTGTACTTCCGGCAGGGCAACGGCTTGTTGGGGTCGCGCGGGCGAGTCGGACGGCGTGGTTTGGGTTGCTCTTCGTCGATGGTGCCGTCCCAAACGTTCCACCGCTCGACCAAGTCCTTGGCGGGCTCTAGTGAGTCCACGACAGTCTCTCCCGCGCAAAACACGGGAGTGCCGTACCAGTCCGGGACGCCCTCCACCCTGTGCAGCTGGCATCTCTTGAGGTCATCGTTTAGAAGGTCGTAAGAGTTCCCAAGCCGTTCGAGTCTCTGTTCGGCTTCCAAGTAGGACCACACCCCATTATTCTTCTCGTCCTCGATGACATCTTTCTGGTAGTCGTAGCAGCGCCCAATGTCATCAGGCGATGTAGTAACCGTCACGCCGAGGACGTCGTAGGGAAAGTCGACGATTTCGGGGAGATTTCCCTGCGGTGGTTGTTTGGCCAGCATGGTCATTGCGCCGAAACCAGCAGCGACAACGCCGATGGCCATCTGAAGATTGCGGCCATGATTCAAGCACCCTAACACGATCTGCGCTCCAATTGGCGCCACCTGGAGTCCAATTGACACCGCCAAGACACCCAGCGCAAAGCCCTCCGATAATACCACGGATGCGTGATGACAGAAGATCTTGGTGTGGTGATAGGAAACCTTGGCAAAGTGAGCGGCAGCCGCAAGCTCGGCTTCGGTCGGTAACCGTAAGTTCTCCATTTACATGAGTAGATATCTAGAAGCTTAGTCTTATATAGGTTCTGCTTCTAATGGTTGTTTAGGGCACCAGTTTCTTGATCAAGTACAGCTCCTAGCGCGCCGGGCAATATATATACGGGCTTGAAGCGGTGCTGTGATGCAGGACAAAGCCTTTGTTAGGCCAATAGTACGTTGCTTTCTTCGCCGGGCCTTCTTTGTTCCTGCTATTATTGTGCGTTTACTGCACTGTTCTCTTTATCTACTTGCCCTTATTCTGTGGGAGACGTATCAACTTGAGTCAATCCCTGTACCTGGTTATTGGGCAACAGGACGGGGAAACTTACTTTGGCGCCGGCTATCACCATCGCAAGGAAAGAAGCTGTCTAGAGAGTCCAGATGAATTGAATACGTTTCAACAACTACCTTTTAACTGTTGTGCACCAACTCCTCCTTTTGCAATTGGGCTAGACATAGCACCACAACAAGTTATTCCTGTGAAAGGACATGTTGACAGCCTCGCGGGCCCCTGCATCTACATAACAGGCGACACAATCCGCACGTTGTCACCGGTCTACACTTTTCTGTCAATTGGCCGTCGTTGTTTAAGCCGCTCGTCACTCTCACACCCCTCGGAGATTGAATCAAGGTTCCAAAGAGAAAATTGGCCTCCAACGAGCCCGAACAGCAAAAACATGTCTCTCGCCTCCTCCGCAAAGACTATTCTCGCAGCCATGCTTCTGGCACCACTAGCCAGCGGCCTCGCCGCAGTAGTCTCAAATCGACATCAAACGGGACACCAGCCCTCGAGCCTTGGCAGGTGGCATGAATACGACCGCGTCGGCTGAGATGCCCGCAGGGCCTAGTGCGTGCTAAATCCTTTGTATCTATTCCCCCTCTTTCTTGTAATTACTCAGGAGAGTTTTTTAACTATTCATAACCGATCAACGTCGCCCACTATTCCTGCTCATTGTCATATTTTGTAATATAAATTTTGTGTAACTAGTCCAATCCCCATATGTTTGTTAGCGCGGTACCTACCCAGGTAGTCGGTCTCTAAAAAGAATTCCCTTGGCGTCTGAGGACGGTTAGCCAAAAATCAGGGCCGCTTCGCCTCGGCTCCCCTTCGGCTCACCAGCTCAATCTACGCTCACCATTCTACAAATCATCAACTTTACGCGACAGGGCGGGATTGGAATACGTGGCGGAATGTTACAGACTGAGCAATTCTTTCCGAGGGAGGGCACAACACAGCGCCGCATACGGACAGCCATGGCTACTCGACCTGGACTACCGTCCAAGAAGGGCATATCGGCTTTAGATGGATATCCCGCCCAGATAAGCGGCAGAGGAGGCGTGGATTTCTCATCCGCACAACTACACCGAAGGAGAGTGCAGACATGTCGTGCTTTCACCGGGGGACACGTTATTTTTCCCATCCGGCACAATCCACTTTGTTGTGGCTTGTTCAGGTACCGGAGTCGGATCGGCCTTGTCTTTTGGAAAGCGCTTCTTGGCAGAGTATCCACGCATTTCATGCAGAAAACAGGGTAGGAACCGGTCTTTTGGGTCTCCAGCGGTTCGGTTGATGAATTTGAAGTCCGGGCCGTCATGTATGTCTGCTTCCCATTGCTATGGCGGCCGACTCCAAGCAGCAAGTTTTGATCCCAAAAGACATGCCCAAAGACATACCCAAAGACATGCATGGACGGGTCTACGGGACGTTAGACTGAGATTTGAGGCACTGGGACGAGATTTGGTCACTGTTCAGTTGTCTGGGACTTGGTTCTCGACCTCTTACACCGTGCCAGCTGCCACTGTCAAGCGTCGCGCTATACGTAACTCATAAGGCCAGTGTGGATCTCTTGTAGGAATAGGATAGGGAGTCAGCTATTGTGCCGAGAGTTGGCTATCTAATATTGAACGTCAACTGTTCACGCTGCTGGGCGCAATTCTGCTCCTGAGACACTCAGCTTATTACCCAAGAAAAAGTTGCTGTTATTATAACAACGTGACAGTTTGTCTATGGCAAGCATGAGTTACCTCGCCAGCAGTGTCTTTGAAAGATGAGACTGCCGAGGTAAATATCGCCGTTCCGATCCTTTCCAGCTTCGTTACGTCATGCGGGCATTGTCCCAACACAAGAAACTCGACGGCCGTCTCCCCAACGCTAAGACAAAGCGCCCGCACGGCGATGCTAGGGCCCCATTGCTCGTGACTCTGTTTCACTTCTTCCTGTGACCTGCGAACGGACCAGCCCTGTCTAACCAGGTCTTTTGTTTAGAATTTCACAAGGTATGTGTTCTGAGATCTGGAAATGGACATTTATATATTGCTTGGCGCTAGGCTTTTGTTACCTTGGCGAGGGTATCTGTGAAAATGGCGACTCAGAGGCTCCAACGCAGTGCGGCTACGCAGCCAGCTGCACCAAGCCAATGTATTGTCCTCGCTATGTAACTACGTTATAGATGAGTTAGCATATATTAATTCATAATTCAAACATAAATCGCAATTTTACTTGGTTTGATAACGATATGAGTACTCGTTCTAAGCTACGGTGATCATATTCTTAGTCCCACTAGGCATTCCTTACAACCAGTCCGGTACCCGGGACCTCTTATTGCCGTAATAATCGGCCCCATCAGCGCAATCGGCTCGTTACCATTGACTTACTGCACAAACTCCCACCAATAACGCTAAACCCAGCCCAAGTAAGTCTACTCGCTCCAAAGCCCCCTCATGACCACCCCGTCCTTCACGTCGACACCCTTCGTGACTTGCGTCCAAGTGTCCTTCCTCCAGAAAAAGACCTTCCACCCGCCGTCTCTCATCAGCTGCACGACATCCTTCCGGCACCAGAACGACGCAGTGCGCGTGGCCGCGACGTAAGTGACCGCCGTGAAGATGCGCAGGCACTCGGCCTTGATCTTGTTCCGCTTCGTCAAGGGAACGGCCCACCCTCTGCCCTCGTCGTCTTCTCGCAGGATCTGCCAGAGTGCGGTGCCGCTTGGGGGAGCCTCGTATTTTTCAGACGGCGACTTCCAGAACAGCAGCACAAAGTGCGGGACGCGCAGCTGCAGGTCCTCAAATGCTGGAAAGGAGATGGCGAACTCGGCAAGCTCGGCCGGAGGCACCAAGGCCCTCGGGGGAGCGACGAACCCGAATGGCAGCAGACGGCTCCAGATGCTCAAGAGCGTCGTGAACTCGGCTGTCCACGGAGAAACCCGAACGCTGTGGGCGGGCAGCGTCGCGTCGACGTCGGCCGGAGAGGTCACGAGCCTCCGCGGGAAGCTAGCGGTAGTCGTGATGGTGTCCCCACAGAGGGCCGAGACGACTCCCGACAGCCAGTGGGCCGGGTAGCAGAGGTCTGCCAAGTGGGCAACCAGGCGCATCCAGGCGGTCAGGTTGAGCGGCGAGTAGACGGGGCTCCCGGTCCACTTCTCGCGGGGATACGGGACGCAGGTTTTGAGGAACAGGGCGTGGAGCCACTTCTCCAGCGCCGGACGCGGCAGCATATCCTTGCCCCGAGAGAGCTTCTTGACAGGGCACTTCTCCCAGACAATGTAGCCTTCGCTCATGAACCGCCTCCCCGCGTCGGACAGGTTCATTGAGCTGAGCACCTCGTCCCGTTCTGGACTTGGCTGCTCTGCATGTGGGCTGACGATTCGGGCAATGGAGAAATGATCCGCGATGCGCTTCTTGTCGTGCATCATCATATATTCGGCCTGGAAGTGCTCGTGAGACCCGAACTCGGGCGGATTGAGGAGGACGGTGAGGCGGAGATTGGATGTGCTCTCTTCGCGAAGCAATGGGCGCCCGTACATGGCTGCCGTGAGGAGTCCTCCGACGTAGTCACTATAGCCGACGGCTTGTGTTAGCTTCGGAGGCGTTCCTTGAGATGCGTGTGGCAAGACTTACGGAATGTTGCTCATGTGGATGCGGTCATATTTGCGGGGGAATTCGGAAGGATCAATGCCTCCAGCCGGCCGCGATCGGGCCTCGAGACAGCCCCAGCGGATCCGGTCCATGGTGTCAGTCATCTCTCCAGCCAAAGCTTCTATCGTTAGTCTACCAGAGAGCTGAATGAGACCATAAGAAACGGACGCAAAGAAACCGCCGACCATGTCCAGTACTCCCATGTCCTGGCTATCGTTCGGGAGCATGTGCACAAGTTCAAGAGGATCGCTTTCGATCGTAGGGACCCTATCTTCATCGGTGGATACTTTCTCGCCGAGCCCATTCTCCTTGTATGCTATGAGAGATTCGACATGGTCAAAGTCAATGAGCGTCAGGTTCGTCACCCAAGCTGCATCGACGTGCGAGCGGATCTGGTTGATGACCTCTCTTGACCCCGTCTTATCGTACTCGTCCATGAGCGCAACCAGCGGAGGATCGCGACGGCGCGCAAAATCCTCGGTTGGAAGCAGGATTGCCAGCTCGTCAAAGATCTTGCGGTCCCTCTCAAACCCTGGGAGCGTATCCTTGGCAAGAGATTGGCCGTACATTGCAATTCGCTGGAATCTTTGCGCGGTCAATCTGTGCTTGACTGTGCGCCGGATGACGGGCGCGCTGTAGTAGTTGGCCTGCAGGGGTTTCTGCCACTGCTTGAGGACATATACGACTTGTTTCCGGGTAGATTCAGGCACAAAGAGCCAATCAAACACTTCTTCGTCCGTCTCAAGAGTAGAAATCAGCCCGTTGATGTGGGCTTGGAGCTTTTTGTTCACGGCTGCTGGGATGACCTGCGCGGCGAAGAGGTAGGCCATAATAGCGGGCTCATCTTCAATCCCGGGCGTTTTGCGAGATCTGAGATGGGCGAAAATGACCAGCATGTCGAAGAAGATAAGTGTCCGGGCTATTGCTGCCGGTTTGAGATCTAATATGGTGATGTGGATGTCGTTACAGGCCTGTTTTGTCGGACTTTGCATGTCGAAGACAGAAACGACAAGGAGTGTCATAAAGAGGTTGCGGGCGTCGCCGGTGCCGCAGAACATCAAAGATACATTGTCCTTGGGGGAGCAGGACTTGAATAAGGCTTCATCGAATAGAGGCTGTACCATGTCATGCCCGGTTGCGTAGTACTCTGCTACGTCGTCCCTATAAGGAACATGGCTTCATTAGCAAAAGCGCCAATATGGACCACAAGATACCTATCTACGTACAAATGTGCCTGGTATCGAGGGAGACGGTCAAAGACCATCTTTCGGTGGCTCTCCACATCGTTGCTCCAGGGAGCAAGGGCGTCGACGGTGCTGCGGGTGGAATCCGCAAGACTTTCATCAGACAGCTCATCGAGGATCTCGCGGGCCTCGCCGAATCGCGATTCGTGCATGTAGCATTTTCCAAGCCGTTCGCGAAGCGTCCTCTTCTTCCGAAGAGCCACTTCATCAGAGTCGCCATCGCCGTCGCCAGCTAGCCGAAGAGCTTTGAGAATATACTCGCTGGCTGCAGCGTACTGGCCCAGCTCAAACTTGACGCTAGACAAGTTGGATAGCGGGCTCGGGTCATCTGGTGCCAATGCTGCAGCGTTTTTGTATTCAATCTCGGCTGAATGGTAGGAAGATGGTCAGGCCACTGCAAGCATGAAATGTCGGTGAGAGAAGCTGAAGGCAGTGGCGATAAAAGATCAAAAAGCTTACCTGCCCCTAGATTTCCCTTTTTGTACAACTCATTACCGCGCTTCCTCGCAGCTTCCGCGCTGGTCTCCGTGTTCTCGGTCGCCATTTTGCTCGAGGTCTGCAGTTGGTGGAAAAAGAATCAAGGTGCGTGGGGGAAGTCGGGCATCGATTTAGAAAGAAGAAAGGATACGGCCCCACCGCTCTGGTGGCTTGCACACCACACGGAAGCCAGGTCTTGTATCCGACGACGCTAGTAAGGATAGCGCACCGCGTGCGGCACCAGGGGGCCCCGTCCAGGTATATAACGGTAATGAATCGAACTGTACGAATACAGACTCGACTTATTCCGCTCGACTCCAACGCTGATTACATGTAAATGTGTTGGATACTGTGTTAAATGTGTAATAAACATCCCTAGTTTGGTAGATTTTCTCGAGTCTTAATTCACAAATTGGCAGCCCCGCAAAGCTCCTAAATTACGTCTCCCAACAACACAAACAACGCGGCTCCTTTTCCACTAATCTGATGAGTCTATGACTCAGCCTGAGTTTCAACACGGCTCGTACGATGCACAGCAGTATCAATATACCCCGTGTTAGCATCTCGAATCCCATCATTTTATTTCCTAATTCAACAGGGTCGCCGCAGTGCTGCTGTCCCCAGTTGGCACACTGGTCGTCTGTAGAGCACCGTATCGAGTCTTTCTGGATTAACACGGGCGATACCGGCGGGAGAGGGGTTAAGAAGACGCAGAGGACATGCGACCATATTGCCAATTTCACTATTAAAATTGCTGGCGTCGCTTCGTTCGTCAGTCGCGTGGCCCTTCGCTGCGCTACGGGACGCTTCCTTCCTCTCTCTCGCTCCTGGCAATTTAGGGCGCGACAGTTGGCTTATTTAGATAACGTGGAGAGCAAGCGAAGCGACAATATCCTATCTATAGGCCAATAACTCCGATACTCTAGAGATCTTTTCTTATAACGATGGCTAGACCTATAAAACTAAATCTTACATCTATACAATAAAGCTATTAGTTATATACCCGCTCATATCGCTCGAGTTAACCTCATATTCCTGTGGATCTAATAGCTATAACTTCCTTGCCTCGTAATCCGCTATCTTCAATTATATGCTCTATACCGGCACTTTGCGGTATATTCTGCTCCGATTAAACGGCGACTCGAATATTAGGCCAGCTAAGGTCTTGGCCCTGGAAACTGCCACGTACGATAGGCCGGACGCGAACTCTGGCGCGGAGATGTTATTAACCACCTTAGTATAACCCGGTAACTAATATAAAGAGGTAATTATTTGATGTAAGAGAAGGCAGGTACGCCGGATCAAGGTGGTCACAATGCAGGTAAGAAGGTGGTATTACAAACCACTCGACTGTCAGGGTCGTCTGTCTGTAAGGGAGCACGGGCTCCACAGAATGCTGGGGTTGGTAATTATGAAGATAGAACAAAGGGCAAGCTCCTATCACACGGGTAATACAGTCAAATCGGAATGCCACTCAAAGTGTATGAGTGCAGTGAATGTGTATTGCTTGCTTGAAGAACCAAGCAAGAACTATCTGAGACCGTGGCTACGGTCGTCGTATATATCTATCTAAGGCGGACCAATCAGAGAGTTGGTCCTAGGTGATCAGTGAGCTCAGTGCGGTCAGTGTGCTCAGTGCGATCAGTTTCCTCACTGATCGCCCTGACCACGCTGATCATACTGACCGCCCCGTTATTGGCTGCACTTGAGCGAAGCGGGGAACTACCCCACTTCCTTGCGTCAGCCAATAGTGGGAGGCTCCGTGCAGCCTCCTGCGCGCCTGAACCAGGATCGTAACAGGTGGGCGAGCAACGAGTAGTATTGGTGTGAGACTTCAACCTGGCCCTCGCAAAGGAAGGTGGGCGAGGGCCACGTTTATATACATGCTCAGGGGCTCAGGCCCGGGGCGCCATGGCGTGGCGTAATGGCTTGTGCCAACTGGCAGTGTTCTGGCCAGTTGGTAACAGGTGGTGAGCGCGCACCCTGTGCGCGCGGCTGGTGTTTGGGGTGTCCTTTCCTTACATTTGATTAGATTACTAGCGTTGGAGGACTCGACTCTCTACGCTTACGCTTTCGTGCTTTACGTTCACCTACATAACCGCTTTTCGTAGGCCTAGGAAGTGCTGATGGTTATATTCGTTAACCTACGCCTTGATGGGGAAGACACGGAGGGCATTATTAAAAGCCTTAACCTGAGCTGGAGGTAGTTTGATCGTACATCTCAACGTGAGAAGCTTATTACAAACCACTCGACTGTTAGGGTCGTCTGTCTGTAAGGGAGCACGGGCTCCACAGAATGCTGGGGTTGGTAATTATGAAGATAGAACAAAGGGCAAGCTCCTATCGCACGGGTAATACAGTCAAATCGGAATGCCACTCAAAATGTATGAGTGCAGCGAATATGTATTGCTTGCTTGAAGAACCAAGCAAGAACTATCCAAGACCGTGGACACGGTCATCGTATTTATTTAATTATGGCGGGCCAGTAAGAGCTGCGCTCTTACTTGCCCGGCAGGAAGAAGCTAGCTGCCTGGCGCCGGGCACTGCTAGCGTGCCGGGCCATTTGCCTGGTGCCAAGACCCTTCTTGGCACCGGGCCACCTCTGATTGGCCGTCCTTCCGTTTGCCTGGTGCCAAGAGCCCTCTTGGCACCAGGCACCGTCTGATTGGCTGGAGCGGCATTTAAGGTGGGGCTCTCGGCAAGGGAAGATGCACCCAATTAGGGAGTGCTCAGTGGGGCCAGTGCCAAGACGTACTGAGCACGACTGAGCACAACTGAGCTGAGTGCTCAGTGGGGTCAGTGCCAAGACGCACTGAGCGCGACTGAGCACGACGGAGCACGACTGAGCACAGCTGAGCATGTAAGGCAGGGACTCCGATTGGTTGTTCATAGTTCTATATAGGAGCTGGCAGGACGCTCTCTGGGAGAGACGGTTCTGCAGCTATCAATGCATCTGGTTAAGCATCCATTGGTTGTGTGTTGAAAGCCTGTCTTTCGCAATCTGTGCACGATACTCCTTGCCTTCTAGCAATCTCCTACCTGCCGTCTAGACCCCACAATCCTAGGCCGGGCCTAGCTCCGTGTACTCTGTTGTCCAGATCGTAACAAACGCCGTAGGTGTGGCAAACTTTACGGGCAGCCGCCTCTGCCGCGTCCGCTATAGATACCGAATAACCTGGCCATAATAGGCAAAACGGTACTATAGAGGAAAGGAGGTTAGCTACGAAGAGCGGGTAGATTATAAGGTTCGTCGAAGGTACTACGGTACGAATAATTATTAGAAAAAGAAAAGCAATTGTGGGGTGGGCGAGGAAATTCGACGCGAGCAAGCGGTTGACAAAATAAAAGAGACCGCAAAAGATCAGTGGCCCGTGCGGATGATAAAAGTCTAACAGGCGTCCTGGACTGTTGCTTTATGGTCTGTTAAGCTGGCATCGCCAGGAGATGTGGTGGTGGTATGATTGCACTTTGAGATACCTTGTTGCCCAACGACTTTCTTCCTGTGTAGAAGTACTGCTAGATAAGCGGTCTCTTTTTTTTTGTCAACCGCTTGGCGGGGTTAAAGGGCAATTCGCGTAGTCACATACGCAAGCCCACCCTTGCGTACGCCTCACTACGCCAGAAAGCATTTAAACGCTTATGTCTCAGCCAATTTCTATTATAGTACGAATTGGGCTTCAGATTCAAAATTTCCGTAGAGTTATATATATAATAATACCGGTTGCATCAATTTTGGAAAGTATGCTGACCGAATGGTAGAGAGGCACGTGATACGGGCTGCCCATATTGATGTGACTGAGAAGTCGGGTCCACTTTTCTATATAGGTCAGCCAATCCAGACACGCGATAAGGCGTCTTATCAATTTCACAGTAATTTTTTCAGAGTTTCGCAGTAATATTGTCCTCTGGACAGGATCATAATTATCTACGACAAGACCATTAATAACACTCCCCCAAAAATTTCAGATAATTAGTCGAAACCCCGTATAAGCGTCCCCAGACCCCAGCCGAGTTAGACCCCTATAAATAGATTCAGCAGACGCACGTCCACGCCCCCCTCCGCCAGCTTGACGTCCCTAATATCGTCATCCCCGTCATCGCCCTCGTCCCCAGAGTAGTACACCTCGCGGTCGCCCGCGTGCGCCAGCGCGACGGCCGTGGCATCATCGCAGCTGTCGTCGCGGCCCCTGTCGCTGTTGCCGCCGCTGGCCGTGGCACTCGTACGGCCTGCAGGCCTAGACCCAGCACCAACCTTTTCATCATCCGAGGCAGCCGTAATGATACTCCGCACTGACTCCTCGAGCAGGCGGCCGACGAGGGCCTTATTGTCGGCGTCCTCGCGTAGCATGGTGGCCTTGAGGTCGCGCTCGGCGCGGTCGAGCTCCTCGCGGCGGCGGGCAATGTCGCGCAGCGCGCGCGCCGCGCGGTCCTCGAGCGAGTTCTTGCTCAGCTCCATGGCGCGCACCTTGACGTCGACCTCGGCCTTGAGCTGCTCGAGCTGCGCCGCCCGCCCGTGGTCCTGCAGCGCGTCAGCCAGCGCCACCGCCCCGCCCAGCAGCCGCCCGATGCCGCGCGCCGTCGTCGGCAGCCGGTGCACCGCCGTGTGGCGCAGCGTCTGCGCCGGCTGCACGAGGCCGCGGATCGTCGGCGGCGGGGATGTGGTGGTGTTGGTGTTGGCGAGCTTGATGGCGTTGGGGGGAAGTGTCGTGTACGTCTTGCTGAGGATCTGCGTCCACTTGGTCAGCTCGACCGCCGCCGCGCAGTCCCACCCGCGCTGCTCGAGTACCGAGGGCATCCACTTCGCCGCGAAGTCGAAACAGCATTCCTCGAGGAGCTGCTGCGCGGCTGTGAGGATGAGGTGCTGCGCCTTGTACGGTATGAAGGACGGATACAGCGAGGGGATCTGGTCCTTGAGCAGCTCGCCCGCCCCCCCTATTGTTGTTAATTCTGTCGGCGCTGTTGTTGCAGCTACTGTCAATGTTGTTGCAGCTGCAGGCGTAGTAGTTGTTCCTGCTGCTGCTGCTGCTGCTGCTGCTGCTACTGCGGCTGCAAAGAGTGACTGGTTAGTACAATCCGAGTATGTTTTCTGAGTGCAAGGAAGTAATATCTACCTGGAGTTGGCACAGGGAAAGGAGCAGACGCAGAAACAAACTGCAAAACGCCGGGCTCTGGCTCCTCGTCGCTGAGCTCTTTCAGGTTATCTTCGGAAGCGACCACCTCTTCGAGCGCCTTAGCGGCCGACTTCGCCGCCTTGGCCTCGGATGCTTCGCGCTCTGCATTTCGCGACGGCGTCGTCTGGAAGAGGTCGGGAAATATGGCCCGGGCGCGCACCTCAGAGACGAAGACGTTTTCCTCTAGAAGCCCCTTCAGCACGGCAACCAGCTTGTCCTCGCCCAGCTCCGACAGCAGCTTCGTCAGAGACAGCTTGTTCTTGCGGATCAGGTTTCGGATCTTCTTCTCCCTCCGCAGCAGCGCGTTGTCGCCCGTGAAGATGGGCCTGCAAGTTATGTAGACCCGCCGCCGATCAGGGGCGCTGGACGCCATTCTGGGTGGTTGATGGTTGTTTTTAAATTTTGCGTCGAGGTGGTGGGAAGTAAAGTTACCTCAAGAGGCTCAAGTCAGATGACGGCGATGTGTACGCAGGATGCTGCAGGCTGCGGTGCTCCCGGTGTGGGGTGTGGGTGATATGTATAAAGATGGGATGAAGGAACGAGGTGCAGAATGAGACTGAACACTCTCGCTGGCTCAGGCTCCGGGCCGGCGACGGTCGGCCTCAGTGCAGAGGAGATTGCCACCCATGAGTGTCCTTTGAGTGGCCTGAAAGCAGCGATGCTCGAATCAAACATTTTGACGGAGAGCTGGACTGGTCATGAAGAGAAGAGAGGGCGTTATGTTGTTTGTTAACGACGGAAACGTGCAGCACAAAGTGTAGGAGACCTGATTGATTTGCAACGTGGCCGCCCTCCGACCGACCCAATCTCGGCGCCCAACAGGGCGGGCCGACAATAAGGTACCTACCTGCCGCGACCCAACTCTTTGTGGCCCAGAGCACGGCCATTCGCCCTTTTGACGTCTTTTCGTTGAAGTGGTGTTGGTCGGACAACGCCCGTCTCTCGCAGACCAAAAGTCCCAAAGGGGCATCCCAGGCAGCCAGAAACTGTAATCTCGTCCTCTATCAACAACCCAGGCCACTAACTAGTTCTAAATAAATTTTAAACAATGCCTTGGGGCAATTAGTTAACACACATATGGCTAAGAAGAAAGAGACTCACCGCTGTTGGTTGAGGGTTCACAAACCTCGGGATCCTGGATATGATGCTGCAATCCTGCATGTGGAACCCGCCCTTGCTAGGAGCATGGGAAGAACCCCACTCCGAGTGTTGTAACCTCCGCATCACATTGCGTGACTCATCCAAAAGGATGAGTTCATTCCATATTTTTGAGAACTATATATCTGTCTCTGAGCGCACTCAAACTTGAACCAGCCGTCGAGGTCGACTTTGATAACGACATCAAAAATAACAAAATCATGGCGCCCTCAGACCTCAAGTTCGACTTTGTGACGCTCGACGTCTTCACAGACACTCGCTATGTCGGCAACCCACTCGCCGTGGTCTTCATCCCGGCTGCGCTGCGTGGGCAACTCACCCAGGAGAAAAAGCAGGCGATTGCCAGCGAGTTCAACCTATCGGAGACGGTGTTCTTCCACCAGCCTGACAACGAGCTGGACACGCCGGTCACGACACGCGAGATCGACATCTTCACCACCACCCAGGAACTGCCCTTTGCCGGACACCCCACCATTGGCTCGGCATACCTTGTGCTGGACCACTTTGGCTGGGGCCATGTCAACACTCTGTTGACCAAGGCCGGGCCGATCCCCATCGAGGCGGGGTCCCTAGGAGTGGGAGTGGGAGCGGGAGTGGGAGCGGGAGCGGGCAGAGGCGTGCGGGCGGCCATCCCGTCGGCCGTGCACATCCACCAGCACACACTGTCGAGCCTCCTCGGCAGCGGCGCGGTGCCGGCCGATATCCAGGGCTCCGTCGACAGCGCGCTGTCCGACGACGCCGAGATCCGCGCGGCCGAGCTGGCGGCGCCGACGGTCAGTATCGTGCGGGGCATGACGTTCCTGCTGGTGCGGCTGCCGAGCCTGGCGCACCTCGGGCGCATCTCCATCGCGAAGCAGCTCAACTTTGCGCGCGTGCCGGGGCTCCAGGACGCCGGCGAGTGGCGCGGCGGCTTCGTCTCGCGCTACTACTACGTGGTCACGGGCGAGTCGACGGCCGCAGGCGGGGCCAGGGAGTGGGCCATCCGCACGCGCCTCAACGTCGAGCAGGGCTTCGAAGACCCGGCCACGGGCAGCGCGGCGTGCACGCTGGCGAGCTATCTGGCCATCAGCACGCGCGCGGTGCACGGCGCGAGTTTCGCTCTCACGCAAGGCGTGGAGATGGGCCGGCGGAGCGAGATTGCGGTCGACGTGACGGCGGAGGCCGACGGCGGCAACGCGGGAGAGGTGCGGGTCAAGAACGTGTTTTTGGGCGGCACCGCCGTCTTGGTCATGAGCGGCTCCATTTATGCCTGAAACCATCCAAGGCACCTGCCTAAGCACATCGCACGACGGTGGAGGTTGCAGCTGCATGACCTTATTGTCGGCTGCGGCTGTCCTAGTCTAGGTGTAGTGTATTTTCTGAAACGTGGGGCGGTTTGTTTATTGGCGCCTCGCATCTTTTCGTGTGGTGCATCTCACCAGTATAAAATTGAAGGAATTATGGTTGGCAACTGGGATGACAATAATGCAGGGCAGGCTTATTCTCAGTCTCCAAAAAAAGTAAAAGTTAGGGTTTGGTTATCTCAGTAACTCAGACCTCCTCTCCAGGTGTAGGGGCGGCTTCGCCACCAAGTGTAAAATGACCAAATGAATGGCCCACTAAGTGGGCCCACTTGCCGGGTCGGACAAACTGCCACCTATTTTATCTGTAAATTTGTCCCGCTAGCCCATTAGAGTATTTAGCATGCCAATTTTGGCTTTAACGCTTTACGCACCACCATACAAATCGCGATTTTGAAAATGCAAATAGCCTTATCAACACACCGAGATATGTGTTACGATCCTGGCACAGGTGTGCAGGAGGCGCCTTCTGGCCCCCTGCAGATTGGCTGGGGCAGCCAGGTGGGGTAGACCCACCTAGGGGCTGGTGCAGCCAACCAGGAGGTGGTCAGTCACGACGGGCCGCCAAGGCTCGACTTACCACCACTGGCAGGACGGTCAACCAGTCAGGAAGCGGTCAGTGTGATCAGTGCGATCAGTGTAGACTGATCGCAGTGATCGCTCTGACTTTTGGAGAAGGACTCTGATTGGTCCGCCTTAGATAGATATATACGACGACCGTAGCCACGGTCTCAGATAGTTCTTGCTTGGTTCTTCAAGCAAGCAATACACATTCGCTGCACTCATACATTTTGAGTGGCATTCCGATTTGACTGTATTACCCGTGCGATAGGAGCTTGCCCTTTGTTCTATCTTCATAATTACCAACCCCAGCATTCTGTGGAGCCCGTGCTCCCTTACAGACAGACGACCCTAACAGTCGAGTGGTTTGTAATACCTCGCTATGTAATTTTAACTGCTTAATTAATCTATTGCCTTCATAGCAGCTTCAAACGGTCCGAAGTGGCCTCTCCAAGCGGCGTAGAGCTCGTTAAAGCGACTATATGCTCCATTACTAGCCATGAAATCGCTCGCGAAGGTCAGGTTCAAGCCGTGGCTCACCTTGTTACGATCCTGGCTCGAGTCTACAGGAGGCGCTATGAGCCGACTACCGATTAGCTGGCACGAGCAGGTGGGCCGGCCCCACTAGAGCTTGATGCAGCCAATCAGAAGGTGCTCAGTCCGCTCAGTCCGCCAAGACCAAGGTGAGCGCACTGAGCGGGCTGCTCAGTGTGCCTTTGGGTGCTCAGTTCGACTGAGCACCGGGTGGAGCACTGAGCACCTACAAGACAAGGACTCTGATTGGTTATTCATAGTTCTATATAGGAGCTGGCAGTACGTTCTCTGGGAGAACCGTTCTACAGCTATCAATGTATATGGTTAAGCATATATTAGTGTTGTGTCGAAAGCTCGCCTTTCGCAATCTGTGCACGATACTCCTTGCCTCCTAGCACCTCCTCCTTGCCGTCCCAGACCCCACAATCCTAGGCCGGGCCTAGCTCCGTGGACACTGTTGTCCAGATTGTAACACTATATGCCGGGGATCTCTTTATCTGGAATCCACTAGCTCTATAGAATCTACGATAGAAGCTTCATAGTACTAGGCGCCGAAGTCTTCAACCGAGGCCAAGCATTATGAAGATACTTACCAATCCAGCCAGTATTACGAGATCGGCGACCAGCGTTGGATCGTTCTTTTACTGATTGAGAGGCTTGAACTCGCTGAACGAGGGAGTCTCCTATAAGGACTTCAACTCCTTGCGAATATTGGTGGCGATCTGAGTCGTATTGCCCTCGCCACCAGCCTCCCGAACAACAAAACACGCGGCGCAGGTAGCTGGCCCGGTGCGTATTACCGACCCAGGCCACCAGGAAAGACTCAAAGTTAAAGGTATTCGTGTCTTCCTCCTCTTCTTGACGTCGGTTCCGGGCATCTAAGCGCCGCTAGAGCTTGAGTATCTCGGAAACGATGTCACTAGTATTATCACGGCTCAGTCAACGTAAGGAGACAGGGCTGTAGTAATCATTGCTGAATTCGTAGAATCTAAAGATGAAGAAGGAAGCTATGGCAGAGACCGCGCAGGACGCGGGGAAATAGGTGGTTGTGGGCCACGTGCCATGTCATGCACGGGCCATGCCGTGACAAGTATCATCTTCCTATTGATCGAGGTATTATTGCTCAGGCTCTTCTTGGTATTGCTATACCTCTCCGTAGCTTAAGGGAGGGCCCAGAGATAGGCTAGAAGAATGCATATGACTTCGCCAATTACCCTGAAGGTTTCTCTAAGAGTGAGAAAGAGGTGTAGGACTTGTAGGAGGGTCGGAAAGGCCTGACGAAGAAGCTCGAATAGGTAGGGAGGAAATTCGTAATGGTCTGGTGTTTCTGCGCCACGCAGGCATATTCGAAGGAAGCTACGGGACTTCGTCGCCGTCGAAATCGTCCATTTTCTATCGCCAAAATTAGTACCATTCGAAAGCGCGCTCTCAAGCGATCAGATTGATATATAGGAGGTATTTTTGGGCGTTGTTTTGGGGGTATTATTCGCATTCGCGCAATTGACGACATTTACGCGTAAAGCGGAGGGCAAGAAATCAAGAATTGCTCTCAGACCAGTGTTGGCCCTGATCCCGCTATTCGAATATAAAAAATCCTATTGGTTGGAGCTATTTTAAAAGGCGGGTCCATTGAACTATTCCTAATTGGGCACCCCCCTCTCGCCAACACTGGTCTGAGTTTAGATAAGGGTTTGGACGGTGTAGGGTGGATTGTGAGCAAATCACATTGGTGCTGTGCTGAAGTGAGCTTGCGGTGAGGGCCCGTGGTGAGCGGTGCCAGACCTAGGTGTGGAGACCAGGTGAAGTCACTGACGGCCCGTGCACGCGTCAGCCTTCCGCGGCGGGCTGCAAAAAGTTCGGAAACCGCAAGCGCGCGACTCGTCAAGCAAAACTACGTCTCGCGAACACCATCACACACATCACCCAAAATGAGTTGCGGATGTACGTTCCTACCGCGCCCCGATCAGCGACGTGCCAAGTTAACGAATTGATGCAGTATCAGGAGAGGTCGCCGAGGAGCCCGTGGCATCGAGGAAAACTGGTCCGTCGCGAACCCTCCCCCTCAAACCGAGCTCTTGCCAATGCGCGATCCAGAGACCTAGAAGCAGCAGCTGACGTTTCCTGCCAGGCGTGATCTTCGAGAAGCGCCTCATCCTCAAGTACATCGAGGAGAACCACAAAGAGCCAGGTACCGACCACGAACTCGACGCCGAAGACCTCCTCCCAATCAAGACGCACCGCATCGTCCGACCACGTCCCCCAAACTTCACATCCCTCCCGTCGCTACTCAAGGCCTTTCAGGACGAGTGGGACGCGCTCGTACTCGACGCATATAACACAAAGGAGCAGCTAGCGCGCACAAGAGAGGAGCTCGCGACCGCCCTCTACCAGCACGATGCCGCCGTCCGCGTTATCGCGCGCCTGACCAAGGAGCGAGACGAGGCACGCGACGCCCTATCCAAGGTCACAGTCGCCGCCTCGGACGCCCCCGCTACTGGCGACGACGCCATGGTAATCGACAACGAGAGCCTTCCCGAGGCCTTGGCAGAACACGTGAACGAGCTCCAGGTCAAGTAGGTCCCCCCAAGAGAAAGGCCGTCGTGACATTTTTGGGACAACCCCCGCTAACACAGTCGTCACAAAAATCCAGGTTGACAAAGGGACGCAAGAAGAGGCCCGTCCCGAAGGAGTGGGCGTCGTCCGACGAGGTCGCCGCGCTAGAGCAGGTTGCCTCTACGGATCTAGGCGTAGCGCAGGCGACGTCGGTCGACGTTAACGCCGACTACGCGGCCATCGGCGGCGCCGACGGCAAGGTCGACATCTACTCGGCCGAGGCCAACAAGGTGGAGCGCTCGTTCGACATTGGCGAGCCCGTCACGGCCACCGTATGGATCGACACTAAGGTCATCCTGGCCACCGCCAAGGGCTCCGTCCGCGTCTTCGACAGCGGCAAGGAGACGGCCACCTTCCAGGCCCACGCCGGTGCTGTCACGGGGCTCTGTGCGCATCCTGGCGGACGCCTCCTCGCGTCCGTCGGTATCGATAAGAGCTTTGTATTTTACGACCTGGAGGCCCTGGAGCGCGTGTCGCGTGTCTATACTGATGACGGTACGTGTTTTTCTTTTGCCACACGCGTTCTCCTGTACTTGTTTGCTAACAGCTGGGTAGTACTGACGGCTTGCGCATTCCACCCCGACGGCCACCTCTTCGCCGCTGGCACACAGGCGGGACACATCCAGGTGTACGAGACCAGCACCGGGAAGCTCGCGGCCAGCTTCGAGCTCGGCCCTGCGGTACGAGCGCTCGTCTTTTCCGAGAACGGCTTCTGGTTCGCTGCGACGGGTAAGGGCCAGTCCACGGTGACCGTCTTCGACATCCGTAAGGAGGGGCCGGCTGCCCAGGTCAAGGAGTTCCAGACGGGCGACGCGCAGTCGCTGGCGTGGGACTACACGGGCCAGTATCTCGCCACAGCGGGGTCTACGGGCATCACGGTGCAAATGTACCACAAGAGCTCCAAGAAGTGGTCTGAGCCTCTGCGGACGAGCACGCCCGCCGTCGCCATCCGGTGGGGCGAGGAGGCTAAGTCGCTGGTTGCGGTGAGCAAGGAGGGCGAGGTGTCGGTGTTGGGGGCTAAGGAGTGAAATTACTACGCAGGTTGCAGAAAATGGCGAATGCCGTAGCGCAGCTGTGTCTGAGCAGCGCAAGGGAGGAGTCAGATCAGGAGATGGGTACAACACTGCACCCTGGCTAGCAACTTTGTAGAATATTCCGCGGTTTCCAGGCACTGTTGGCTTTGGGGGCAACAAAAAGAGATACCTACCACCCACCCGCCTTTCTTCAGTGCGACATCTGAAGAGTGACTGACGTTAATAACCACTGCACGCAAGTTTATAAAAGTAAGGAAGTGAGAAATGCCAAGAGGGCCCCCTTCGGCGTTGTCACTTGCTACCATATTTATATGCTGCATTTTCGGCGATAAAGACTGACATGTCCGTACTCCGTGCAGGTATTTGCATTTGACAGACGACGACGGAAGACTTGGATGAGGGCTTTTCTCTCGTTTTTCTCGCCGTTTCAAATTGCGAGAGTTACTTAAATCAGATAAATCATATCCTTGGGTTTCTCATCGTGAGTTTGTAGGCGCCGTAAGAACAAATAATCCAGCCCTTGCTGTTAGCTCACTTCTGGCCACAGGGGTGCAAACCCAACACACCGCACTTGGCCAGGGTCAAGGCAGGATTTTGGAGCTCCGTGGCATTTTGGATGGCATTTTGTCGACGTAAAAAACGGAGCAAAAATCGTGCTGCTCCGTGCATGCTTGATTGATAACCTAAAAGTAGATAAACTAGCCCTGTATTACTATTGAAAGTCCCCGTTCGGAGTCATGTGCTCTGATTTTGAGACCGGCTTTGGACTAAGCTACGGGAGGCTTGGTGGGCGAGACCTGTGCATGCTAAACTGCAGCTGGCATCCCGCCACGGCTCTGCTGTCTCGCATGCGCTTTTTTAGCCGGCAGCTGGCGGGGTGGGGCTCGCTGTGTTGCGGCTCCTCATCGGCCGCGCTGATGACGCTAAAGCGCTCCCGCCGACTCGAATGGGCGATTCGCCCCAGGGGCGACAGCGGCAAAGTTGGGCCCGAGCCCGAGGGTCGCGGCGGCACACCACCTATTCGTTCCCAGGCAAGCAAAGTCGCGACGTCGCACCGCGGCCGACGGCTCTCGCTCATCTTCGTCCTCAACCACAAACTCCACGGCCTTCCGTTCCGACGGGGACCATTCCTGAGAGCCCGCCCAGCCGAGCCCGCGCTCGCCCATTTTCCATCCGATCGGCTCGACCAACGCCACATGCCTGGCAGGATTTTTCTCGAAAACCCCTCGCTTTGGCAACGCTAAATCGCGGCTCCGCACGTCTACGTCAGTGCTTTGTTGGGTGGTGTTTAGCGCTGCCTCAGCGCCGCCGCCCGAGTCGACATTCTGGCTCTTAATTATTTGCCCTCTCTGCGGCCAGCCGGCTTAGGTTTCCCCTCGCCGCAGCCTTTGCTTTTTCTGGAATGTCCTGAAATTTCCTTTCCCCTGCCAGCAAACCATGGAACATTACAACAACCAACACCACATCGACCTTGACGATTTCCCAGAACTCGAAATACCTAGTGTCGTGCCGAACTATTACCCAGAAGGTCTATTCGCGTCGTCTTCTCAGTCGATAGTTGCCGAGGAGAGCGGAGACGAGGATTTGGACGATCTCGACCTTGACCAGGACACCGACGAAGACGACGACGACGACGACGACGACGACGACGACGACGACGACGAAGACGACGACGAGAGCGAAGATTTGGGCGAGGATGAGGACGGGAGCCTCAGCGAGAGCATAGGCACCTGGGACGAGGATCAGAGCGCCACCGATATCCCGTCGCCCCACTCCCCACAATCCCCACAGTCGGAAAGCGACAACAATCAGCCCTTCTCACCAAATGCATATTTGGAGCGTACTTCTTCCCAGCTGACCGCCCTCGTTAGCCAACAGTTCGATTTGATGCGCAGGGAGATTGTGGAAAGCCATACGGAACATAACGAATTACTTGACCAGACAGCACGCCGTTGGAACGCTGAGGCTCGTGTCTTTGGTCTGGGTGGCGCCCCGAGCGGTCTGGATGGAGAGGAGCGAGAAAATCGCCGACATCATCCGTACCGCCTCCCCGTGTCTCTGACACGCGAGCGGAGTCGCCTTGACGAGAGACTCCCCGAGCGCGAGCGACCCGAAGGCGCCCCCGGGCCCTTTCGGAATAACTTCGATCTCCGGAGCCCGGCCATCGCCGTCGACGAGCTAGTGGAGATGGAGGTAACAGGGGCAGGGCCGGCAAATCGGCCAGACACACAACCCCCAGATGGGCGGCGTCCTCGGGCAGCAGGCAGGGAGGGAGCGGGAGCGATGCCGGTTAGGGTTCCGTTTATCGATCTGACCGGAGAACCAGACGGTTCAGACGACATTCTGATTCTAGGACGGGTACACGGATCGCACCAACAACCTAATCGCGCTTCCATTCCTCCACCACCACAACAACAGCGCCACCGAAACCCACGACGCCAGATTTCGCTCAACAACCGCACTCCGTCCCTGACACGAAGCGACGGCAGCGTCTTGGGCAATCAAGGCGGCGCAGCCTATATCGACCTGACAATGGACGACGAGTCCCCTCCCCAGCCGCCCCTTCCGCGACGGGCACCTACTCTGCCACCGCGCCCGGCCAATGCCCCGCCACCTCTTCCAGAGCATATCGACTTGGACGGTCACGACGAGCAGAGGCTCGGCTCATTCCTAGGCATTGTCCGGCAATTCGCCCATGCTCAACACCACATGAATGGGCTCGGATTTCTTCACCGGATCGGCGGCGGTTTCTTTGGGAGCCCCCACGCGCACGAGGTCGAGGTCCAAGTCATTGGGCACAACCAACGCCAGCCGCACATGAACCCCCTGGCCGCGAACCTGCCAAACTTCAACTATCGAGCCAACGGCTATAATATTGTCAACCCGAAGCCAGTTCACGTCCCGCCGCCCCCCGCCCGCGAGGGCTACAGTCGTGCCACGGGAGAGGATCTGGACTATGTATGTCCGAGCTGTGACGAGGAGCTCAAGTACGATCCAGACGACGAAGAGGAGCCGCCTTTGAAGAGGGCTCGAACTCGAAAGGATAGAGAAGAGCACCATTTCTGGGCCCTCAAAGAGTGTGGTCATGTAGGCTCTCCCTGCACCTGTACCGTTGCCTCTGACACGGAATAGCTAACAATCCAATCTCGCATAGGTGTACTGCAAGAAATGCTTCGAGAACCGCAAGCCGACCGCCAAGAAGACTGTCCAGACGGGCTTCCGCTCGTCGCCGCTGCACCCCAAGAAGATACTGTGTGCCGTGCCAGACTGCCAGACGGACGTCTCGGCGAAGCCGTCCTGGGTCGGCCTCTTTATTTGAGTTATTTGGAGAAACCGGGCCACACACCGTTACACAACCTCCACCCCCCATTTGTATTTCAAGCGCTGGACAGGCATTTTGAGGGGCGGTTCAGATGGATTCCCGCTACCTTTCTTTTATCTCCCGTGGCGACTGTATAGTTTGGCGTTTGGTTGGACGGATGGACGGCTGCGTTTTCTTTCTCTGGGTTCGTTTTATAATCGACGGTTTTCGGGGCGGTATTGTTTGACATCGAGGTTCCTTGTCAATAATTCCTCGAGACTTCGTCTTGTCCACCTCCTTTGACCTGCTTCTGGCAAGCGAATCAAGCCCGCCCAAGGCTGTTGTAAGCCATGGAAGAGTGGGCGTGAGCGGTATATGTATGATAGGCTACTTACTACCTGATCTACCCGGATACTTTGACCCTGTAGCCTCCAGGCTAGCCCGCCGGCGAGCTGAAGGCGCGTCAGGTCAGTTGCAAAGGCTTAACAATTACGCCGGTGCTGATCGTGCTGTGAGCGGTGCAATTATTTTGCCCCTTGCCCGGTTATGTATCTCTCAGGTTGCCCTCGAAATCACCCTCCCCTCTAGTGGCGCTGACGAAGTAGTAACAGGGCTGGCTTGAACCAGGGAGTGACAGGAGACGACTGAGCTTTGTTTATACTATATTAAAACTTTTTTAAAAGACCCACCCACTATTAAAAAAACACAAAGAAAAATGACAAGAGCTGACCGACTCCTATCCAGGCACGTGTCGATAAATCCCAGAAATCCACATCTTTTTCGTCGCCCACCGTCCTGTCGTCTATCTAGCCGAGCGCGTCTGGCGCTGGAGCTTCGCTGCCCACCCACAGTGCTACCCAAGGCTGTAAGTATTACATGGCGATTACCCAAACCGCAATCGATGGAGAGTTGAGGAAGGCGCGACTTGCTATGCTTTGTATCACCGTTTACCACAAGTAACGGCATATGGAGCATGTGGACCTAGTCAGCCGCCATATCGCACACGCTCCTTCTCCTTTCTTGGCCTCCGTTTTCTTTTCTCCCCTACCATTTGGCCAATCGGATGCGCTAATCACTTCAAGTTATTGTGGGTCTGGCAGCGGCATCGAGACCAACGCCTCGAGAACTTGAATAGCTCGCTTCGTCCCTCCTCATCCTTCGTACTCGGGGCTCGCCGCACAATGCCCAGTGTCGTCTCGCGTCGTGCTCTCGGCAGCCCAGGAGCCGATTTATTCGAGCTTCTTTCCCCGCAAGTCTTGCAGTGCCTCCCAATCCCCAGGAGACGAGATATGGACCTCCCGTGCTTTCCACTCTTCTCTCTTGGACCGAGTAAAACGGGTGCAGTCGGATCTGTAGGGTTGTCGCGCGGCTCTGCTGCAGCACCCTCCTCCACCGTCATTTTTCTCTTCGACCTCTTCCGCATCTCCTCCACCCCTTCTTTTCGGAATCTGCATTATGGGCAAGCCCGACCTATATGCCTTGAACCTTTGACGCCTTATCTTGAATCGCATTACCATCTTCGTACCGTGCATCAAGACTCGATCTTGCCTTTCTCCCTTCGCTTACCCTCGTAACTCCACACACGAGTGACCCAGTCGGGAATGCCCTTGCAGCCGGGGGTGCCCTTGCAGTCTGGGATGCCCTTGCAGCCGTCGTCGGCCCTCTCGGAAACCACGGCGTTGCTGCGGCCACTCCTCAGCAGGCGCGGCCACCGGAACAGAAGTCTGGTGAAGGGGTAGGTGGCCGGGTAGGAGATGGGCCGGTCGCGACGCCGGTGACGCCGGTCGCCGTGGCGGTCGAGGATCTGCTGCACCAGTCCAATGACGGAATACCGCAGCGCGCACGACTCGCCTGCGCCGTCCTGCCCGTTGTGCACGCACAGCCTCTGCAGCTGGCACTCGAGGCGCTCGAACCCCCAATACGTGGCGTCGTCCAGCATCGGGAAGCGGTGCAGCTTCTCCAGCACGCGGAACTCGGCCTTGGCGCAGGCCACTTCTAGTTGCTGCCAAAGCTGGTGCCGCTTCGGCCGCCCTTGCGATGATGTGTCCGAGCCTGCAGATGACGAGCGTGCGAGCAGCGGCATCGTGGCTGACTGGGCGCCGTCATCCGATGGTGACGATTCGGTGGTTCCGTCGCGGGACGTACGAAGGGAGACATTCACGATTCCCGTGGCAGGCACGCCGCCGCTCATGAACGCCTTGGCCGCCGAGGCTCGGGTCCAGGAAGGACGCCGACCTTGCCATCGTTCATTTTCTGCCGTCAACATGGATGAAACCGTCGTCGGTGTCGATCTGTCTAGCACCTCGGCAATCAGCGCCGTCTGCTCCTCGAGGATGGAAATCACGCCCCAGACACGGTCCCCGGCTTGTGGTAACATTTCGCAGTAGAAGCGGCGCATTGCCCTCCGCCGCGCACTTGCCGAGTACTCTGCTGGTGACTCGGTGACTTGATATCGGTATACCATCTCGGCCATGAATTGCTCCAGGCAGTCAAGCGCCTCGATCACCAAGCTGAGCGCCCTGAAGACCATTTCATGCGGCCCGGTTAGAGGGATCCCTGGTTTTAGCCATACTTGGCGGCAAAATTTCACCATGGCCTCTCTTACTGCTTCGGGTTTCGAGGTCGACGTTATCTTGGAACCGAACGAAGTCGTTGATGGGTAGTCAATGATGGCTGGCAGCCTTGGGCAGTGGATTGTGTTCTGTTGTGTTTCCTTCTGCTCTTTCTTCTCGTTCTTTCCTCTCGAAGACTGTCCTTTCCTGTATCTGGGGTAACTTTCCTCGTGCTGGTCTCGCTCCCACGGCGGGATTTCCTGTACCTCTTTCCCCTTGACCCACTTTTCCCGTTCATTCTGCCAGAACGTGGTAGGAGAAAGGTCAATACGAGAGCATTTTGGTAAGTCGTCTGGCTTTCCTCTCAGCTGGAGCAGCGCAGGTTCATTGTCGTCGCCATCGCTTCTAGTCTGCAACTGTTGGGAAAAGGTGGATGACGGCGGTGTCAGCGGCTTCGGAGGCTCCCCCCCGTCCCTGCTGCTGCAGGCTTTTGGGCAAATACACCCGATATGGCAGTCGCAAATTCTCTCGGAGCTGGAACCCAGTCCCCGGAATTCTTCACGAAAGCTCCGGATCATTTCGCTCCCTATTGTATCGCATCTGTCTTCTTTCCACTCAGGCCGTTGTGGGCGCTTCTTCGTCTGGTACTCGTCGATGTAGCGGACGCAGTAGTACTGGATCTCGAAGCTGAAAGCCAGAAACGGCGCCAGCAACCGGCTGAACCTCTGTCGCACCGAAGGCGGAAACTTGGCCGACTTTTCGGTCCGCGGGTCACAGGAGAAAGCCGTGATGATCTGCGTGAACGACCTTTCTTTTCTGTGCCAGTGGTGGATGAGTTCGATGCACTGCGCGGATTGCTCCTTGGAGAAACCCATGTCTCGCTCGAGCCTAGATCGCCCAGTGACGTAGCCCGAGTCATCGTCGTCTATTCTTTGCTCGTCGACCAGTTCTTGGATGGTTTTTTCTTTGACAATCGTCGAGGTCGGCAATGCCGAGGACAACTCCCCGCCAAAAGACAGACCCAGGCCTGTGCCGAACTGGGAATCTAGAATCCGGGGAAGCCGAGGTGGTCTAGGCTCCCCACAACTGGCTGTTTTGGATGACGCCACTGATCCGTCAATTGGTGGCGGTTGTAGACTGGGATTAGTAAAGAGAGTAAAGCTGTCAAAATCGGTCCGCTCGATGGGCGGCAAGATTGGTGTGGACGGGAACCCTCGTGCGAAGTTGAGATCTTGCTGCAGACGCTCCCCAGCGCCGAGACTCGACTTTGAGCTCGGGGTCTTGGCACTCGACAGACTCAAAACACTGGCGATGCTTGCGATAGAGCTTTGACGGGGCATCCTCTTCGTCGGAGACGGAGGCGCCTTCGAAAGACTGCCTTCGCCGTGCTCTGCTGCCTCGGCCACCCTCAAGTAGTTGTCAATCATTTTGAAGCTAGCCTCAAAGCTGAAACAGTCTTCAGGAGGCAGCTGTGAGACGTGTGATGGTTCATGAGATGATGGCCCACGAGACCCACGAGGCTCACTAGGTTGCTCCGATGTGGCCGCTACCTTTCTGGGTTGCGTGATACTAGCCAAATTTCTGGCCGAACGCAAAGGGATGGGCGGCGGTGGGACATCGTCATGGTGAGACTCGGTTTCGTTGGAGCCCTCGCTGATGGTTTCCATGGCAGGGCCGAACCCGGACCTGGACCGCACCATGCGGAAGACGTCTCTGTAGTCGGCCTTCTTTGACTGCTCAGGCGACTCTGGTGACTCTGGGGGCGTGTCGGACGCGAAAACGTTGGACATGAAGAGGGCGTCTCGCGCCTCTTCGGGACTCAGTGTGCCCGTGCCTTTTACGGCAGCGTTGCCGACATTACCACCCTCGCCCTCTTTGTTTCGCGTGCCTGCTCTCCAGATCAGCGGCTCCGGCCGCCGCTGTGACGAGCCAATGCCGGATGTGTTCCCATCTCGCAATAGGGGATGAATGCCCGCAACGTCGTGGTAAAGAGTCCGTACATTGCTGCCAACCTTGGGGGTGCGTTTTAGGCTGGAGGTTCGAATGGGACTTGACCCTGTACGTCGGTCAGTCAAGGTGCTCGCCATGTCTTGGCTTGTGGTTGACAAAATAGGCCACTCCTTGGGCGAGGCGGTATACCTTGTGGGAGAGTGAATGGCGGGCTTGCTCCTGCGGCCTGGCCATGGCTGGGCAGCCCAGGCAAGCCATTGGCATCACCTGACCCCGTCTTGCCCCCTCCGTTGGCTTTGCCTCTAACCCCGAGGGTCGGCGAGTCTGGAATGTTGTCGGACGAAGTGGATGTGGAAGCAGGACTAGCGTCTGTCTTAGCCGCATCGTCGCCAACAGACTCGGGTGTGGCCGGCGACACACCGCCCACGGCCCTGCCCGTGGGCTTCTGAAGGGCAGGCAGCATGGGGGTGGCTAGGAATTCGATGCAAAGGCGAGCAGACTGTGAGGGACTCTGCGGTGGAAAGGTCGACCCCCTATCTGGTCAACAACAGGCGAGATAGGAACTTGGGAAAGGCGTCTGGTGCCCAGGCGAGATCCCGAGCGTTTGGGCGCTTGGGTGTAAGAGGGAAACACTCGACGGCTGGGAGGGCGACGGTGGAAATGAAATGGGGAGACCTTCGTCCCCCTCCCAGACAGCCTACCTAACTTTGTTGTTGGGCAGCGGCCGGAGTTGGGAGGTTCCCAGCGCCCCGGTCCGTTCTCCTGGGTTTTATGGTTTCTCGCGGCTATGGACATAGTCGACTTGTCTTTCTGGACCGACCGGGCGTCGTGTCCCCACTGATTTCACTTCCTGGCCCAGTGCTTTCCCGCGGCTATGGTCTAGGCAGCCCATGTGCCAGTCACAGATGTTTGGTCTGTCGTCGTCGACGGCGGCCGGTAGCGGCCGATTGGCGTCGAGCTTGGACGAGATAAGGGTTGTCCTTGGCAAGTAGACAGACGGTAGATTTATTGGACCGTGATGATTAGGGCGGATCGAGAGTTCCAGACACGTGCTAAGGGGTGCTTTGCTGGTTTTGCATGGAGAGGATAATGGAAGGTGGAAAAGATGGGCTGGGCTCGGTTACATCTCGCATGTCACTTTCTTTCTTGGAGAAACATTTCAGTAAACAATTCTTTGTAATAATTGAAATTTCTACACTGCTTTGACCGGATCAGATGTCTTGATTATCCCACTAATTAGTCCTGATTATCCACTCCAATTTGAAGGTAGCCTCCCAATTTGTCTCCCGCCCTAGTCCATAGCAACTCCTCAATGTTGTTTCTTCCCGATTTTGTGTTCTCATTTCCGTTTCTACCCGCGATACGTCTTAGGGAGCTAATAACACCCCCACTATCGCTTACCTAGAGCCAAGTAAACAAGCCGCAGAACTCGCGCCTCAACTCCCGATATTGCAAAGCAAGACCTAAAATTCGCCAATCGTCCAACGCCACTCTCAATCACTTAGCGGCGGTTATTAATATAGTCGTTCAAGACTCTCATAACGGCGTTTTGACGGGCATACATTGCAAAATTCATAGCGGTTCGATTGATACCGTTCGTGGCATGCACATTCGCGGGCCTGTAGGAGGACGGGTCCTGGTTCGCCAGCCAGGTAAACGGTTGCTGCCGGGGATCGCACCCGGCGCGGGCGGCAACCTTGTTGCGGTCCCTCTCCAGCAGCACCTCGGCGACGCGGACGTGGCCGTGGTGCGCGGCCAGCATCAGCGGCGTGTTGCCGCCGTCTCCCCTGGCCGGCACGTCGGCCTCGGCCCCGCTCAGCAGCAGGTACGCGACGACGCCGGCGTGGCCCCAAATCGCGGCCAGGTGTAGCGCCGTGAGCCCGTACGTCCAGGTCCGCGCCGCCGCGTCGTCGCCCCCCCGCGTCACCAGCATGCCCACCTCGGCCACGTGCGAGTCCCCCATCAGCGCCGCCACAATCAGCGGCGTCCGCTGATGCCCGTCGAACGACGCGAACAGCGCCTCGGCCGTCTTGCCGTGCGGCCCCCGGAGTGGACTGGTGATCAGCGCGTGGAGGATGCGTGTCGCGTGCAGGCGCACCGCCCGGTGCATGACTGTTTCCCGGCCTTGCTCGGGCCAGCTGTGCGCCGAGCACAGCACCGTCCCCGTGTCCACGCCGCGCCGCTGCGCCGCGGCGGACACTAACCGGCCGAAATTCTCTACGTCATCACGCGCGACTGCGTCTAGGATCTGCTGGTCTTCGTCCCACTTGGACTGTTCCTCGACTTCCGCTAGCGTTGGTTCTCGGTACCACGACATTGCGAGAATTTGGTTTGTTTAGCACGGTTGGTGTCGTGTTTTGTTCTAGGGTTATTCGTTTATGGTGTGCTGTGTTTGAAGTTTTGTATGTAAGTAGGTAGGTAGGTAAGTAAGTAGGTAGGTAGGTAGGTAGGTAGGTAGGTAGGTAGGTAGGTAGGCAGGTAGGTAGGTAGGTAGGTAGGTTGATATTGTTGGTGAGAGCGTGCTGGTTTCACATATGAGATGGTATGGAATAATATGAAAGAGAGAACATTTCTCGACCCTATTTATACTAGACAAAAGGAAAATGGTTAGCTACGACATAACATAGGTACGACTTACGTGATTATCTGACTGCCTGAGAAAACAAAGCGGCCTGTGATGTTTGTTGTTTTTGTGACTGGATTTGAGCAGTATTATCAGGGAGCCTCTGAAAATCTCAACGGGAAGACCTGTTTATTTAAGGCTGGACTCATGCAAAGAGATTAAAAGGCTTCAAAGACTCAAGGTTCCTGGGCGGCGGCAGGGTTACGGCTTCAAAAGGAGACCGCAGTGACTCTGGTAAGTGGCATATACCCCTGGGCCTGTTGCGAGTCACATCAAGGGCTGGCTGTCTGAAAGACTGAAGTGGGCTACATGCACACGCAACTGTTAGCCATATTCAATACACAAACAAGGATTCATAGAGAATAGTAAAATGACCGACAGTAACGTTGGTTTAAGACTAGCTTATTGATGAATCACTCTAGTGCTACTAACATCGTCAGAATAAACCTGTCAGACACGGCCAGGCACAGTCAGATTCAGCTTCTGAGGCCCACGCATCACATCGCACATAGACATAGTACAGCTCACCGCCTAGCCCGCTTGAAGGGAAATTCGGTGTTTTTTCATCCTAGACTTTGGCTCTCGTTTGGTTGGCCACACATGTATTGTCAGTAGGATGAATAGTGATAGACCCCTTTTTCTTATAAAACCCATCAAAAATTCCGGGTTCATAATGCTTATCATGTAGTTAACACGAAATTTCTTCGATAACTTTTAATAAGATTCTATCGATTTACCTCCCTTGTCTCATGCAAATTCAATCTCTCTACCTCTAGCCATGCACAACGGACCCCAAAAACCGTTCTTGGCAAGAATCTCTCGAGACCACAAGGTCCGTGCACCAAACAGGTAACATTCAGGCCTAGCATTTATTACCCACGACCGCCTTTATCCGTGCTGTGCCGCCGGCCATGTGACAAGCAGCCTCAAGAGACGACATACGACAAAGCATCCCAAACAAGCAGCCAGCTTGCAGTTCGCACGAGACCCTGGCCATGGCCGGAACTAAGCGCAAGCTGCTCGCCGTAGAGTCAGACGTGATCCACGACCTCAGCGACAAGCTCGAGTATCGCGTCGTCAGCATGATCCAGAGCGGCAGAGACAAGAAAGCCGACGTGCTCGTGGTAGAGATCCGGCAGCACAGTCCTCCCCAGCCGGGCCGTCGACCGCGCCAGCCTGGAACTAGGACGGGCACCTGCGTGCTCAAGACGGTCGGTCGGACACCAACCAGCCCATAATCAGCCACCAGCCTTGTTTCCGTGCTGACACCAGCCTGCTGATTAGTTCCCGCGCAATGTCCAAAACGACACGGCGTACGCCAACGAGCTAGCAGCCAACGCGGTACTCTCCCGCTCTATTGCGTCTAGCAGCACTTCTGAAGACGACGCCTGCCAGCTAGCCTTTAACACGATCAGCAGCGCTCCCTCCGAGGCGTGGCCGCTGTGTCTGGGCCGGGTGCACGTAGCAGCACCACCATCACCACCCACAGCCAGACCGAGAACGAGCACGACCGGCAAAAGCAGTAGCAGCAGCATCAGCAGCAGCAGCTGGACACGCTTTAGCTCCGACACCGGCTCGCCAGGCCAGCAGAACAACAACGACACGCGCAAGGGCCTGCTATTCGAGCACCTGCCCGACCTTCGCGCCGTCACGGCAGCGACACTCGTCGCCGACAGCGACGCGGTTGCGGGTGACATCATGCGGACACTGGTCCGGCTGCACGCGCTCAACATCCTGCACCGCGACCACGTGCAACACGCGATGTGGCCGGCGATCGGGTTTTGTAACCTGTTCCTGTACACCAGCGAGGCCGGTGGCGAGAAGAAGCAGAGTGAGTGACAGGGTTCCCGTATTTCATCTGGAATAACAGGCTATAGGTCGATTACCAAACGTGCAAGTTGAATGCTGACCAGAGACATTAGAGGTCGTGGTGCTCGACTTTGGCGGCGCGCTAGTGCTGGCCGGCAGCGAGCGCGACCAGCGGACGATGGCGAATGAGCGGGAGCGGATGCGGGACTTGCTAGAGCGCGCCAGGGACCAGCGGCTGGCCGTCGACCATCTTTCAAACGAGGCGCGGAAGCTGCTTCGGGGTTGAGACTCTGGTAGTTGTTAGTTGTTTACTGAAAGGGGGGTTGGAGTTAACAGCGCCGTGCTTGAACCAGCTGACGAAGCTAGTAAAGAATTGGAGACAACTCAAGTCTTTGGAGACTGAAGCCTTTGAGCATAGATTCTGTAATTCCTCTCGAAAGCAAAGGTATGGGTGGTTATCGACTAATAGGAGGCAGGAGCAGCATTTGCTACGAGTCCAATTGAAAGGCGTCTACCTTTGAACTGCACGGAGGTAGAGAATCTCGCATTTGAAGGGGAGAAAATAGCTGAGCAAGTTCATTCCGTGTATAGAACCAACTACCAGGTCAAGTGCGCTCGTAATCAGAGCCGCCAGCCGAGTTGAGCAAAAAGAAATAAAGCGCTGCCGGCCGTGATCATAGGAGAATAGCTGGAGAGGCGTATAATAAGAACAGAAACTTATAGAGGAGGAGAGAGTCCTCAAAAAACGTAATCATGCGTCCACAACAAGAGATGAAACATTCACTGACTGCCACTGCCTGCCGGGCCTTTGGTATTGTTCTTTGCTTCTGTCAAGAAATGGACCACTCTGGCCTCGCCTTTCTTGCTGGCCAGCGTAATCAGGCCGTCCAACATGCCCATATCCCGGCACAGCCGCGCCATCTCGGCGGCGATCCTGACCGAGTCGTCGTCTGCCGTCAGGTTCCAGACGGCCAGCTTGAGCAGGTGGTCGAGGCCGTGTACCTGCACGCGCCCGTCGGCCTGCAGCAGCAGCCGCACTAGGTGGTCGTGGCGGCTGCTTGCCGCGTACTTGAGCGCCGTATAGCCGCCGTGGTCCTTGGTGCTCGGGCATGCGCCTCGCTGGAGGAACATCGTCACGGTGCTGGTGAAGCCGGCTTGGGCCGCCACCATGAGTGGCGTGACGCCTGCATTGTCGGGCTGCGAGAGGCTATTCAAAAGGCGAAACCACCCGGACGGTAAGCCGAACAGCGCCTCAACCACGTCCATGGTGTTGTCATCTGTGTGGGCCGCCGACATATTGTTGCGTGATACCTTTTCCATCAGATAGTGCCTGCCGTAGATAGCCTTGTCGCTATCCGCGAGATGGGGTTCCTTACAGACAGCATAGAAGAGGACGCTGCGGTCAAGATTTGTCGTAGCGTCCAGCTTGGCCCCGTAGCTCTTGAGAAGGTTGACAAGTGCCACGTTGCGTTGAAAGGCGGCATAGTGGAGTGGCGCGACTCCTCCGATCCCCGTGGCATCAACATCTGCGCCGCCGTCCAGGATGGCCTGTGACTCGGTAATGTCACCGCCAATGACTGCAACGTGCAGTGGCGTGAGGAGTTCCAGGGATGATCTGAGGCGGGGATCGATATTAAATCTGGCCTGGCTTCCCGGCGACACGGCTTGACTCTCAAGGTGATGGAAATGCTGCCCTGCTCTGTAGTCCCCCGAGTGCCACGCATTGTCTCCAGTAGCGATCGCATTCAGAGCAGAGACGTTCCCACGGCCATGTGGCAAGCAGCCGGCGTGAAGATGGGTCTGGGACGGATGGCGCAAGTCGCAGTTTTCAATCCAAGGACTGGAGCTTTGGGACGCCAAAGAATCACCCAGGTACTCGTTATTGTCTTCGGAGGCTGTAGCTCGAATGCTGCCGGAGCCATAGCCCCAATCATCTCCTGTGCCCACCATATTGGCGCCGGATTGCCCCTCAAAGCGGGACAGGCCATCAGCTGGGAGTGCACTCTGGAGTGCTGTGTTGTACATCGCAGCGCTTGATGGGGCGGTATGGACTTGGTTGATGTCGTAAAGGGACGTTCCGGGACCGACAACGAGGCGACGATGGAGGGAGTAGTCGAAGGGCGCTGAGTGAATGGTGGGAAGGTCTTGGAAGGATAGGTTTGAAGGACTAGCTGACGACGCGTCGATCGGCTGGAATTGTTGGGAGAAATAAAAGCCTGCCGGGAAGTTTGTCGGGCGAGTAATTGTTTGAGCGTTGGTTGCCAAGTAAGCATGGACTCTTGCATCGTCTCTGCCGACAGCAAAAACCTGGGCTGGCGGCGTCGAAGTGTGCTGTGACTCTTCGGGCTCAGGGGTCCCGTAGGTGATACCTCGAGGGGCTGCCCGCGAGTCTGGTCAGACCTGTGTCAAAGGATGGACGGGAACAAAGTACCTTGACCGGGGGACAGTGAGCCGGCCCAGCCAACCCCATTCAGGACGTTTTTTCTTTTGAAGCGAGTAAGGTTGGACAGTTTCACCTCTCTCCCACGCACGAAGAATTGGGTCTCTTTGTTCAGCATGTCGCGGCGGCTTGATTGAATCTCGACCATGGCTTGCATCTCGTATGTCTTGGCGTTTTTCTCCAAGCCCCATTCTATGAAGTGCTTCTTATATTGCTTCTTTCTGTTGGCCATGGTTAAGTTGGCGCGGACTGATAGGGTTTGGGTGGCGTTGAAAACGTACAGTGCAACAAACCCATGCTTCTCTGACATTATCGCCATGACCTCCGTGAGCGTTTTGTTCTCGTTCCAGTAGAGGTCTTTGATTGTCTGGCGATGCTTTGCCCAGCCATCACCAAGACTGGGCGGGGACGACATAGCATCTCAATGGAACATGCAGGTCACAGGGTATTGCCGGATGTCTCAGGACAGTGAATCAGTGGACAATGGCGAGGCTGAGCAGGGCTCTGGAAAAGGGGAGCAGAGCCCATGAAAGAATGTGTGGGAAGCTGACCGTAGCAAGTGGCTCTCAAGAGGCCTTAGGATACTGACGCGTATAGGTATTATAGATAGATCTAGCTCACAACCTCCGGAGCCTCATTTTAGAGTGCAGTGACGGGTTATAGCTTAAGCGCCGGCCGGATTAGTCTCAAAGACGGCATGTCTGTATCATGGCTTCTGACGTGTTGGGGTGATTTCCATTTGGGCCACTTGGGTCCCTGCAAAGACGAAACCGTGAATGCCGAGACCGGCAAGTCTTTCTAGTAAAGCGAGGTAGTGGAAGGGAAAGAGGGGGAAGGACGGGGAATCATTGGCTAGCACTAGACGTCTGCAACAGCCAACCCATTGGGCAGTTCAAAAGCCTCTGAAGGTCAAAATGGGACGTGGATGCGGCGTCCAGCTTGAACATGTTTGTGGCGGCAGCCCGTAGCGAGGCCCTTCCCCGCGCAACTGGAGCCAGTGTCACCCGCCGAGCCTCGCAAATAGCAGAACCTCAAGGTAGATACATGTGATGGTCTCGGACAGGGTCGGGCCCTGCGCGGTGTGGCAGGGGAGACCATCACGCTAATCTGGTCTAGACTCTTCCTGGTATTATCTGGGTGTCCTCGACCTGGAATCGCACTTGGGAGGCAAGCCTGCCGGAAATGACCAGTTTGCGCTGGCATAATAGTCCAATGTACTGGTGCTAGCATTGATTGTTCCCTGCGGTACCCAAGATACTTGACAGTTTTGGTGGGTTAGATGGCCACGGAAAGATTGAGGTATATAGCGGTCAGGCGGTTCTTCACGGACATGCTTGGGCAACACGCATGCCAAATCTTGATCCGACGAAAGGCAATGCAAGTTCCCGGCCACTGGGGTGAGTTGACAGGGCCTGGAATATGTGCATACAAACCCCGACGTAACGGGTGGGCGTGTGGGGGGGATACCAAGCACTCCGCATGTACCGCGCCCGAAAGAGAAGTCGGACCGTCGGAGGTATATGGTGGCAGTTGAATGACGTGTCCAGCCTATAGAATTGGCCCCGGAAGATGGACATGGTTCCGTCTCGGCATGGCATCACAAAGTCCCGACCAGGCCTCGACTTCTGGCCAATGAAAAATAGGGGCATTTTTGGAGCAGTACGGGGGAAGTCTAAGCGACATAAATAAGGCTGTCTGTCGCTTGCCGACAGGGGGGGGGGAACTGGGTACGTACACGTCGGTACTGTGAATTGGCAGTCGCTCACCCGCCTCGACCCGGTTCCGTGGAAAACGGCGGCATTTCGCCAATCTCGAGCGGATGGTGTCTCCGCAATGTCGAGCAGATTGTAGCCCGGCTTTGGGTCGACCAGCGCAGCCTCGAGGGCAATGGGGGTTGGCCGGGGAACCCTTGGACAGATCCGAGTGGCTCGCGGCTTGCGGCTATCGAGGGCCTGCCAGGACGGAGTGCACGTGCTGGACGACCGCAAAGATATGCCTAATCTGGCACAACTCTCTTCCTGTCTTGGTTGCATCATGGGCCTGGACGCCGGAATATTCTGGACACTGAACTATTCTGGGGCTGGACTCTGTCGGCGGTAAATTGTTGGTTGCGCTGAGAGCGACATGGATCAAAAGTAGGTTTTGCGCCTTGCTGCTGCCAAATACCGAAAAAGGCGGTCGACGGGGAAGTCGGCGGTTCCTTGTCGTGGGTGGGCGCATACCTCACCAGAGGCGGTGCAAGACAAGAAGTCGGACTGCGACGAAGACAACGCGGAGGTGAATGACTTGACTGCCGTTGACGCAGTCTGACCAATGGTATGACACCGCGTGCCATGGTCACCGCCCTGTTCACGGGAAGCAGCAGGAGTTTAATCCCGCTGAGACACGGTGGCCAGGGTCTTTTGTCTCTCCAAACGCCAAAAGAACAAAAGGTCCTTGGTTCGATTGGCCAAGGGCGCATGGTCGGTTTGGGAAGGCGGACACTAGACTGAACAAGGCAGGAAAAGGCAGCCAGGCGACTTTCGTGCAGATGAAGCCAGCTGCATGCCCGACAGCTGGGGAAGGGGCGACTGGCCCTCCTTCTGGTCAGGCGCATACGCATACCGGCATACGAAGAGATCGACACAGTGTACGGAAATATACCCTGCCCTGCAGGTGACAGATCACATTAGATTGAGGTCACAACACTAGACTCACAGAAAACGCAGAGCTTGGGGTTGCACAAAAGGCTTTGTGAGAAGAGGGAATTTCGTTATCAACCCTGCATTGGACAGAGGTACTGATAACGACAGGCCGGCGACTGCAGGCCGCGCCTGCACTAGCTGTGGTGTAACCGTACCTGCCCGAGACAAGAGTTGGAAGGGCAAGAGCCACGAAGACGAAGTAGATTTCAGGGAGGGTGCATACTAGGTACCTACTGGCGTGTGCACTTCAAGACACAGCCGCGCCTGGCGCCATCAAGACCACAAACTGTTGCGGCTCTCACAGTCCAAAGACTGCGGCTCAGCCGAGCCAGGCGCGACTTGCTTGGCAAAGACACATGGGACGGAAATGCACCGCGCACACTGTCCCACAAGATGGAAATGCAACAGTGGGTGACTCGCTCCCGTCCCCCGTCCCCCCTCGAGTGGAAATACTGTGTAGAGGGGGGGAAGAAGCGGGAAACGCCCCTAAAAGATAGATCCCACACGCCAGGGACTCGAAGGCTCTGCATCCGATGCGGCGTTTTGGACCTCCTTTGTGTAACGTCACACGAACACACAAGAGAAAAGGGATTGGCAAGAACATAAAGGACAAAACAAAAAGCAATGGCTAACTGTGTTCATTTTAGTGTGTGCGTGGTGATGGGTATAAGCTACTTCACTTTTGTGATAGATCTAACTGTGGAAGCCGCTCCTAGAGCAGACGAAATACAAAAAGCCATTTTACTTTGGCGATAACCTGTCGCAGTCGCCCCTTGGGTAGACGGAACCAGACACACAAAAGAAGAAGAAAAAAAAGAGAGAGGAGGGGTAGGTAGCCAGACAGAAGCAGAAAAATAGCCCCGAGACAGGAAGGGAGGGCATCGACTAAACACCCTCGTCATCCAGCTCCTCATCCGGCTCGCGCTCTTCTCCCGCGTAGACCCGGATCCACGGCTCGTTGGGCTGCTCCGGCCCGCTCAGGTTGTCTAGGAACATGCGGGCGAATAGACTGTCAAACAGCTGCTGGGCGTCGCGGCGGGCCGACCACTCGGTGAAGCTGTTGGGCGGCGAGAGCGGCATGTCGCCAGGTTCCGGCAGGATCAGCGAGCCCCAGGGCCTGCTACCACTCGCCAGGTGCCGGCGCCAGGGCGCCGTCAACTCGGCAAACATGCTGGGGTCCGTGCGGTTGAGGTTCTCGGCGACGCGCCGGCGCGCGTACACGACGGGCGGCACCTGCCACAGCAGCGGCAGCATCTCGAGCCAGTCGTCGGGGTCGCTCACTTCATCCCGCAGCACATGTCTATAGGTCTTCAGCCCATCCAGCAGGGCACAGTCCAGGTCGCCCCCTTGGTCGATGTTGCTGATGGCGCGGCAAAAGACGTCGAACGTCACCTCATGCTTGTTACCGGTGTGGTACGGCTCCTTGGCAACGGGCCAGCAGCAGCGGTCAGTGTCTTGCATCAAGTTCAGCAGCTGCAACCAGTTGTAAGCGTACTCCAAAGGGGGCCTGTCGTTCTGCACGTCGGACCTGGTGAAGCGGCTGGCCAGGACGTACCAGAGCTTGGCCTGCAAGGGCGTCAAGCCGTCGGGCTGGGTGGTGCGGGCGAACTGGTCAACGAAGCGCTCGACGAGCGCGGGATACCAGGTCGGGTCGTGCACCTCTTTGATGAGCCGGGCCTTGCGGATGGAGACGGGGGTGGGAAACGCCGTCGTCACGATCTTGACACTGTGTTTGTATTCGCCTTCGTCATGATCGGCCGAGACGTGGCTGATGACAAGGTTGATGATTCGAGACGGGGCCGTGGCCGGGTCGACGTGCTTCTCGTCCAAGTCGCCCATTGCACACACGGACGTCTCGCGGAGCTCGACCAGCAGTTTATCCCGGCATGCCGAGCACAAATTAGCATCCGAGATGACTAGCATGACGACCAAGAGGTCGAAGAGATTTGTATCATATGCGGGGTCGTACAGTGGATTACCGTTCTCGACCGGACTACGCTGTGGCGGGTGCTCCATGGTGTGTGGCGGCTTGTCGTGGTCGTGGGATATCTGTTGAGTGGTTCAGCAAAGGGGCTAGGGGATTTTTACTTACCTTGTGTGTGACCGGGTGTGAAGATATCTTGCGAGCAAAGGCGCGCGGGACGAAGCCTACTTATGACATTCAGAAATCAACGCAGACCTCGAACAGAATGCTGTCGCCACCAAGAATAATGTCTGTGTACTGTACAATGTCCTGTCCAGGGACAAAGCGGGCGAGATATTGGAAGCAGTCGGCCTCCGGGAAACAAAAAGAAGCCAACAAAGGATTAGAACAACAGTAGGATACAATTCTTGGAATAATGATCCAGAATGTTGCGACTGAGAGTTGTTAGGAGTGGGAAGTTCCCGTACGCCGGATCATTGATGAGAAAGCTGGCCGAGATTGATAGACCAAGGCACCTATCAGCAGAAGCGGTGGGAGCCACGGCCTTGGTTAGAAATATGTCTCATGAGCTAAGCTATGCTGAAAATCTGGTATTTTCGCTGTTCAAATAACACCAAATCGAGCATATATGTACAAGATATCGAACTTCCAATCTCCCACAAACCGCCACGGCAGCGCCATATTGGACCCTGCGGTTCTGCCGTGGTGTGCGCTCGCTCGCGCTATAAATAATCTCTTTTAGCATAACCCTCCCAATTTGTAATCGTGATCGGCCATGACGTGGGAATGAGCGGACGGCAAATATAGAAAAAGTGTAACACAAATAAAAGCCATTAAACCCGCGCAAGCCAAGACCACGATCCTTCCAAATGCAGCCGACTAGATCCTCAGCAAGACAGCGGTAAATAGTTTGGGCGCCCAGAATCCCCACACTGCCCAATGCCCGATGCTGTGTATAATAAAGTAGAAAGGTAAAAGAATGCTCGTAGTAACGTGTTCAAACTCGGAAGGAAATCCAAGGCTGTGTGCAAGGTGACGTGCGTGTTTCTTCGGGCACGCGCCGCGGTGCCAGGACAAAACATTGTAATAGGGGAAATGTGTTAAGGTTCCAAGTCAGGTACAAGAAAAAAAGGTCGAATATTAAGAGTTAGTTGGCGGCACCGCGCGTCTGGAAAACGGAAAAAACAGAGCGGGCATTAGTATATAACACAAATAACTCCGCCCCCAAAGGTTAGCCAAAGAACGTTCCATAGTGAGATCAAAGCAAAAGCAACCATGCAAAGCCGATGATGCCGGCCAGGGCGCTACCGCCCAGCGATCGCTCGACAACGCGGACACCGTCGTTCTTAGGGTTGGTGCTTGAGCTGCCGCAGCTCTGAGAGAACCCTGTGCTGGGGCAGTTGGAGTTGCTCCCGGAGTTGCTGGTGCCCCCGGAATTACCGCTGTTGCTACTCGAAGATGAATCACCGCCGTTCGAAGAACTCTCGCTAGACGACCCAGAGTTGCCACCGGGAACCTGTGCAGGGGTGCTGGAGCCGCCGGGGACCGTATTGACATTGGAATTGGATGGCTGGCTGGCCGAGCCCGACGCAGTACTGCTGCCGGCGTTCATGTCGGTTCCGCTCCCGAGGAAGCTCTTTAGCACGGTAGGCTTGTCGCTGTCGACGACCGTGTTGTTAGTTGCCGAGGCGTCATTGTAGTAGTAAGACGTCTTCTTGTTAGTGCCAGGAGGACTGTTGGCGTTATAGCACTTGACGTCGATCTCGCCGAATGTTGCAAAGTAGTAACCGTAGTCCTTGATCTCCTGCGAATTCCAATCGATGGGGCCACCTGCCCAGTCAATGGTTCCCTTCGCATTCGTATCGAGACCACCGGGCCAGATGGAGATCTGAACACGCGATGGCGTTTGCGGGTAGTTCCACTGACGCGCTGTCGCATTGTACGTCTCCGACTTCTTCTTGACGCGGCCGACCTTGCCGTCCACAAGCCAGGTGATGGTGTCAGGCGTCCACTGAATCTCGTACTCGTGGAAGTTGTCATATGTATTCGATAATCCCGTGATGTTGCCCGAGTTGTCGTCTAAATACCGCCGCTAGGTTAGTACCAATTACAACCAAGTGCATTACTGGGGAATGAAGACTTACAGTCTGGGATGCCCTGGAAATAGTAGTTTGTCTGGGCAGTGTCTAGCTCGGTTCCAACGAATTCGTAGTCAATCTCGTCCTTAACGTCACTGAGCAGAATGAAAGCCGTCACAACACCAGCGTCCCGCGATGTCTTCAACTTCGCCTTGACACTGCCGTACCACATATATGTTGTTGTCGCGAGAACGGTGCCGACCGAGTGCTCGGGCATGGTCAGGAGGACATTGCCCTCAAACGGAATGGGCTCGCCCTGCCCGACCCAGTCAACCTTGCTGGAATCGCCGAGATACGAGCCAATATCTTTGTAGTAGTCATGGAACGTATTGTTGTCCCATGTGTACGTCTTGTCCTTGCACACGGGAGCCGGCACGCACGCATCGAGGGTGTTGGACATGCGGGGGTCACAACCCCCTAGACAAAAAGCGCCGACGCCGCATTGGCCATACTCTAAAATGCAGGTTCCCGAAGTCAGCGGCCGTCGGAGAGTAGAGATGTCGTGTCACGGTCACGGACAGGGACCCTAGATTTGGGTTTAGATAGCGCAAAGGCAAAGCTGCAGGACTTACGGGAACAGCAGGGCGCCTCCTTGGGGCATTTCTGGGCCAGCGAACACGTCGGGGCATCTGCGAGAACCGTAGATGCGCCGAGAAGGGCAACGCCCAACGGTAAGATGGATCGGATCATGATTGTGTCGAGGTCGCGAAATATGGTCGCCTCGTGGCTAACTCCACAACGAGAAAATAACGCCGCTCGTTTCGAAGAAAATCGGACGAGGCTTCAGGCGTATTTCGATCGCAGGTTTCGACCGGGCGACGCGCCGAGCACGCAGAATGGGGTGGTGGGTTTCGACAAGCCGGCTGGGCAGGACAAATCCGGTTTGATTCTCCCTCGCGGTCGGGGCTTCCTGGACACCTGTTTATGCGGGTGGACGGACGGGAGCAAGGGCGCGAGCAGCTGGAATGCAGGGCGGGACAATCCCACTTGCAAGCCCTTCTCTTTTTCGGGACGAAACCAAAATTAGTGTACAGGAGGAGAGATGCAACCTGGAGTCGTCTGTCGGAATGTACGGAATACAATGTGAGCGATTGATGGGTGCGGTGTCTGCTGCAGGCAGAGGATACCGAGTGCGGTTGGTTCCTGTCCAAGAAGCTAGGGGAGCACGAAGCAAAGTTGCAAGCGATCGTGAAGCGATTGGCACGGGTTCTTGAGGGGGAAAACGAGGGATCCCAGCAAAAAAAGAAGCCCGGATGACAGAAGAAGGATGATTTCACCAGGTCCAACAGCGAAAGATGAATACGGAGAGAGCGGCAAAGGGGGGCGGCGAAGGAAAATGTGGAGAAGAGGGAGCGAAGTGCCAAAGGCACAGGATCTGCGTTGTCCCGCTACTGATTTTAGCTGTGCCCGATGTGGAGAGAACAATTCGCGGGCTTGGCGCTTCTTTTGGAAGTTACGTCGGCTCCGGCACAAGGCTGCTGCTCCTCCATGCCGCCCTGGAGGTGCGCATCACACTATCCACGGGGGCTGCGGTGATGGCGCCCAGGCGTTGAGCGCCCTGAAGCTGGGGAATGGACCCTTGCAGCATCGGACCACCAGAGGGCTGGTGTGCTGCGAGTCCCAAAGTTTCTCACGTCCCGGCACGACCTCGTATTGGCCAGCCCCACACGGTTCGACCGTTGGCAACTTGGCAGCCACCACGACGATTCAGTTGACGTGATGCGACCACTCCATCAAGTGCGAGCCAGAAGCTGCGCCGCTGTGGAATTGAAGGAAATCGGCAGCCTGGGAAAAGCGAGAAAGTTTTATTTTGCTACGAATAAAATCAGATTAGAATACGCCTATCAATCCACGAAGGCGGGTTTAAATGAATACGAACGGCGCTCATCTTCTGACCAAGGAATTCCAGTGCACCTGTCAAAAGCGCACAGAGAGATCGAGCGGCCCCTCGGACGAACGCGCCGTCATCTCTTGGTTTCCCTAAACAGGCTTAGTGCGTGGGGATCGGTAAGAACCCCCTTCTTGAGCCAGTTCGCAGCAAAACACATGACGCCACTGGTGGGATGCCCCCCTTTTTGTTTCCGCCGTGCCGTCTTGATTTTCTTGGACAGACCCCGAACCAGGCAGAGGAAGGGAAATGGATTACTTTTCTCGTGTCCCAATTCTCTTGCGCCGTTTTCTTGTTTCAGGGTCTCGCCGTCGCTTTGCTCTATGCCCACTATGGGTCAATTCGCTGGCATAAATGCGGAAAGCTGATGGCCCATTGGGCATTTGTCCGGTTTCTTCTTGCCTCGCTGTCCGTCATGCACACAACCACATCGGCGCTCACCCAGCCGTGGCCATGAGTGATCTGCTTACTACGCCGGCATCCATTACCCGGTTGCAGTGTGCCGTACACACACAGTGCAGCCCTGACACTCTCGCCGCATCCGCATCCGCATCCGCATCCGCATCCGCAACCGTTGACAGGTGTCAGTCCGAGTCTAACGGGCTTCGCTAGATTTAAGATTTGCGACGCTCGTAATCCGGGAGGGCGCGAGCGAGGCTGTGCTGCGCTCTTCATGTGAGGCGCCGTTTCGGTGGAAGGAATCCTGCAGCTCTTCCGCTACATAAGCACTGAACTACGTGGAAGTAAGGCTGGGAGGTTGAGCTTGATACTCCGTGTGGACCCGTTAGGTACCCATTAGGTACATCGAATAAATAAACACCATTTGGCACGCAAACCATCCACGTGGCTGAAAGACGATGCAGAGTTAACTTTCGACGGCCGCCGGCCGCCACGGGTTAAAATGTGGCGTTGCCATTCTTGGTGACATCCTAGGGCTACGCAAAAGCCAAATAGCACGATTGCCTTGGACAAGGTATACACGATGAGAAGGAAGACCGCTGTTCTGGTGTTGACACTCCTGCATTTGAGCAGCAGAGATATTACTACTAGGTAGTAGCAATAGAGCCATGTATGTATTGATTCGTGTGCTCGAGGAGGGACTTCCACAGTTAGATCTATCACCAAAGTGAAAGTAGCTTATACCCATCACCACGCACACACCAAAACGAACACAGTTGAGCATTTGCCGCGGTACTGCAAAAAGTCAAGCAATTGAATGGCACTGCCCCGACAGAGTCATACCGGATAGAGCCATCTCATGTAAACCCTACGAATGGTACGACCCCGGCAACAAACTTGCAAGTAATCGGATGCCTCCAAGACTTACTACGATGTCACGCCAGGGACCAACGAACTGAGAGCAATTGGCAGTAGGATGGCACTGGTGTCTTGCTGCGCGTAAAGACACAAGAAAACACTTTGTTTTATACGCAAGGGTATTGCAATCGTAAAAGGAAAAGCGCAAACAATCTCCCGAGCGAGTATCCGTCCAGCCATTCATTTCCCATACCCCGTCACTACTAAATTAACGAAGGCATAGCATGACATTGCAAAAATTGAACCCACGATCTCCAGGGTGCCGCTTGGGAGAGCTTCACTGTATCGTGAAACTGGTCAAAGCCCACAAAACGCTGTTGGAGAGTCACCTCGCCCATTCGAAGAACCCCCCATGATGGTCAGTTGCCGCTGTGTGTCGTGTGAAGTTTCCCTTAAGGGAGGCCGTCGTGCTTGGTTTCGGTCGTGTCGGCTGATCGCTTGTCATTCCTGGTACCGTTCTCTCATGCCCTCAATTCCCGCGACCGAGCAAGATTAGTGTGTGCCCTCCGTCCATGCCATTGATCCAGCACGCGAGACCATATTGTAAACCGACTTGCATCCAGAGACCCTCACGTAATCCATCCGAGAAAATGGGAGACCCTACCAACGAAGCCAAACTAAGCAATGAAAAGGAGGTAATAGAAACACGGCCTGCCCAAGGGCAGGAAAGAAGAAACGGGCCAAAGACACCTCGCTGATTACACCCGTGAGAAATCCAAAGGTCAGATACAAAGATAGATTTTGTTTTCCGCGCCAGGCGCCCCTGCAAACCTCCAATCGATGAAAGAATGGCTGCTCAAGCATCCCTGGGCGGCGTAAAATGGGACGCGTGAGCAGCAGACATATGCGTGCGCGAGGGGCGGCCAAAAGAAATAAGTTCGTGGCATAGAGAGAGTCATAGCCCTAGTATCAACTTCGTGGTGCTAAAGAGAAGCCGAGGTCATGCCCGTCGTTTGTTTGCGAAGAATAAGCGTCTAGGCAATACGCTCAGACGGGTATGGCCAAAGGAGAAAAGCAAGATAGCGAGACGGTGGGGGGTTCGGGCCTAGGTCTCCTATCTGCCTTTCTGCGCGGGGAAGAGATCTAGAGAGAATAATATTAGCGGCTGTTTTTCGTTTGCTAAAAAAACGACATGTGTCATGTAACAAGCACGGTGGTTCGTACCCGGCCAGTGTTCCTTTGCATATTGCTCGCACGCCTTCGCTGGTTTGCCGACCTTGGCGCCAATTGACTTCCACTTGTTGTTCTCATACTCCTTGATGGCGTTCATGAGTGCGTGGCTCTGGTGAAAGAGGTCAGGGTTAGTAACTAAACAGTGGCGGACTGCTAATTTCAATGATAGGGAGTCACTGTGCAGGGACCACGCACCTCGTCTTCAGCAAATTCGGCATAATGCATGTCCTAGCGTGGGGTTAGCATGATTCAGTGGCGAGCGGATCTGCGTTTAAGCTCTACTAACCTTGTACCAATGCTTCTTAACACTACCCTCAGTCCGAGTTGGGAATTTCTTCTCGAGTTGTCAGCCTCGCTCCGAAAAAGTTGCTAACCCATAGAGACGACATAGGCACTAACCTTGGCAATATCAGCCCAGCTGTTGCCGGCGTCACGCATCTGCTTCAGCAGGAGCTCCTCGGCAGGTGTCCAGGGAGTATTTGTCCGGCTCTTCTTCGCGGGAGGGGGATTCATGGGACCGTCGTCGGTTGGGGTAGGCTGCGCGGGGGCCGCAACCGGCTGAGGCGGGACGGGCGCCGGAGCGGAGGGCTGCTGCTGGATCGGCGCCTGAGCGACTTGCGGCGGAGCAACGGTGGCAGGCTGCGCAACTTGGGCCGGCTGCTGCTGCTGCTGTTGCTGCTGGGGCAGAGCAGGAGCAGAAGGGTGCGCTGCAACATGTTGCGACTGGTTATGAGCAGCATGTGGAGGGAGTTGCTGGACATGTGCTGTATGCTGGGCCGCATGCGAAGGGGGATGCTGTTGCGCATGGGAGGCGGGATGCTGTTGAGGGTGGGAAGCATGGGCCGGCGGGTGGGCGCCGGGGGCAGCGCGCTTTCGTCTCGAGGACGGGGCCGGAGACTGCGTAGGCGTCTGTTGCTGGACCACTGGTGTCTGCGGCTGTGGAGCGTGAGCCATAGTCGGCTGCACGGCTTGAGCAGAATGGTGTTGTTGATGCTGCGGATGCTGCTGGGCCTGCTGCTGCTGATGCTGCGCTTGCTGTTGCGCCTGTTGCTGCTGCTGGGTCGACGGCTGTGGGGTTGGGGCGTACGCTCGGAAGTCCATCTGCTGGTCGCGCCGAGTCAGGTCGGGTTGTTGCTGGCCATAATGGGAAGGGCTAAACCAGGCGGAATGATTAGCGAACGCGTTTTGCGGCGGTGCTTGCTGCTGGGCTTGCTGTTGCTGCTGCAACGGCTGCAACGGCTGCTGATGCTGCAGCGACGGCATCGACGGCGGTGTCGGCTGGGGACGCCATGACCCAACGTCGTTTGCTTGTCGCTGCTTCTTCATCACAGCCAGCGGCGGAGGACCGCGTCGGGATCGGCCTGGGCACGAAGCACCAGGGTGGACCACGACAGCAGGAGCGACGGCGGCGCGGGCAGCGCGGACGCAGACGGGCAGACGGTGCGCGAAGGCGACGGGAGAGAAACAAGATGAGAGAGTCTTTGGCTTGAATGATTTCCAGGTTCGCCTGTGAGGTCGGTCGGGTGGTCCTGTACTCTACTCGACCACTCCCATGTTTGCAGGACAAGGCCCAGGGAGGAGAGTACCATGGGGTACATAAAATGGGGGGCTTGGGACTTTTGGGCTGGTGGGCTGGAGATGGCGGAAGGACGGTGTCTTGTAGGCGATGGACAGATACGAAAAGGTACAAGGAGAAGAGGTACTCACTGCTGGAGTTCATTGACCGCACCTGGGTGGCTGGCGGTGGAGAAAGCGAGGTACTCGTTGCCCCCTGGGACTGCGGGAATCGTCCACTGCTGCATGGTCTAAAGAATGCGCCAAAAGAGTCAGTCAGCGGCACTTCGGAATCCTGCACAACAACGAAAAAGTCGCGACGAAGGTAGGGGCGATGGTGATGGAGTATATTGCTGATGCTTTTCGCTGTCGCTGGGAACAAAGCTGCCAGTTTTCGGCGCGTTGCAGCAATGAGCCCGTCATACTTTTATCTGGCGTGGCGACCAAGTTTTTTTTTTTTTTCGCCAGTGCCGCTGCACCATCCAAATTGGAGGCGCGGCGACCGCAGCTTGGCCTATTCAATCAAGCAGCCAGGATCACTGCGTCGCTGCAGAATCGAGCGTCCAATTCATTGAGGACGGTAACGGGACTCGGGGGCAAGACAATTGAAAGCGCGATTGAAACTAGGGTCATAGGGAGGTACTTACGACTCGTATCAGCACCAGAGCTGCATAAACCACAAACGACGTGAATTGTGGATTGATCCTGTTTTGTTGTTGTTGAAAGTACCGCGGGTGACCAGCGAGCGATAACCTGGGACGGAGCTGAACAAGACCTGGCCTGCGAGCCGAAGTAGTGTACCTCGACACAGGAAACGGAGGGGGGAGGCGGGGGGGGGGGGGCTGGGTGGCTGGGGGGTGGAGGGAAAAATTGTGTGTGAGTGCGCGAGTTTGGGGTGGATCGGGTTTGTTTCGAACAACGACTCGATGGCTGAAGCGGGAGGTGTGACTTTCAGGAAGAAAGGGTTTTTTGCCTCTTGGCACTCGAGCCTCAGACGCTTCACGGCCCGTTTGGACAAGCTTGACGGGCCGCCAAGGCAGTTCAAAGTGGATATGCGCACAACCGCGGGGGTGCAGGTAAGAGAACCTGTGAAGAGAGTGATGGAGGAGGCGTAGCGCAAAACCCGAGTTGTGGCAAGTCTGCTGACTGATGTCGTGACTCAAAGCTGAGGCCGAGAGACGGGCGCCTTCCTTTTTGGACTTTGACGACAGATCGACCAGCGTGAGCTATCCAGTGTCTTCACGGGCTTCAATTGGAAAGTGGCGCTAGGGTTTTCGCCTGTCAATCCTTATTTTTCACCAGCGTTCAAGTTGCAGCAGATTGGACGGCGCCAAGAGTGCAACCGATCAATCACTGGTGGCGATGCGTGAGTGTTCAGCGCGTGTTGGGGTGCGTCGGTGCGTCGGTGCGTTGCCTCTACGGCGGGGATGCGCGTCTCCCGCGCGACCACAGAGTGAATATGCCCCTACCCTGGCCTGGACAGTCGCGAGTTCCGGGTGCGATGGATGCAAGATGCGTACGAAGGTTGGGCAATCGAGGGCAGACCACAATCGAGAGCGATGAATTGGTGGCGTTGGGGATGTACAAAAAGTGCAAGTCACCCTTAGGTTCTAGGATGCTAGAGCAAGGTAGCGGTATCGTTCAGCTACCTGGGAGCAACAAGCAGGGAGTGGATTGAGAAAGGGAAGGCGGGTGGGCGATGGAGGGATCTCCCTCCCTTTCTCTTAGGTATCGTGTCCCCACCATGCATCCGGGTAAGCACCTCATCACGGGCGAACCTAGGCTCTGAACAGCCAGCCGAAATCATATCCACCAGGTGGTCGACATGTTGAGCAAAAGCATACCTTTTATATCCGAGGTTTATTGCTGCAGTGCCGTACGTCGGAGTGTGTTCGTATATATTTATCTGTGTTGTTTTATACAATTGAGCAACTCCCATCAATCACGTCCTTTTATTTCGTGCCTCTTCTCACGTCGTTGAGCACTGTCTATTATAGCACCTCTTTAGGGGAGGTACGAGACATCCAAGTATCTACCGTGGCCTGTCTTTCAGTGTCTCGTGCCTCATCGCACGAGCCCCCAGAGGGTACCTTCTCCACGGTACTTCGCAAGGCACGCACTACCAAAATGGATTCCGCAAGCACGGGCTTTCGTGTGGCCTAGTAAGGGTACCGACGGGGCATTTTCTCAACCTGGAATTTCAACCTCAAACCCAATGACAGCTCGGCCTGCAACTTCGCCAGCATACCTCTACCAGTCCAATGGGTAATAAAATACCCACGTTAATGGCAACTGCCGTAGTTTATCGAAGCTCTTCTGTTGCTTGGGTCTGAGGTGGGAGCATGAAATGTACACTGAACCCTTTTGCGGAGGCCGCATAACTGGCCGGGAGTGAGTTAAGCAGGTGATGATAGAATTCGAGATAAGCGCAAACAAGTCCCGCCAAGACAAGCCCATAAGGTAAACTAAGCGGCTGGTAGCCGGCACGTCAAAGTGGGGAAGGCCTGCTTGGATGGATGGTGGGATACTGATTTGGTATGGGGCTACATATCTCGATGACAGCTCCGACACCAGCGACGCCAGCGACGATCCAAGGTAGTCAATCGTTCCCAAACTTGGAAGGTTCAGGTTGCATCCTATTAGTACTATAGCTCTAGCTAGTACAGAGATCAATTAAGAAATAAAGTGCGCAAATACCCCTTATTCCTATGTAATGGGTCCGTCACTGCAGACGGCAAATAGGTACGAGAGGTACCTCGAGTCTTCAAAACCTCACTGAGCTTGTCTTAACCTGGAAGCTATGAGCATCTTGCCTATTACGGAGGGCTAGCTCTCCTCTTATCGTTATCGGCTCAACATGCCTTTTCCTTCTTCTCACTCTCAACGGATGACTGTCAACAGTGCACTGGAGCTGGATTGTTTGGATGTGACACATCGCACACCTGACGACCAATCTATGCCTATCAGGCACTACCTGCCTCAGGGTTCTCGTCTCTTCTCGTCGTCGGACAGTCTCGACTCTCGAGCTGGGCGAACGAAGCTTTGGAGTGAAATTGTTTCGTGGAGGAGCTTGTCCCCACTGCGGGGCGTGGCCCACGCCATTGGGCAGGTTTTCGGCGAGATCCCGAATCGCCTTCTCGTCCCGCCAACATGCAAAATGGAAAGCAAATCAAGATCCGCCCATCAGTAAGATTCTACTAGATTGTGGTCAGTTATTACTAGCCTCCCCCGTATACCATTTTCTCTCTTTGGTGGGCTTGCCTTTGCTATCAATCTATCAGTCATCGCGGGCAACAATTGTGCTTTACAGGACGGAGTACCCAGGAAGTCTTCCAATGTTCCGTTCCATGTTACACTGCGGTATGTACGGTCAAGGGCCAGGGCGGTCTAGGCCTCGAATCCTAATGTATCGGTACTTTAGCGGCGACCCCACTGCCAGGAGCATTTTCGCTGCTGGCGCCGGCCACAACTTGGAACTTGCAAGGTACAAATGCACGTGTAGACGCCCATTGTAGAGGGAAAGCCAAACTCGGCGCCGTTGGATGAGTTACATCCACCTTTTCTTCCTTACTTTTATTAAGCACCGTGGCACATTTAGCGGTTGAGCCTTATGCCGCCGCGGCTGAACAAGTCGCTACAAGTCGTCGTCGTCTGGTGTTAATATGCATACATACAGCACGAAGAAGTTAGGTACATTCAAACACATCCCTATCCCTACCTTGGTTACTCCGTTCCTTGCCTAGGTAACTCCCAGTTCCCAAGTCCATCTTGGGAGAGCCAAGTGTTCCGTTCCATCCACCGGCAGCAACCGACGGCGTGCGCAACATACATGCATTATCATAACCCGAAGAAACTTCTCATTGTGCTTGATGTTTGATGCGACCGCAGCTCTCGTTCTGCGGCCGAATGGCAGAAGTCTAGCCATTTGCAAAGTAACCTTCTGCAAGCCTGAAGCCGAAATTGCCAGTCACAGATCAGGCGGGCGTTTTGCCTTTTGGGTTGATCGTGTGGTTTCCGTGTCCGCCGCGGAGGTCTGATATGGTATGATGAGGCAGGGTCATGTCGTCGACGCAAATTCAAGCCATCGAAACCCGACTCACCTGCAAGTCGCCCGAAGAGGTCGTGTCGACAGCTCGAATTCGGCATCCAAGACGTGGTTTTCCCGGATTTGAAGATGCCGCTCCTTCGCCTGGGGGAACAGCAGCCGCACTGGGCGCGCCCGAGCCCTTTGCGTTCGTCCAAAAACACAACTGCTGCCACTCACGTTACGTTGCCTTCTCTCGTCTGCCATTCGCAGTAAGTTATAACTGCCCGCTCAATCCAAATGAGATGGATGATCCTCGCCGGTGAAGATCATACCCCTGCCTGCCGACAGGTCCGACCTCACCGGTCACCCTGTCCTGGTCGGCTGTCTACCACCCGGCTGCCAACCATGGGGTAACCCCCAGGGAACCATCGGAGCCCCTTGCAATAGCGAGCATACGTTATGATCATGTCGTTGCGATCTCTCTTGGCAACAAGCCTCGCCTCGCTTCATGATCCTTGACAGTCGGGGACGCCGTCACGCCGTCCGCAACTCGCATGGCGTCGACGGCATCGCGAGCAGATGCGAGGCTAGTCTTGCGAGTCGGCCTCAACCCTACCCACGGCCTTCTCCGCGTGCGTCTCATCGGACGGCTGCCATCCAACTGCCGTGGACCGGACGCCACCCGCGTGCGATTACCGACCAATCTAGCCATCAATGATAGACTGCCTAGGGTGGAGGCATCACA